AAGAATTTTTAATGAGAATTCGATTATTCTATGATTATTCTGAATGCAATTTCAATTAAATTTCTCGAAAGAATTTAATTATTTTTACAAAATTTTCATAAAATACTTTAAAACAATTAAATTATTTTAAAATAATTTAATTCTTATACAGGATTTTAGTAAAATTTATTACTTTTCAAAACTTTTAATTACATTCTTTGAAATTAAATTTCTTGAAAGAATTCAACTATTTTTAACATTAAAAATTAAAAATTTCATCAAAGAATTTGATTTTTTTGTTAAAATAATTGAATTCTTGCTTGGAATTTTTTTTTAATTTTGCAAATAATTCAATTGTTTTGAGGAATTAAAATTTTTGAAAATAATTGAATTGTTTCGAAGATTTTTAATTAAAACTTTTGATAGTAATTAATTTCTTTTCAGCACTTTAAATATAATTGTATTGAAAATAATCTAATTCTTTTCCAAAAATGTTCTTTAAATTTTCATAAATTTTCGTAAGTTTCGTAAATTTTGTAAAAAAAAAAACTATTTGAAATAATTTTATTGAAATTTTTTGAATTATATCTGTGAATTTTATTAAAATTGTTGAAAATAATTTTTTTTAAATTATAAGCGGATATGAAGTAGTGCAAATTTTCAATAAAAAGAAATAGCTTTAACACAGTTTTTCTGCGGATATCAAATTGAGATAAAAAAGGAATCAAAAATGTTGCGAAGCGACATTTTTGATTCGTTTTTTGTCTCAATTTGATAGTCGCAGAAAAACATAAAAAAAATTATCCAAATAGTAGCAAATTGTAAAAAGAAAAAAGTAATAAATGTTTATCAGTTTTAGCAAATGAGTGACATCCACTCAATTGTTTATCCTTAACACGTACAATTTGCTTGTTAACGTTTTCCAATTATTTTCTGTACCTAAATCCCTTAAAGTATAGTTTCGTGACATTGTTCGCCAAAGAGTGTGTACCTGTACATATACATATATGAAGAAAGGAAAAATAAAAAAATTATGCGACCTCGTGTATATGCAACATAAGAAAAGAGGGATTCCATTTCGTGTGGTGTCTCTTCTTCGCGCACTGAACTCCACGGTCCATATATGGCTACTTGCTGTATAATTCATCCCCAACACATGAGGCGCCCAAGCAACGAGTATTTAATACAGAAAAGATATACCCAATGTATAAAACACCGTCTCACTACCATATAATATCGCATATGGTGTGCGATACGACAACAGATGCAGATATATTTTTCTACCTTCGGGGATCATATAGAAACTACTTTTTTATTTTCCACTCTACAATCAAAGACAGATATTGCATTATATAGCCTTTGGAATTCATGAGACAAAACATACACACCCGACCCGAGTCGAAACTTTATATCGGATGTAGAATTTAATTGAGCAAGACTGCAATTTTTAAAGGCATATAAGACCAGAAGAATGAAATTCTCTTTACGCACGTGTTCGTCATACAGAGTAGAGTTTACGGTTTTTAATCTGCGATCAAATTTTTAAAGGGTGAAAAAAAGGGGGTAATTACTGAGGTAATAAAACACAAAAAGGTGGCGAAAAAAAATAGCGGCACATCTTTTAAATAGTTCGCGTTTCTATTTTATATACAAATAATTTAAAGTGTTGAATTTTTAATTTAAAAACTCAAAACACATTTTTTATTTTAAATTTTTTGTATATTAGATTTTTACGAAATACGTTTTAATTTTTATTTTTAAATCGGGGAAAATATAATTTACATGGTTGCCCCAGAGCCTGGAAATCCTGGAAAATCTGGATTTTTGATTCGTTTTTTGTTTTTTTCATTGAAAATTTCCACTACTTCAGATCCGCTAATAAATAAAAAAATTATTCTCAACAATTTTAATAAAATTCTTTCAAGAAAATTAATTATTTTCGAAAATTTTAAGAAAATTTTTGGACAACAATTCAATTATTTTCTAAACAATTTATATTTAAATTCCTGAAAAAGAAATGTATTACTTTCAAAAAAATTAATTAAATTCTTCAAAATAATTCAATTAATATCAATTAATTCAAAAATTGGAATTAAATTTTTCAAAACAATTCAATTATTTTCAAAAATTTGAATTCCTTGATATACTGCTTGATATATACAATTCAATTATTTTTAAAATTAAAATAAAATTTCACACAAGAATTCAATTATTTTAACAAAAAATAAAATTATTTGATAAAATTCAATTATATTAAATATTTACTATATATTGTAATAAAATTTTTCAAAAGAATTTTAATAAAATTCTTTGCAAAAATTCTATTTATATCATGAAAAAAAAAATTTTCGCATTTTCATGAAAATTTTTCGAAAGAATTCAATTATTTTTAATTCAATTTTGTTTAAATTTTTGAAAAAAGTTCAATTTACTATTTTCAAAACTTTTAATAAATTTCGTTCAAACACTTCAATTATTTTTCAATATTTTGAAAAAATATTTTATAAGAGAATTTAATTATTTTCACAAAAAATAAAATTCTTTAATAAAATACAATTACATTCAATATTGTTTGTAACAAAATTTGTACGAATAATTTTAATAAAATTCAATTAAAATCATGAAATCCAAAATTTTCACAGAAATTCAATTATATAAAAAACAAATTTAAAGAATATTTTTTGAGCAAGAATTCAAATATTTTTCGTACAATTATATTTAAATTCCTGAAAATAAATGAATCCTCTTCAAAAGATTTAATTAAATTTTTTAAAACAATTCAATTATTTTCAAAAATTTGAATTCCTTGATATACAATTCAATTATTTTCAAAATTAAGAAAAAATATCATGCAAGAATTCAATTATTTTAACAAAAATGAAATTCTTTGATGAAATTAAAATATATTTAATATTTTTAATATTTACTATTGAAATAAAATTTTTTAAAAGAATTTTAATAAAATTCTTCGCAAAAATGAAATTAATGTATCATGAAAAGTAAAATTTTCACAGAAATTTAATTATATAAAATACAATTTACAAGAAAATCTTTGGAAAGAATTCAATTATTTTCAACACAATTTGGTTTAAATTCCTGAAAACAAAACCAGAAAAAAAAAATTCCTGAAAATTCAATTATTAATTTCAAAAGTAGAATAAAATTCTTCGGAACAAAATTCAATTATTTTCAAAAACTTTTATAAAATTCTTCGCATGAGTTCAACTATATTTTTAATACAATTTTAATAAAATTTTTCAAAAAATGAATTATTATTTTCAAAAACTGTGATAAATTTCTTCGAAAAAAATTCAACCTATTTTTAGAAATTTTGATAAAATTCTTCATAAAAATTCAATTATTTTCAAAAATTTAAATTTCTTGATGTACAATTCAATTATTTTCCAAATTAAAAAAAAATTTCATACAAGAATTCAATTATTTTCACAAACAATGAAATTCTTTGATGAAATTTAATTATATTCGATACTTATACTATTCGAGAAAAAATTTTTTAAATTAAAAATTAAAAAAATGCAATTAAAATACATCTCAAATTATTTATTATTGTCAGAAATAAGAAAAAATTCAAATTTTGAACTGACTCGATTTTTTTTAGAACTAGTTAAATAAAATATTTTTCTAAACACCTATTAAAAATTTTCGTCGTTTGATTATTTGTAATCTGATCGGATTTTGTCTAAAAAAATTTACCAAACTAAAAAATTTAATTCTTATATTAATTATTAGCATTTTTATTTAATTTAATATTTTTAATTCATATTTTCATAATTATTTTATCAATTATTCATCATTTGGTATTCATCATTATTTTAATTCATCAATTATTCAAAAAAAAATTAAAATTATTCTAAAATCAATAATTTTAATTCAACATTTTTGTTGGGCGCCAGTTAAAAAAACCGTCGTCACCACCAACGTAACAAAAATAAAAAATTTCTTTATAAACGTTTTTAAATCAGAAATATACAAAGTTTTATTTGTTACCGTTTCTGATAGAAAATTTTGTCATAAGAAGAAGAAACATCTCTGAATGAAAATTTTGCTTCTGATTTATAAAATTAAATAATTTATAAAGCTTATTACTATGCAATTTAACATTTCGGTTCAAAATCATTGAATAATTACAAAATAAACTTTGAAATTAAATTCCTCCGTAGTTATTAAAATTAAATTTATAAACTATAATTCTGCTATAATTATATTATTATAATTTAATTTAATAATAATTAAAAATCTAATAATTCGACAATTATTATAATTACCATAATTTTCTGACTTTATAATGATAGCATTATAATAAAAAAGAAAATTATAATCATAATTCCAATAATTCGAAAAATGATATTTATAATAACCAATAAAAATAAAAATTTCGAGAAGAAATTCACATCAATCTCAACTCAACTGCTGCTAAAATTCACATGCGGGGCAGAAAGCGTGAGAAGGTATGTGAAAACCCAAACTATCTGCAAGGTTGTCATTAGACGGACTCCAGTTAGTGGAACCTGGTGATGATAAACTCACAACAGGTGTAACTGACTCTTCTCGCACAGCAAAACTTGAGACACAGAAGACAGAGAGACAAGAGAGAGACAAGAGAGAGAGAGTTTCAAAACCAGCATGTAAAAGACTTTGATAAATCATTTTCTGCAAACTGTCACTGAGATAATGGGATTCAATATTTTCTCAAGTGCGTTCTTTCATATATTAAATTACAACTAATAAGTTCCTATCAGAATAATTAAATCGCTAATAACAAACCGTTAAGAAGCGCCAATAAGAAAAAAATTTCTTTTTTATATATATAGCCAGGCAACTATACTTTCACCGCATGTACATATACATACAAGAGATGAAAAGAGAGAAAGGGGGGGAGGGATCGATTAATTATATCAAACTGTGATGAAGAAACCAATATAAACGCGAAAGAGATAAGCGTTTCTGCGATCGACGCCTCATTCCCGGAGTAACGTGTAATTAGGTGATTATCGTGCTACCTGGTAGTCTGCGCCACTCTCTTCTCTTTCTCTTAACTGCAACCAACTATACAGCAGATGCATACATTATTCTCATCCCTATATGGTCCATTAATTCGATAATTATTGAAATTCCAAGACATTAGCTTTATAATTATTGCCAGGATTAAAACCAGAATTGTCGGCATTGTGAAAACACTGGAAACAGAAAAAAATATTATTCCTATACATAGTTGAGTTAAACAAAAAAGTTATTTACCGTTAAATAATATTTAATAACAATACAAAAAATAATAACGGTTCTAACAATAAAATAATAATAAAAATATTTTAACAAAATGTTTTAAAAAATTATTTAGTCCTTTTTATTTCAGAAACTTTTTATTTTCAAATAATACCAACTTCAATTTTCAAAAATTTTGAAAAATTTACTTGGTAACTAATTAACTAACTCGTAAATTCAATTAATTTTTAAAACAATATTCTTCCTATAAGAATTCAATTATTTTCAAAAAATGGAATAAAACTCTTTGAAACAATTCAATTATTATTATTTTTAAGAATTTTAAGACAATTTTTTGAAAAATTCAATTATTTCCAATACAATTTTATTAAATTGAAAAGAATTGAATTATTTACAGAAACTTTAAGAAATGTTTCGTAAAAAATTGAAATAAAATTCTTTGAAACGATTCAATTATTTTTAATAATTTTTAATAATTATTTTCAAATTTTATTTATAAATTTCTGAAAAGAATTAAATTATTTTCAAAAACTTTTAGAAATTTATTCGTAAAAAATTAGAATTATATTCCATGAAAAGATTCAATTCTTTTTTAATAATTTCATTACGATTTTTCGTAAAAATTCAATTACTTTCAAATTTTATATAAATTTGTGAAAAGAATTAAATCATTTTCAAAATCTTTTACTTATAAAATCTAATTATTTTTAGCAATTTTGATAACATTCTTTGTAAAAATTTAATTATTTTGAATATAATTTCAAATCAATTCCTGAAAAGAATTAAATTATGTATTTCCAAAAATATTAAGAAAATTTGCAAGAATTTAATTACTTTTAATACAATTTTGTTTAAATTCCAAAAAAAAAAAATTAAATTTATTTCAAAAATTTTAATAAAGTTCTTCGAAACAATTCAATTATTATCAAAAATTTGAATAACATGCTTTGAAACATTTCAATTACTTTTAATAATATTAAGACAATTTTTCGCAAAAATTCAATTATTTTCAATACAATTTTATTTAAATTTTTGAAAAGAATTGAATTATTTTCAGAAACTTTAAGAAATTTCTTAGTAAAAAATTGGTATAAAATTCTTTGAAAAGATTTAATTATTTTTAAAAATTTTAATAACGTTCTTTATAAAAATTCAATTATTTTCAATATAATTTTAATTCAATTCATAAAAAAAATTTAATTATGTTTTTCCAAAAATTTAAAGAAAATTTTTTCCATGAATTCAATTATTTTCAATACAATTTTATTTAAAATTCTGAAAAGAATTGAATTATTTTTGAAAACTTCAAGAAATTTCTTCGAAAAAAATTCAATTATTTTTAACAATTTTGATTAAATTCTCTATAAAAATCTAATTGTTTTAAATATAAATTTAATTCAATTCCTTATAAAAAGTTCATTATTTTCGAACATTTTAAGAAAAGTTTTCGCAAGAATTCAATTAATTTTAATACAATTTTGTTTAAATTCCTGAAAAGAATTGAAGTATTTTCAATTAGTTTCATAGATTTCTTCAATAAAAATTTAATTATTTTTAGAAAATTTTATAAAATGCTTCAAAAAATTTCAATTATTTTCAATACTTTTTTTTCTTTGAATTATAATTAAATTATTTAAAACAATTCAATGGTTTTTAAAAATTCTAATAAAATCCCTTGAATTAATTTAATTATTTTCAAAAATATTAATAAAATTCTGAGAAGAATTCCATTATTTTTGAAAAATTTCGTAAAAGTTCAATAATCAGATGTTTAATTTCAATTATTGACAAACACGATTATTTTAAAAATTTGAACGTAATTCTCCGTAAAATTCAATTACATTAGAAATTTTTAATTTAACTTTTAAAACAACTTCATTATTTAAAAAAAAATCTATTAAATTTTTTAAAAAGATTCCGTTACTTTCAAAACTGATTCGATTTTTTCGAACTTTTTGAATAAAATATTTTTTTAATTATTAATAAATGGTTTTCGCCGATAGAATATTTTTAATCTGATCGAATTTACCTAAAAAAAAATTAGCAACAAATTAGTAATTTACTTCGTACACCAATTGAATATTATATAATTTTTTAATTAATCAATATTCTAATTCCTTTTTTTCATTATCATTTAATCAATTTATTCATCATTTTTCATGAATATTTTAATTAATCAATTGAAATTCAATTATTACAAAAGGTCCTGTTAAATAAAAGAAAAAAATTTGCATCAGTCGATTTTAAATCAACAGAAATGTGACGAAAATAAATTTCTGAAAACATATTAAAAAGGTGCGAGTATTTTTTTGCAATTAAATTAACAAACACACTTTTTTCAGTCCTCCTAATATATTAATATTTATTTCAAAACCCCCTTTTAATGTTTAATTAATGAAAGCAAAAATTATAAATTAGCCAATCAAAAATAAAAGCCACACGAGAGTGTAGAATTTTTTACACCTTATTTGATTATTTAAAAATAAGTTCACGAATCCTATCAAAAATTAATTGACATTCGAGTCTTTGTCGGTAGAATACCAGGTGTCTTCGATTTTGATTTAGAACAAGGGGGAGAAGATTCAGCTTTTTAAGAAAATATCCCAAATCCCAGGAACTGCAAGGAAGAAACCCTACTATTTTATATCATGTTTGCGAGAGAAAAAAAAGGAAGAAGGAAACAAAATGAATCGAGTCTTTTAATTATCCCATCCCGGTGGCCAAGAGGAACGAATGAGAGAATAAAAGAGAGAGAGAGAGAGAAAGAGTGAGGCGTGAAGCGGGAGGAGGGACCGATTAATTTTTGTGGTCGAAAGGTAATTGAGCGGGAACAACTTTGAAAGCTTCCAAGTCCCATCAAAATAATCAAAGTGAATAGCCACCTTCAATTTTATCTCTAAAATTGTCAAACTTAATGCTTTTCTCAACTTGTATATATATGTATACAGATAATTAATTTCATTAATATTACTTTATCCTTTACTTTATGTTTGAAATTTACTCCAACTTCGCACTTGATAATTAATTTTAAAAAAGTAGCTTTCATAAAAGCTACCGAAAAAATAAACTCGACGACCAACAAAAATCGTTTTAGACACTTTACAAAACTGACAAAAATTCTATTCAATATTTTATTTTCCTGACTTTTTCCTAATTCTCATAAAAAATATTTACTTCTTCTTATCCTGCTAACAAATTCAATTCCTGCAACAAACTTTATTATTCATCAAAGAATTTAAATATTTATAAAAATAATTTAATTCTTGCGAAGAATTTTAGAAAATTTTTTATAAATAATTCATTTCTTTCGACTAATTTTATGCAAATTCTAATTAAAATAATTGAATTATTGAGAAATTTTTACTATTCATGAAAAGAATTCAATTCTTAAATTGAATTTTATTAAAAGTTTTATAAATAATTTAACTTCTGTAAAAAAAAGTCAATTTATAAATAATAAAAATTTTCGTAACAAAATTCAATTACTTTTATTATAAATAATAAAATTCTTATGAGAATTTCACTTATTTTCAATTCCAATTTTTAATTGATTTCTTTAGAAATTTAAATTATTTTTTAAAAATCTAGCAAGAAATTTCAAATTTCAATTATTTTTAAAAATCTTGAAAAAATTCTGCGAGAAAATTCAATTATTTTTTACAATAACTGAATTTTTTCGCAGAATTCTTACAAGATTTTTAAATATAATTGAAATTTTTAAAGAAATCAATTAAAGATAGAATTGAAAATATAAGTGAAATTCTGAAAAGAATTTTATTATTTTTATAAAAATAATTGAATTTTTTACGAAGATTTTTATTATTTATTAATTGACTTTTTGCAAAGATTTTTATTACAATTATTGAAAATAATTGAATTCATCATAAAATTCAATTATTTTCAAAATTTTCATTGAAAAATTATTTTCAAAAAAACTCTACTATTTTCATAAATAATAAAATGTTTCGGAAGAATTAAATTATTTTTAATACAATTTTATTAAAATTTCTCGAAGGAATACAATTATTTTTAAAAATATTATTTAAATTCAATTATTTTTCACAATTCTTGTAAAATCCTTCGAAACAATTCAATTATTTTCATAAATTGTAAAATTCTTGGCAAGAATTCAGTTATTTCTGTAAAATAATAAAATTCTTCTAAAAAATTCAATTATTTACAATACAATTGCAATAAAATTTCTCTAACACGTTCAATTATTTTTAAGAATTGTAATAAAATTTTTCTAAACAATTCAATAATTGTTCTTAAAAATTTTTGAATAAAATTCTTTGTAAATTTCAATTATTTTCAAAATTTTTAATTAAGATTATGGTAGGGAGTCAAAAGTTCAAAAAAGTAAATAATTATTTTTAAAAAACTCCATTATTTTCAAGAAAATTGAAATAAATTCTTCAAAACAATTCAATTATTTTAAAGAATTTAAAAAAAAATTCTTACCAAGAATTAAATTATTTTCCATACAATAATTGAATTCTAGCGAACGATTTTATTAGAATTTTTTAAAATAATTGAATTACCAAGAAAAAATTTATTACTTTTAAAAATAATTGAATTCTTGTGATGAATATTTGTTATTTATGAAAATAATTGAATTTTGCCAAAAATTTTATTAAAGTGCCTCTAAATAAATGAATTTTCAGGAATAATTTTGTTATTTTTCTTTAATAATTGAATTCTCAAGAAGAATTTTATTAAAATCTAAAAGAATAATTGAATTATTTCAAAAAATTTAATTAAAATTGTATTTAAAATAATTGATTTCTTTATTCGAACAATTTTATTAAAATATTTGATAATGATTGATATTCTGTGAAAAATTCTAATATTTTTGTAAATAATTGAATTCTTCCAAAGAATTAAAAAAAAACATTTTTTTAAATAATTAATTTTTTCGAGGAATTGATAAATTGAAATTCAATTTTTTAAGAATAATTACATTTTTTTAACAAATTCCTGTAAAATTGTAATTTTAGTCTATCAATTTTCCTGATATTTCTTTGACAATTTTCTGACATTAAAATTACTTTCCCTGACAAAATTCTTTTTACAGAAAAATATGAAAGTTTAACGAAAAATGAGTAAAATTTATGAATTTTAATAATTTCTTAAAATTCTACCTGAATTCAATTATTTTCTCCAATTTTCAACTAAACTTCATCTCTGAATTAATTATTTTAAATAATTTTCCGAAAGTTCTTCGAGAATTCAATTATTTGAATACGAAACTTAAATCTTTTTTAATAATTATAACTGTCCATGTTTTTTCTCTTGAGTTCGAAGATAATTAAATTTTAAAAAATTATAATAAAAAAATTCTAAGTATTAGTTTTTAAAAATATTTTAATGTAATTTTTCGAAAATAAAATTGAATTTCTTAAAAGAATTTTTGTATAATTTAAAAAAGACTAATTCATTTTTGGTGTATTTTAATTAAAAATTTTGAACATGGTCTTTCTCCAAAAAATTAAAAAGAATTCTAAAATGCTATCATTTTTTGTTTGTATTTGAATTTTCGTGAATGTGTAATAATTGAAAATACTAAAAATATTGAATTTTAAAAAATTAAAAGCTAATTTTCATTTTTAAATTTACGTTTAAAAATTGTTGATAATTCAATTATATTCAAAATTTGCAATTAAATTTTTCTAATTATATATTTTGAAAATTTAAATAGAAAAATGATTCAAAAAATAATTTTTGAAAGATTTGTTTATAGTTATTTTTTGCATTATAAAAATCAAAATAAGTTGCACTTTTTTCCAAAAATTTTGGTATGTAATTTGTTTCAATATTTGGAAGAAAAGTCGAAAAAGACGCAATTTTTTAAAATAAGTCAAAAAAATCTCAATTTTCTAAATTTCCCTGACAAAAATTTTTTTTCCTGACATTTCCCTGACTTCGTGTATATGAAAGTAGTAAAAATTTATTTCTTTTACCCGTATGGTAATTGAAAATTTGTTGCCAATATTCGCAATTAAATTTTCACACTCGAAACTATAATCGACATAATAATTCCAATAGTCAGAATGAAGAATTAACCAAACAAGTCTAAAATTCCCATTTAAATAAACATATATATTGTCTTTCAATGATACATATCAAATGTTGAACACGTGAGAAGTTCTTGAAGATCTTCAATTCTCGAGAAGAATTTAAAGATGTATATTCACACATATATATGTTTGTGAACGTATACATGTCCCCATTCGTATATATTTGAAGTTCTCTTGTATTAAGTTAGTGGTTTCGAAGAAGTTGAGACTGTATGTGTTTCAGAACTCGCTCGTCTTTCCTCTTGTGGTTTCGAGTGACGGCACTTGCACCTGTCTGGCAAGCGGCGCCAACACCCCGCGCAACTAATTCCATCATAGTATATATACTGTATATGTATTTTCGATCCAGAATCATTCCACAATGATCACACACGACTTAGAGAAAACACCTGATGAGAGAAGAAAAATCCGGTTATCTCGAAAGAAACGATCGCTGATCCCACATCCTTGAAACCGGTTCAACTTCAATCTCCTTCTCTCTCTCAAAAATTTTATCACCACAGAAGTCAAATTACAAGCTTTTTCCATTTTAAGAAAAATTTATTATTCAAAAAAGAATTTCACCTGGAAATTCCCGAAAATAATTTCTTTCTTTTCTCAAGTTGAATTTCAATGGAGTAAACACTACTTTAAATTCGCTAATACTAGAAAACAAAAACTATTCTCAAAAATAATAATCATATTCTTTAAAACTATTCAATTACCTTCAATATCTACTATTTTCACATAATTTCGCAAAAGAATTCAATTATTTAAAAAAAAATTGATAAAACTCATCTAAAATTCAATTATTTTCATAAATAATAAAATTCATCGCAGGATTTCAATTATTTGTAATACAATATTTTACAGGAAATCTTTGAAAGAATTCAATTATTAAAGATAAATGACAAAATTATTCCCGAAAATTCAATTATTTTGAGGCATTTTAATAAAATTTTTGGCAAAATTCAATTATTTTCATAAATAATAATACTCATCACAAGAATTCAATTATTTTTAAAAGTAATAAATTTTTTCTTGGTAATTCAATTATTTAAAAAAATTCTAATAAAATCGTTCGCCAGAATTCAATTATTGCATGGAAAATAATTTAATTCTTGGCAAGAATTTTTTTTAAATTCTTTAAAATAGTTGAATTGTTTTGAAGAATTTATTTCAATTTTCTTGAAAATAATGGATTTTTTAAAAATAATTATTTACTTTTTGGAACTTTTGACTCCCTACCATAATTTTAATTGAAAATTTTGAAAATAATTGAAATTTACAAAGAATTTTATTGAAAATTTTTTAAGAAGAATTGAATTGTTTAGAAAAATTTTATTGCAATTTTTAAAAATAACTGAACCTATTAGAGAAATTTTATTACAATTGTATTGTAAATAATTAAATTTCTCAGAAGAATTATTAAAATTATTAATAATTATCAAAAATTCGAAAAACCTATTTTTTTAAAATTCAACATTTTTTCTTCTTTTTTATGGCATTTAACTTCATAATTTTTGGGCTCTTCAAAAATACTTTAGTTAATTAATAGTCTTCACCCTTTGGTTAAAAATTTAAAATTATTAAAAATTATCAAACATTCGAAAAACCGATTTTTTTTAAAATTCAACAATCAGGGTTCCTACAGAAATCCGAATTTAAAATTCCATACCTTTTCCATGATTTCCAAGTCAAACTTTTAGGAAATTCCAATGGAATTGAAAAATTGTCAATTAAATTTGCGTATTCAAAGATTTGACTATTTAAAAAAAATGTGAATAAAAATTTTTGCAAATTACTACTTCTGAATTTTTAATTAAAATTTTATAAAATTCAAATTTTATTTAAAACTTTAAATTTCAAATTTTTTTGGAATTAAATAACTAAAAATTTTAAACGCAACTCTATTAAAATTAAATTAAAATTCAATTTCTAATTTGTTGATCATAATCAACAATTAATAATTATTAATTATTGTTCGATAAGTTATAATTCAAAATTGTTTATATATCATAATTTATCAAAATTTTCATTCAGAGACTTAATCGTCATATCAAATATATAGTTTCATGCAATAATAAAAATCTTACCTCTTACATAGAGAAAAATGTTTTGTCAGTCTTTTTTTATCAAAGGAAGTATTCAATTTGTTACTTACTTCCTATTTCTAGATATATTTTTCCCAAATATACTTCTATTTTCTCTCAGAAATGTTTCCTTGATGTCCAATTGATTCAAGATAAGGAGATAATCAATAGTCAGGAAATATGCAAAACTTTCCGAATAAAAAATTTTCATCTGAAAAAAAATGTTTACTATTCAATAAAATTATTCAAAAATAATAAGTATTTATTATTTTAATAATTATTATTAATTAATAAAATAAAAATTTAGTGTAAATTAATATAATAAATGTAAATTTAATAAAAACAAAATTAATAATTGAACTGCCGGATCAAAGAAGGTCACATCTTTAATAAATTAATTAATTATATTATTTAATAATAATTATTACATTCACAATTATCATTATTTTTATCTCGATTTAAAACAATATTTTTAATCGAGAAAGAGGAATTCAAAATTGTTTTTTTTCTGTTATTTGCGAATTTACTGCAAAACAAAAATATTGGAATCTAACCTCAAAAAACACTAATAATTAAAAATATTTTTTGCGTTCTACAGCATTGGAAATTTGCTAATTATTCTATTTACGTCAGTACTGGACACATGAATTTACATTTATTGCATTTATTCAACAAGTTTTTTCACTGAACTACGAATGAAAATTCAATTAAGAAAATAGAAAATCCTAAACATTGTAAACATTGCAAATGGCAAATGAACAATAAAACACCAAGTAAAATTCAATAGTCGACAAGTAGACGACGCGGTCAAAGTTTTCTCCGATCGTTATTTATCACTTCTTAATATTTATACTTTACAATAAAAACTTATTTTTTAACAATATTGAACAAACAGAACAATGCAAATGACACAAAAATAGTAACAAAATGGCGTACCTAAGCCGGAAACGGAAAAATGCAAAAAATGTCAATGAACTAATCATCGTTTCAGGGACTTTTTCCAATGAGGTGTAAATCATTTTTAACATCTTTTGCTGTAGTTTACCTTATTTACACTTTAAAATAATATTAAGAGTGAAAAATGAAACAAAAACAATAAAATATTGAGGATTGCTGAAGAAACGGAAACGAAGAAAGAAGTAATTTCCAGGACTGCAAACCTAGCGTCGAAATTTGGAACTTTTGGGAGTACCAATTTTAGAACGCGCTAAAATTTAAATGCATTATCTATTAAAAATGAACTTTTTATTCGTAAAAATGTAAATAAAAAAAAGCTATTAGCGTAAAGTAGAAAATATTAACTAAAAATGACAATATAAAAATAATGAATACCTACCGTCAGTAAAAACTATATGAAAATTATGTAATTTCACGAAAATTGTCGACAAAATAGATCAAATAAAGATTTTTCCTTATATTACTTAACCCTTTTTTTAAAAATGAAAATTACTTATTAAATTTCCAGTATAAAATTCAATTTTAAGTACTCTCAATTAATTTTAAGGATTTTTAAGTAAAACCGTGAAACATACTTTTTAAGGTTATGTTATTGTTGTCAAAAATTAATCGAACTTTTTTTTACCAAGTTTACACGTTTTGCTGAAACAAATAATCAAATATTTACTAGTAATGAAACATTTTACTTTAATTTGTTGTATTTTACTTATAAAAGCTTAAATTATAACTGCTATTTTATGTTAATTACTATTTTAAATCCACTTTCTCTCACACTCACCTTTCGTTAATCAACATAATGAACTTAGCCAATAGTCAAACTGTCAAAGTGTCAAAATTTGATGCAGTGTTGCCAACTTTAAAGTATATTATCCACTTCCGGTTTGTAAGTTTGCAAAATTTTAAATTTATATTAATTTTGGAAACATTATTCATTTCTTTGTTATTGTAGTATAAATTAGTTTATTTATTTAAAGACTTTAATAAATATAAACTTTTAAACTTAATGACAATAACAACAACTAAAAATAGGAATCGAAGAATGTACCGAAAAAACATGTGATACGAACTTTATACTAATTTTATTTTTGAATTTCATATTTTATTTTTGCATAAAAATATTATTTAACTAAAAAAAGAATTTGTTTTTTAATTTCAAGTATCAGAAACAACTACATATATATATTTAATAGAATGCAGATTAAAAGAAATATAGAAGAAATTGAATAAAAATTTGAATTTCCCCTGTTTGCCCGCCTAAAATTTAACCCACCTTCAAGTCGTACCTGACCTGACATCTGACGGAAGAGTGAAACACCAGCCAACGATCATCACATCTCAATTCACAGTTGATCACAGTCAACATCGAGAATTTGTAAGTAGCGTCAAAATAAACAGAATTTATCATTTTATTTATCTTCAGTTAATAAAATAATAAGTGTTTTATAATTATTCCAATTATCTACGTGTTCCTTCAAACAATTTCATTATTGCTACTTGTTTTATTTATAATTTCAAAGGACACAAACATTCTGAAAGTATCACCTTGAATTCCTAACCTAAGTATAACTTTACAATTGTGTATTTTCCAAAACAAAAGAATTTCGTTAATATAAAACTAAATGAACTAAATTAAACTAAATTATCGTTTTTTTAGTTGTCTTTTCTGAACTTTGTGTGAACATATGAATTAAAAATGAAGTATTTCGGAAAAAAAACAAGAAAATTTTTAAAATAGAAAAAGTAGGCATCAAAAAAATTCTTCAAAGTTCCTCGAAATTGAACAAGATGGCAGCTCCTTGTCAATATTGGCATTGAATTGTGCATTGAATCTGAAAAGCAGGGGGAAAGGAAAGAAACAAACCTACAGTCTCGATTCTTAACCAACAACCAACTCTCCTCGACCATTCGGTTTACTCGCTTCGTAACAAGCTGGTTTTTCGTGGTGTGTGTTCCTCGGCCTCGAGCATGTGTCCCATGTTTCCTTCCCTTGTTCATTTACATTAGTGTGCGCGCGCGTCTACACTCACTCGACCAACTCAACCATACGTACGTATATGTCATCGTTTGATTCGTGTGCGTTCCCCAACTCCTGTGTGTGCAACCCGATTGTACATGTAAGAGTGTCGTCGTCGTCGTCGTCGTCCTGATCATCAGCAGTGCGCGAGAGAAAAAGATTTTTTTTCCTCGCGGCTCGCAATGCTACGAGCATGTTTTTCCGACATTCAGGTAAATCTTTAATCTATTCTTCCTCTCTTGCATTTCACTAAAATTTCCCAATAACCATTTACCCAATGCTCCCAATGCTAGATGAAAAAAAAACTCGTCCTCCATTACTCACTGGCAAATGGTGGCCTGTCGACTCTTGTGTCTGTGTAAACCTTTGTTACTTGTTTGTCTCTCGTAGTTTTTCTCAACTCGATAATTTTTACATTGAAAAAAAGTGCTTATTTCGTGTCGTGAAAATTCATTTCTATTTAATCGTGGGACCTAGTGCAACGTCATAAATACGGGTTTTTTCGTGAACTGGAAAGTTCGTCTCCCCCAATCTCTGTTTCCAAGTGTTATGATTCTCGGTGGGTTTACTGCTATCGCTCGATGACGACGAGACACGAATTGCGCATCGCTCTTTTCGTCAAATTTTCAGTATCGCATTTTTTATTATCGACGAGATAAGCAAGGAAAAAAACAGCTCCTTTGGGAAATAATTTTTTTTCTGTATTATTTTTTCTTCCTCGGGATTTAAAAGTCCAACGCGGGGGGTAAGGGGAACAATTCCAGTTTGTATTTTTAGACAAGTCCCGACCAGTCGATCGGTTTTTTTTCACCACCAGTTTAATGTTTCGACCTCACAAGGCCCTTTTTCGTTTTCCTTTTTTTCCCCATCAAGCTCATGATGTGCAAGATTATGAAATCTGGGAGTGAAAATTTATTTTGTAGTTTAGATTTTTGTTTATTTACCTCTAGTGCACTTTTTTTTTCTTCTTTTGTATTTATCTTATCAGAGTCAGTGTTTTGTAGCAGTTTTTTTAACGTCACAAAGTTGTCTTGTTGTCAAGTTTTCTTGATTTTTAATCTCGATTTTCTTACTTTTAATATTTTTCATTGTCTTATTTTCTCGTTATTTTCTTCCCTTGGAATTGTTTCTTGTATTTTTTTATTTTGTCCCGTAGTTTATATTTTAATAGCAAACTTACTTTTTTCCCAAACTTAAATTTTCTCAAATTTAATTTTCTTTATATTTTAAAGCAAAATTTTCTTTTTTTTCTCAAAGTTAAATTTTCTCGAATTTAATTTTCTTTATTTATATTTTAAAACAAAATTTTATTTTTTTCCCAAAGTTAAATTTTCGAACTGAACTGGAATTTAATTTTCTTTTTTTTTATATTTTACAGTCAAGTAGTAAATTTTTCTGAAAAAGTTAATAATAAAGAAACTTGATAAAGAAAATTAAATTCAGTTTGAAAATAAATTTATTTTCAAACTGAATTTAATTTTCTTTATTAAGTTTCTTTATTATTTAGTTTCTTAATTGTCAAGTTTCTTAATTATTAGATTTTCTGTTTTTAAATTTACAATTTGTTTAAGTCTTTAAGAAGAAGATAATTTAAGAATTATTAATTCACGTTTTTAAAAATTTGGTACGAAATTTTTCTTTTTTTCACCATTTTGATTACAATTTTTAGATTTAGATTAGAATTTTTAACAAAACAATTTATTTCACTTCGGAAGGAATTGATCGTTCTTTATATACAGAATCACGGGAAATGATCTAGAAAAAAAACGATGAGTAATAGTTTCTGGAATATCGTTTGCAATTTACAAATTAGGAAATAATTCCTCGATTTATCATCTTGTGTATTATTTTTTTTCTCAAGATGCATACATTTTTTTTATCAGTCTTGTGTATGCAGTTCTAAATTTGGAATTGGAAGTTCTGTTGTGACACTGTTATATTCTTATAGTTTCAGGTGCACAAGTACATTTATGTAATTTTCCCTCTTTAAAGTCTTAACGTTTTTTTTATTATTGTAATTATTTAAAAACTGTTTAGTATTTTCGTTTTTAATTTTTAAAATTGAATATTCATGATTTAAGCTTATTACTCGAATTTATTTTCAACTGCAATTGGAATTCAATTTCAACTACAATTAACAAAAAGAAACTAAAAGTTATTATTAACTGAAAAATATTCAGTTAGATTCTCACTGTTTGTAATAAGTTTTAAAGGCATTTAAAAAAAACATTGTTTTCAGAACATAAATAGAAGCATTAAATGTGAAATGTAACCTTCGTTTGATAAACTCGGACATATTTTTTTCCTTCGTTTCTATATTGTAAATTAAAACGAATATTTTTAAAATCCTTTTTTTGAAAATTTGTTTAAATTTTAATATTTCTTTTTTGAAGAAATATTGAATAGAAGAAAGAATTTTGTTCTTTTTGTAATTTGTAATTGAGATTTTTTCCTCTTTTCAGGCAGAATAGTGGCATGAGTCGATTAATCTATGGCAGATCAACAAGATCAGTCGTCGTCTGGGGGGTCTGTAGAGAAGGCCAGTGCTTCAGCAGACACCTCTAAATTAAGGGGGAAAAGCTCTAGCAGTGGCAGCAGCGGAAACAGAAAGAGGCAGAATAGTGCTGCCGTCCCAATTACGCTTGAGGAGAAACGTCGTAAGCAAACTATTGGAGAACCACAGACATTGCAAGTTCTTCAAGGAACCTCTTCATCATCGCAACGCCGATCTGTTGATTCTTCAAAAGGTGAAAGTCGAACCCGAGGAGAGCGTAAGGGACATGGCACTGGTTTAGGATTACTCTTAGGTAACAAATACAAATTAAATCTCTAAATGAAATTAAATACAAATAAATCAAAATCAAAGAAATTAAATCTAAAGATACAGGGCTCGAACTAGGTCCATAAATCCCGTAAAGCTCCGTAAATTTTGATTCTAGTCTTTAAAAGTCAGTTTTTAAAAAAGGTCCCTAAAGTCTGTAATTTGATTGAAAAAAGACGAAAGGTTCGTAAATTCTACGAAATAGTTTTAAAAATTTGAAAAAAAATACAAATGATTGCAGAAATTCAATTATTTTCAAAAGTACCTAATAAAATTTGTCGAAGAAATTCAATTATGTCCAAAAATTTAAAAAAAATTCTAGTCAAAATTCAAAATTATCTTTAGAAATAAAATTCTTCTCCAAAATACAATTACTTTCAAAAAGTTTAATAAAATTCTTGTCAAAATTTCAACTATTTTACAAAAATTTTCCTCAATTCAATGATTTTCATTATCTACTATTTTAATCAAATTTTTGCACATGAATTCAATTACATAATTATTTTAAAAAGATTTAATAAAATTCTATGCAAACATTCAATTATTTTCATAAATAATAAAATTCTTTTTCGAAATTCAATTATTTTCATAAATAATAAAATTTTTACAAATATTCAATTATTTTTGTACATAATAAAATTCTTTTTAGGAACTCAATTATTTTCATGAATAATAAAACTCATTGCAGAATTGCAATTATTTTTAATAAAATTTATTTATTTCAATTATATCAGTTATTTTGAATAGAATTTAAATTAAGAAAAAATTCAATTATCTTTAAAGATTTTAATAAAATTCCACGCGGAAATTCAAATATTTACACAAATTTTAATAGAATTCTTGATAAAATTTCAATTATTTTCATAAATTATAAAAATTTCATTTTAATGGAAATCTTTCAAACAATTCAAAAAATTTCATAAATTTTAATAAAAATTTATTCTAAGATTTCTATTAATATAATTTCATAATTAAAAAACCTATCGCAGAATTTCAATTATTTTTAATACAATTTTTATCAAATTTCTCAAAAAATGTAATTATTCTTAAAATTTTTTTTTTTTTTTTTTTTTTTTTTAATACAATTTTAATTGAATTATTCTTTTAAAATTTCATAAAATGATTCAAATAAATAATTTTCACAGGAATTCAATTATTTAAAAAAAATTAATAAAAATCGTGGCAAGAATTTAATTATTTTCATAAATAATACAATTTTCACAGCGATCAATTATTTTCATAATATGTCATTGAAATTCTTTTTAGGAATTCAATTATTTTCATAAATAATATTTATTGCAGAATTTCAATTATTTCAATGCAATTTTAATCGAATTCCTCGAAAAATGTAATTATTCTAAAAAAATTTTATTAAAATTTGTCAAAAGAATTCAATTATCTATTTAAAAAATTCAATGACAAAATTTTAGAATTTTCTAATAAAAATTGATTTAAAAATGAATTTCGGTTGAAATTTTAGATTTTAATTAAATATTAAAAGCATTATAGTGTGAATTTTTAGAAATAATTCATTTTTGAAATAACATTCTTCTCAGAAATTCCATTATTTTGAAAAATTTTCAAAAATTCTCGTCAACATTTCAATTATCATTATGAATAATAAAATTATTCGCCGAAATTCAATTATTTTTTAACAATTTTAATAAAATTTTTGACAAAATTTCCATTATTTTTGTAGATAATAAAATTTTTTACTGGGTTTCAATTATTTTCACCTAATAAAATTCTTTTAACGAATCGAAATTTTTGTAAAATTGAATTGTAAACAAATAGATTTCAAAATTCTAAAAGAACTTTTTTTTAAAAAGAATTTCAGTTAAACTCAAATGAATTTGAAAATTCTCAAATAGCTTTTTCATAAATTATTTAAAAAAATGGATTTATAGAAAAATGTTAGGAAAAAATACTAAAAAAAAATTTAGTTTTGAAGAAGTAACAAATTATTGCAGAAATTCAATTATTATCTATTTTCAAAAACCAAACTTAATTATTTTCATAAATACTAAAACTCATCGCAGAATTTCAATTATTTTTAATACAATTTTAATCAAATTTCTCGAAAAATGTCATTATTCTTTAAAATTTTATTAAAATTCGTCAAAAGAATTTAATTATTTAAAAAGTTTGTTGGTAAAATTCTTTACGAGATTTAAATTTTAAGAAACATTAAAATATTCAATAAATTATTTATTTTTGTATTTAAATAATTGAATTCTAGTAGATTTTCTAATAAAAATTGATTTAAAAATGAATTTCAGTTAAAATTTTAGATAATAACTGAATATTAAAAGCAATGTAGCTTGAATTTTTAGAAATAATTGAATTTTGAAATTAATTATTTTAAAAAAGTGTAATTGAATCTTTTTTATATTATTTAAAGTTTTTATATTCTAATATAAATTTAATTGAAGAATTTATGAATAATTGAATTACTTAAAATTGATCTCCGAGTCGAAGACTCTGAGTTATCGATATCTTCATGTTTTATAGTTATAAAAATATTTAATTTCTAGTTTTAAGTAAAATGTTCTCTTATTTGACTCGGACTGGTCATATTTTTTTATTGATCCGTGAATGGTCCGTAATTTTTCAGTTTTTGGTCCGCAAAGTCCATATTTTTAAAAAATACTTTCACTGGTTCAAGCCCTAAAAGAAATCGAACCCAAAGAAATTAAATCCAAATATTTCTAAACCAGAAACAACTATTTTTTTAACACAATTTTCTCTCTTTGATACAATCTTGTTGACGAAAGATTTTTCTTCTTCAAATTTAGATACAGATTGGAGACAGCGACAGAAGTCGCAGCAGTTGAATACGATTGGAGGAAGCACCGTTCGGATTCGAAGTAGTACAACGAAAAATAGCTCTTCCGATTTGAATTTGGCAATTGATTGTGTCGCATCAAGGACCCGATCACGTGCACTGATAAATACTCCATTTTTATCGAAACCAAACACTGGAATCGAACTGCCCCTATCAAGTAATCTCAATAATAGAAAAACTATCACGAGTCATAGTAGCTTGACACCGTCATCTAGCAGTACTTCTATTTCTAACCATCCATCTACATCCAAAGGCAGAGGTGAGAAAAATGTCTCTTTTTTTTAATTCCAAACATCCGAATCATTCTAAATTTTCATTAAAATACACTATTTTTAATTTGCGACAAAAAAAGATTTTTTTCCAAATCGTTTCACTGTCAATTTGACAATGTGAAGCATACAAATGTCCCAATTCTGTAATTAATTTTCACTTTTCGATCTGAAATAGATCACTTTTGAAATCAAACAGCCTTCGTAATGTTTACTTTTGCTCTAATTTATCCAATTCTCGAACTGGTTTCAATTGTTGAAATCGGTTTTGTCAATCACTTGTCAGTAATTGGGACATTTATCTTTTAACCCTTTAAGGTTCATAGGAGGAAATTTAATATCGCCTCGAGGAAATATTATTTCAAATTAAAAGTTGAAGAAATTTTTTGTTTTCAAAAAAAATATAATATAAAAATTATTATTTTTATAGTAAATCAGAATATTCTTTAGAATAAGGAAAAAAGTCAAAATTCTGTCTGGGAATTATCAGGCCTCGGATATTAGGATTTTTTCAACTTTTTTCGACTATTTTCAAATAATGCGACTTTTATCGACTTATATTAAAAAATTGCGACTTTTTCGACTTTTCTTCCAAATTTTGCGACAAAATATCATATTTTTAGTATAAAATGCTGCAACTTTTTTCGATTTTTACGCGCAGTATAAAGAATAGCTGTAGATAAATCTTTCGAAAATTTTTTCTAATTAAATTTTTGAAATATACAATTAAAAAGGTTTTGAATAACTGAAATTTAGTAAAATTAATTGAAAATAAATCCTTTTTTTTCAAGTATTTTATTATAATTTTCGAAAATTAACTATTATAGAATTTTTATTGCAAATTTTGGAAATAATGGAATTTTTAAAAATTTTAATGAATAATCTTCAAGTGTAAATTCGATAAAAAATGAAAAAAATTAAAATAATTTTGAACAAAGTAATTCTCTGACAAAGTATTTTAAAATTTTTAGAAATTTACTATTTTAGAATTTTTTGAGAAATTATTTATTTGTTTAATAAATTTTTTTGAAAAATTTAATTCGTCGCAAAATTCAATTATTTTCATGAATTTTAATAAAATTTAGGTCTAAATTCTATTTTTTAGGAATTTTAAAAAAATTTATTGCAAAATTCAATTATTTTCAGGAATTTTAATAAAATTTTTGTCTAAATTCAATTTTCAGGAATTTTTAAAAAATTTATTGAAAAATTAAATTATTTTCATGAATTTTATTAAAATTTGTTGCAAAATTCAATTATTTTCAGAAATTTTAATAAAATTTTTGTCTAAATTCAATTTTCAGGAATTTTTAAAAAATTTATTGAAAAATTAAATTATTTTCATGAATTTTATTAAAATTTGTTGCAAAATTCAATTATTTTCAGAAATTTTAATAAAATTTTTGTCTAAATTCAATTTTCAGGAATTTTATTAAAATTCGTTGTAAAATTCAATTATTTTCATGAATTTTAATAAAATTTATGTCTAAATTCCATTTTTTAGGAATTTTTAAAAAATTTATTGCAAAATTCAATTATTTTCAGGAATTTTAATAAAAATTTTTGTCTAAATTCAATTTTCAGGATTTGTTTTTAAATTTATTGAAAAATTCAATTATTTTCATGAATTTTAATAAAATTCGTTGCAAAATTCAATTTTTGTAAAGATTTTACTAAATTTAAATTATTTTTTAAAAAGATTTTAACCAATTTCAATTTTTTAAAAAAAAATTTTTAATTGTTATGTAATTGTAAAACTATTGCGTCTTTCAAAAATTATTTAGAAATATTTTTAAAAAGTTAATTTTACGAATTTATTTATTAAAATTTTTGAATATATTCTACCTTAATATCTTTATACAGAAAATGAACGGTTTCAATTATTAAAAAAAAATTCAATTTTTGTATTTAAATAATTAAATTCTTGAAGAACTTTCGGAAAAATATTAAAAAGTAATATAGATAATTGATTTAGAAATGAAGTTTAGTTAAAAATTGTAGAAAATAATTGAATTCTTGTAAGGGTTATAGTTTTTAAATTTTATTTTCTGGTGAAAAAAGAAATAAGAAGTATTTAAATATTTTATTTAGCAAAATTGTACAAGTTTTGATTAATTGAATTTAGAAATCAGTGAAGAATCAGGAAAATAGAAAAAAAAATATTTTTGACAACACTAGATTAAATAAACGACTATTTCGACTTTTTTTTCTATTTTTAATCGACTAAAGCGACTTTTTTTGTTCGTTAAAGTCTTTCTGAGGCCTGAATTATGGAAATATCAGGGAAAAACAAAATTAGATTTTTGTGGCAATTCTGTAAAACAATAATCATACTTTTTCATGTAATGAGAATTTATTATTAGAAAATTGTTATTTTTATTATCATTATTATTATTATTATTATTATTTTTATTATCAATAATACTGGTATTATAATTAATAACTCACTGAATATAATTGTCTTAAAGGGTTAATTCTAATAATAAAGTGAAAATTTATTTAGACAAAACAAAGATTACAATTTTCCAAGAGTGCAGTCTGCAAATAAGCAAATTAATTAGTGGAATAATAATTGGTCACTAGATTCGATTTCTTTTCTTTGAATTGTTTACATAATATTTATATGAAGTTTGGAAATTTTATTGTGAATAAAGAGTCATATAAAGACTGTAATCATATAGGCCAGAGGATGAGCGAATGTCTGGATGGATTTGTGTCTGCTGTAAAGGCACTTTTTCCCATATCGACACAAACCTATCATCAAGAAGGTAAGCCCAAGGAATCAGCTGCTTGTCTAGAAAAGAAAAAAAAACAAAAACCTTACCTTCTCTATTTACTTTCTGCTCTTCATCTTGTACATAAAAAAAAGTGTTTCGCAGAATGCGTATAAAAAGGACGTTATTTCCCAATTCTTTTTTTTCTGTAATATAATTTTCTTAAATGCAGATGATGCACTTATTTCCTAAGGTTTTTTTTTCTACCCCTTTTTGAAATATTGCACTCATTTATTCCTTGGCTTTTTTGGTAATTTTCTTTCTTTTTTTTCATTTCGAAGAAGGAATGAAAATGTATTTTTTCGCATTTTGTGTTCTCTTCAGTTTTTGGAAAAAAGTTTTCTAATTTTATTATCTCTTCTTCTGTTCTATTTGCTTTTGAAAAGTAAAATATTCTTTTGTAACTAAAAAAATCTGTCTTGTATCTATTTATTTTTTTTTGTCAAATTTACATTTATAAAGAAGTTTGAATCGTAAATCTATTTTATTGGGTTGTAAAATTAACCTCTGAATGTCTTCTAATTTTCCCTTAATTCCTGATAGTATTTTCTCATTATCTCTCTCTCACTCATTCTCTTTTTTTTTGGTAATAATTTCTTGATCTTAATCCATTAATACGTGATGCTTGCAATCTCAGTGAAATTGTGCATAAAATTATGATTAATTTAAGCTTCCTTACGCATCATATGCTTTACTGGGTTCCCAATTCCCGCAAGATTGTTTAATAAAAGGAAGTGTAACTTGTGCTTAAATGAGATGAACATTCTAAAACAACTTTTACTTCATTTTTCCTATTTTATTATTTATATAAAATAATGTAAAAAGAAAATTAAGTTATAAAGGAGAAATTTGAAATCTCATTTGCAGGCCTCGGATATTATGACTTTTTCGACTTTATTCGACTATTTTTCAAAAAATGCGGCTTTTTTCGAAATATTTTCAAAAATTCAGACTTTTTCCACTTTTCTTTCAAATATTGCAACAATATATCACATTTTTAGTATAAATTGCAAATTATTTCGATTTTTCTAGTGTGAAAAGTAACTATAGACAAATCTTTCAAAAATTATTTTTGTATAATTTTTCTAACTAAATTTTCGAAATATACAATTAAAAAGATTGGGAAGAATTAAAATTTTGTAAAATAATTGAATTCTCAAAAAAGTTTAATAAACAATGTTCAAGTGTAAATTTATGAAAATGAAAATAAATAAACACTACCTTCTAAAAAATAATATTAAAATTTCTGTTTAAGAAGTAATTCTTAGAATTTTTTTTATTATAAATTTTAAAAATTCAATTGTTTTCAATGTTTTCAAAAGTATCATTCCGAAAATTCAAATACGTAAGTACAAAAAATAATACAAAGTACAAACATTACAATTCTTCAGGATTATTTTTAACATTTTTTAAAGAAAACAATTTTTGGGAAAATTTTTAATTGAATTTCTTCAAAAAAATTACTTAGTTTTTTTTAAATTATACAAAAATTCTTGAAGGAAATTAAATTATTTTCGAAAAATTAACATTAGAATATTTTTATAAAACTAATTCTTCGAATTATTTTATCATAATTTTTTCAGATTTAGATACTTATATTCCAACAAAATAAATTAAATTTTTTGAAAATTTACTTCTTTAGATTCTTATTAAAATTTCGGAAAATCATTTTTATATTTATAATTAAAATTCTTCAAACATTTGATTATTTATTTTATATTTTTCAAAAATTCAATTATTTTTAAAAGATTTTGTCAAATTTCAATTATTTTAATTGCGACTTTTGCGACTTTTCTTCCAAAAATTGCTACAAACTACCAAAATTTTTAGTATAAATTGCAAATTATTTAGATTTTTCTAGTGTGAAATTCTATAATTTTTCTAATTAAATTTTCGAAATATACAATTAAAAAGATTTGGAAGAATTAAAATTTTGTAAAATTTAATTGAAAACAATTGATTTTTTTCATGTATTATTATTACAATTTTTAAAAAAACAACTTTTGAGCAAATTCATTTGCAAATTTTGTGAAAATAATTGAATTCCCAAAAAAATTTAATGGAAAATCTTCGTGTAAATTTTTGAAAATAAAAATTAATAAAAACTGGCTTCTAAAAAATATTAAAATTTTTTTTTAAAAAGTAATTTTTAGAATTTTTTTTCATTATAAATTTTTAAAATTCAATTATTTTCAAAAATATAATTCCGAAATTTGAAATAGGTACATATTATACATACAAAATAAAACAAACATTAAAATTTTTCAGAATTATTTTTAACATTTTGGAGAAAACAATCATTGTGGAAATTTGTAATTAAAATTCTTCAAAAAATTACTTAGTTTCTTTTTAAGTTATACAAAAATTCTTTTAAGGAATTCAATTATTTTTGAATAATTAAATTGAATATTTTTCAAAATTGAATTCTTAGAATTGTTTTATCATAATTTTTTAATATTTACTTATCTTCGAACAAAGTAAATTAAATTTTTTTATAATTTATTTCTTTAGATTTTTATTAAAATTTCGGAAAAATCATGTTTATATTTATAATTAAAATTCTTCAAAAATTTGATTACTGATTTTATATTTTTCAAAAATTCAATTATTTTTAAAAGATTTTGGTGATTTTTTCATCTTTTTTGTATTTTTAATCCATTAAAGCGACTTTTTTTGTGTCTTAAAGTCGATCCGAGGTCTGAAAATAATATAAAAAGAAAATTAAGTTATAAAGAAGAACTTTGAAATCTCATTTGAATTTCTCTCTAAATCAAACATTTAACATTTTTTTTCCCTTTGAATTTCTTTTTAGGAAAAGAAAATCTGTTAAATGTTGCTCGTAATAAACGTTTTTAAACCATTTTTACATGCATCCAGTAATTTTTAATCATTCAACTAATAAGAATCTAATAATTTTAATAGTGAATTTTTATGAATTTCAATAGTTATTAGTTATTATTATTAATGTAATATAAATATAGTAATTAATAAATAAATAAATATTTTCACAATAGAAAGTTGAGAAAAAAAATGGAATTTAATTTTTTAGTTGGGAATTAAATTGAAAAGAAACGAACTTAGAAATTTAGCAATATTTTCAAATTTTACTAATGAATAAAGTAAATAATAAACAAAACGAATCACTGATAAATCATTTAGTTTAATTTTATAAACCTGTTATATAATTTGTTTTTATTATGTAATTTGTTTTTTGTTTCTTACATAATTCATTCTCACTTTTTTATAATTTGTTTCTTTCTTAATTTAATATTCTATATTTACTTCTTTAGAATTTTTGTTTTATTCAGTAGTTATTCAAAATTATTTATTTATTCAATACTCGATAAAAATTATACCCAATAAATGAATAATTTTTCAGTTTTATTTACGAAATTTTACTGAAAGTTAGAAAATTTAGTTCAATATTATTTCGATTTTAATAAAATAGAATTAAAAAATGAAAAATCGGAGTCGGGAATTAATATTTACGAATTTGAAATCTAGGAATGATTTATTTTTAGAAGAGAATTTTTTGGGATAAATTTTAATTGAATTTAAGTTAGCAAATTAAATAGCGAATACCGATCTAGTGAATTAAGAATAATTCATTGTTTTTTTCTGGATTTTTGTTTATTGTGGACTGGACTCGATAAAAAATGATTTCTTATCCTTCGAATCATGTAATAAATGACGATACAAATCCGGAAGCACTCATTATTCAAATTGCAGTTCTAATTAGTAATGAATGACAAATGAAATGTATTTTTGCTGAAATTTTTCTTTCTTCTTTTTGTGAAAATTTCATTTTATATTTTTCCTTTTTGTTTTGCAGGTAACAAAAGTCAAAGTGGAAGTAGTAGCTGCTTAAACAGCAGTACGAGTAGTCAAGCTTTTGGTGTTAAGTCAAGCATCAGAGTGGGTAACGCAGCCAGTAACGCTGTTGAGAGTAGCGGGGGGGCATTGGCACATGAGGGGGCAGGCACTAGTGGCACAACAACAGCAACAGCCACTGCCAATCCGTCTGTGTCTGCCGCCGCTGCCAACCCTACGCCTCTCTCAAATTCAACGCACAAACATTTATTGCGTTCACGTGTCAAACTTGTCAGTGAACAGACCAAGGATTGGCCATCCACCAAGGTTTCCGGGAAGCATCACAAAAAAGATTCATCATCTGGCTCCTGTTCCAGTTCAAGGTATACGTCAGGAAAAAAACAAAATAATTTTCAGGAAAATCATCATTTTATAAAGCAGGGGGTTGCCACAGGGGAATTTCAGATTTTGAAAAAAAAGGACTGGAAAAATATCAAATTTCTTGAATTACTACAAGACTTCTGGTTTTTGGTGTTCAAAAATATTTTGGACAAACTTAAAAATCTTGAATTCTCTATAAATTTTCTTTCATCTTGAGAACTTTTGAATTAATTTTTTAAAACTACCTCGATTTTTTTTTTTGTTTCTGTAAATAATTGTTTTTATAATTTTCGAAAAAGGTCATAGTAATTAATTTTTTCTTGAAACAGATCGACACTCTCAAAGTTTTAAATCAAATTTTTGCTTCTAAAAATTATCATTTCTTCTAACTGAACATCCCTTGATTTTTTTGTAATATAGATCAGGGAAGAAGTCAATTTTCCGTCTGAAAATCAGGGAAAAATCAAAATCGAATGTTTGTGGCAACCCTGTAAAGAGACTGTAGGAATTGACGAAAGAATTGTGAGAAATAATTTCATTCAAGCAAATGATAAAAAAAAAATACAAAAACAGATTTGCCACAGGTCGGGGATTCTTATTAAAAATACTGAAAAGAAATTAAATTTCTAGAATTCATAAGAAAATTCTGAATCTTTGTGTCTTTTTCGTTTTGCTCATAAACTATGAAATTGACACGAATTCTAATACAAAACCTTCAATTTTTTCTATTTCCGACAATAATTTCTTTTTAAATAATTTAATTATTAAAGACCTCTCATAAAATTATTGCTTATAAATTATTTAATAAATAATTATACTTTAATATTTAAAAATTAATTGAATTTTAGAAAACTTGCGTTTTCAATTTTCATAAATAGATGAACTTTAAAAGGTTTCAATTTGAAATTTTAGAATATTTCAATTTCAATTTGAAAAATTTTAATAATTCCAATTCTTTTGAAATTAGTTACATTTTTTAATATATATTTAATAATTTATTAAAAATAATGGATTTATAGTAAAAATTTCAATTATTTTCAAAAGTAATAAAATTCTTCTCCAAAATTCAATTACTATTTTTAAAAATTTTCCTCAATTCAATGATTTTCAATACATATATCTACTATTTAAATAAAATTTCCATAAAGAATTCAATTACTTAAAAAAAAAAGTTTTAATAAAATTCTACGCAAACATTTAATTATTTTCATAAATAATAAAAATTTCACAGGAATTCAATTATTTACAAATTAAATTTTTTATAACTTTCTTCGCAATAATTCAATTATTTTTCATGAATAAAAGAATTCAATTATTATTTTTAATATAATTTTAATCAAATTCCTCGAAAAATGTAATTATTCTTAAAAATTTTATTAATAAATTCGTTGAAAGAATTTAATTATTTAAACATTTGTTGATTAAATTCTTTAAATTAAATCCGAAAAATTGTATTAAAATGCTTCGTAATTCTATGATTATTATAAATAATTAATTGTTTTACAGGAATTCAATTACTTAAAAAAAATGTAGAAAAACCGTTTCAAGAATTAAATTATTTACAAATTTTTTATAAATTTCTTTGCAATAATTCAATTATTTTTATCAATAATAAAATTTCTTACAGCGATTCAATTATTTTCATAAATAATAAAACTCATCGGAAGATTTTAATTATTTTTGATACAATATTCTAGTCGAATTCCTCGAAAAATGTAATTATTCTTAAAAATTTTATTAAAATTTGTCAAAATAATTCAATTATTTAAAAATTTGTTGATAAAATTCTTTATGAGAATTCAATTTTAAGAAAAATTCAATTATTCAGTAAATTATTTATTTTTGTATTCAAATAATTGAATTTTCGCAGAATTTTCTAATAAAAATTGATTTGAAAATGGATTTCAGTTAAAATTTTAGATTATAATTGAATATTAAAAGCATATTAGGATGAATTTTTGGAAGTGATTGAATTTTGAAAAGGTTTTAAATGATTTTTTTTTAAATTTCAATTTTTCATACTTTTAACTAAAAACTCTATAGAATTAATTTTTTTGAAATAGTTCAATTGAATTTTTTTTCTAATTATTTCAAGTTTTTATTTTCTAATATATATTTAATTGAAGAATATCGGAATACTCGAAATTTCACGTAAAATTGAATTGTAAACAAATGGATTTGAAAATTCTCAAAGAACATTTTGAAAAATCATTAAAAATAATATAACTGATTTCAAGAAGAAATTTAGTTAAAAATTCTAAAAAAGATTAATTTAATTGAAATGATGAAAATAACTTTGAAAAAGTTACAGTAAAATTATTCTTATAATATAAAATAATTATTTTATCATTCGATCATCTTTAATTAATATAAAACATGAAGATGTCGATCACTCCGAGTCGAAGACTCGGAGTTATCGATATCTTCATGTTTTATAACAAATATTCTTACAAGTTTTTGAACTTCAATGTTTTGAAAAATTTTATATCCTACGGAAAAAATAATAACGATTAAATATTTATTTAAAAATAAAGTTATTGATGTTTTCGAATAATTTTACTTTTGAAGAAATTTGTAAATAAATGTAATAGAACATTTTTTTTAGTATCTAATCATTTTTAGAGTAAATCAAAATATTCTTTAGGTTCAGGAAAAAGGCAAAATTTTGTCTGGAACTCAGGGAAAAGTAAGGGAAAAATAAAATTAGATTTTTGTGGCAACCCTGAAAATCTGTCGACATATAAATTCTTTTTTTTTCTTTTGTCGATTATATAAATAATTCTAAACAAAAAAAGTAATTCAAGATCTAGAATCAAATTTGAGAGTCTACTCGAGAAAATATTGTTTAAAAATCAAAGTTTTTAGGAAGTCAAAAAAGGAAACGTATTTAAACTCCGCTGTAATTCTGTGATTGAACTAATAGAAAAACCAATCTGTAGAAACAAACTCTAAAGCTGTCTTAACAAACAAACGATGAAGTTTCCCTAAAACTAATAATGTTTTCCTGAAAGCATTTTCGAATTTCCAATGTTTCAACACTGTTGAATTACTATTTAACCGAATTTTTTTCACTGTTTAACGTTTAGTCGATTTTTATCCAATAGAAACTCTTATTTATCACCATTTCTGCTTAACTGAATTTTCAAATGACATAATTTCCATTTCACCGAGTTTTCAATCAATAAAATATCCTTTCAATGTAAAAAAAACATTTAGTTAAATAGAAATTCAGGAGAATGGAAATTTTAGCACATGGAAATTCTTTTTTGAGAAATTTCTAATCAATATAAAAATTATAGGTTAAAAAATTGTTTAGATATAGAAAATCCATTTGAATGTAAATACGAGAATGCATAAAATTTATACTAACAAAGTATTCAGTAGAATAGAAAATCCAGTGAATGAAAAATCCAAATTTGCAAAAATTCTCTTTGGGAAAAGCAATGAATATAAAAAATTATATTAAAAAAAAATACTTTGTTAAATAGAAAATCCGATTAATAAAAATACGAGAATGCATACAAATTCTCTTTAGAAAAATTTCCAATATAGAAAATACGCAAAATGAATAAAATTTCGTAAAATAAAAAAAAATTAAAAAAATAAAATAAAGTTCGTTAAATAACTATTCTTTAAAATAAACATTCAGTTGGATGGAAATTCGATCCTAGGAAATTTTGAACGAATTTGAGAAATGCCTTTCGGGAATTAAGTGGAAGCTTTGAATTTTTGTAGAAAGTAAAATTTCAGAGCAAAAATGTTTCTTAAAAAATAACAATTTTGCAGATTCAAATATAGACAGTAAATAATTTTAAAAATTTAGTAACAATTTTGTTTGTACATTTCAATTTTCTTTACTGACGCCTTTCTTTTCTAATTACAGACATCGATCTTCGTCGCGAGCTCGAAAAGCAGCAGCAGATACAAATTCTGGAGGTGCCAATACTTTAATTCCAGGATTTGATATAGTTACAAATAGTACAATTCCGGCATCAGTTGCATCGTCTGCACCCAGCAGTCAATTGACTTCAAGCACAACAGGCGAAGAGTCAGCGTCAACAGCCAGTTCAGCAACTGGTAATTTCATATTTCTCTTTACTTTTATTTATTCAATATTTATTTTATTCTATTCAATCATTATTTCTTTTTATTGTGTATTGTATTTTTTATCTATTCATCTTTTTGTTTATTCATTATTGATTTTATTCGATCAATATATATTTTACTTATTCATTATTTATTTTATTTGTTATTTCTTTTATTATTTACTTTACCAGTGTGACCACGTGTCAGTAAAGTCAGAAAAATGACAAGAAAAAAAATTTTTTTTTTAGAGAAATTAAGAAAATTGAGACTTTTTTCAACTTATTTTTAAAAATTGCGACTTTTTTTACTTTCTATCAAAATATTGAATAAGAATTCAATATTTTTATAAATAATAAAATTCTTCTCAGGAATTCAATTATTTTAAATACAATTTTAAAAATTTTAACAAAATTCTTTGAAAGAATTCAATTTTTTTTTTAAATTCAATAAAATTCTTGTCAAGATTTCAATCATTTTTAAAACAAATATAATAGAAATTTCCAAATGAATTTAATTATTTGAGAAAATTATATCAATTTTTAGCAAAATTTCAATGATTTTTTAAAATTCTAACAAAATTATTTTTAAAAATTCAATTACATTCATAAATAAAATTTTTAGCAGGAATTCAATCATTTTCAACAGAAATTTATTAAAATTTTATGATAGAATTCAATGATTTTCGAAAGTTTAAATAAAATTCTGTAAGAAATTCAATTGTTTTCAAAAAATTTTAGTAAAATTCTTGTCAAGTATTCAATTATTTTTGAAACAATTTTAATAAAAATTCTCCAACGAATTCAATTATTTAAGAAATTTATCAAAATTCTTTAGAATAATTGAATTGTTTTAAATAGAATTTTAATAAAATGTTTTGAAAACATAAACTCATCGCAGGATTTCAATTATTTTTAATACAATTTTAAATTAATTTCGCTAAAAGCGCAATTATTCTTAAAAATTTGAATAAAATTCTGCGAAAAAATTCAATTATTTAAAAAAATTTGATATAATTTGTTTCTTAGAGTGTAATCATTATTTTTTATTACATTTCTTCAATGAATTTAATTATTATCAAAAATTTTAATTCAATTCTTCGTAAAAATTCAATTATTTTGAAAAATGTTGATAAAATTCTTTACAAGAATTCAAATTTAAAAAATATTCAATTATTCAATAAATTTTTTATTTTCGTATTTAAATAATTGAATTCTCGTTGAACTTTATAATAAGAATTGATTTAAAATTGAATAAAATGAAATTATTAAAGTTTTAAATAATTTTATTTAAAAATTTCAAGAAAAAAATGATTGAATTTTAAAAGAATTACTTTTGTAATTTTTAGAAATAGTTCAAATTCAAACATTTTTTACATTGAAATCATTTGAAATATTTTAATTCCTCTAGAAAAAAATAAATAGGTTTTCAAATAATTATTTTAAAAAATTATTCTATTTTTGAATGTAATTAAGAAATTGTTAAATAAATTGAGTCAAGTTCAATTTTTCAATAGCTACTTTTTTACTACTTTTTTCTGTCTTTATGCTACTTTTTGCTAATTTTTTTGAAATTAATTATCGAGTACGAAACCTGTAATTATTATAAAAAATTGAGTTTTTTTATTTAAATAGTTGAATTATAAAAGAACTTTTGGAAAATTAGTGAAAATAATTGATTTAGAGATGAAGATTATTTGAAAATTGTAGAAAATAATTGGATTCAGGAAGGGTTGTAATTGTATTTTTTAGAAGTTTTTAAAATTCATAAATTTTACTCATTTTCCGTAAACTTTCGTATTTTCCTGTAAAAAGAATTTTGTCAGGGAAAATAATTTTAATGTCAGTAAATTGTCAGGGAGATTGATAAACTGAAACTTGTGACCACCCTGTTTACTTTTCTTTTATTTTTGGTTTTTTTTTTTTATTTATTTTTGGCAAATAACGTTTAAAGACCCTATTTTGGGAACTTTACACAAAACATTAACTTAATTTGGTGTTTATTGTGAAACCACGTGCGGAAATGATCGAGGAAAAATTCATTTTCTTTATCTAATCTTTAATCTTGCCCGATGATAAAAATAAAATATAGATTCTGATGATTTTTTGTTTTCTTTTATATTTGTCAATATATGATCGTATTTTGTTGGACTGGTGACTTTTCCGATTGTTTACTGTGACAATCTAAGTAAAAACTTTTCTTCTCATTTTATTTAAAGAAAAATTTAATTTTTTTTTTTTTTGTAATTTTTACTATTCTGACATTTGAAACTAGTTTTGAAAATTAAAATAAATTAGTTTTAAAATTGAAACTAGGAATGTATTTGATTACATTTAGCATAAACAAAATTTTGTCTTAAATTGAATAACGAAGAAAAATAATTGAATGAATTCAATGCAATTGAAATAATGGAAAATAAATGTTACTTTTCAGCAAGCGGAGGTCCTTCTGGTATGTCAGCGACAACAGGTGATAGCGAAAGTGACGATGGCGAGGTTGGAAGACTTCAGGCACTTCTCGAGGCGAGAGGACTTCCACCCCATGTTTTCGGAGCTCTTGGTCCTCGAATGCAGCATTTGCTCAACAGAAGTATGGGCGCCAGTTCTGGTAATTAATTAATTACATCAGGGTTGCTATAGTAATGAAAAACTTGATTTTTCTCGAAAGGAAAAATCAGGGAATTTCCTAAGTAATTCGTCTTGGAAATTTATTAAAATTCCAGGAATCACAGACTGTCAGTTTTTATCTTCTTCTCTAAAAATTTTTGTCATTCGTTTCACCTATTCTCTTGAAGAGAATAATTTTAAAAACTCAAAACAATTGGAAATTCTGTCAAATATAATTGAAACAAATTTTATATTTTTTAAAGAGTTTTTTTTTACTTTTGAAAATTATTTTTAATATTATTCGTATTCTTGAAGAAAGAATGCTGAAAATTTGGAAAATAATTGAATATTACGAACTTTTAAAATTGAAGTTCTGAGGATGAGAAAAGAAGTTAATAGTTCTTTCTGAAAATCAGAGAAGAGTCAGGGAAATTCATAATCAAATTTTTGTGGTCAATTTTAAATTTAACGATTGCTACTTTTTAATTATTTTTTTCAGTCTTAAAGCTATTTTTGCTATCTTCTAAAATTAATTAACAAGAGCGAATTCTGAATTCTCCAAAATTTTTAATTAAAATTCCAATTTATCGAATTTTTAATTAAGCTCAAATTTGGTTGATCTAACTTTCAATTTATCTAAATTTTAAGCAATATAAATTACAAACTCTAAACTCAATCTCAAATTCAATCATTTCAAACTATTTAGAAAGACCTGTAATTAGAAAAAAAGATTAAAAAAGATTTTTCAGTATTTGTAAACTTGCTGTTATAAAAATTTTGATTTGGTTCAGCAGTTTTTGAAAAATTAAGAAAATTTAATTCTTTTTTGAATTTTTTCTTTGTTTGCCTTATAAACTTTAAAATCACCACGAATTTCAATTCAAAATCTTAGATTTTTTTTCTATTTTCGTCAATAATTGAACTTTATAGAATATGAAATTGAATAATATTTTAAGTAAATTAATTCTTGAAGAATTTATGAAAAATTTCAAAGATAATTGAATTTTAGAAGAGTTGAGTTTACAATTTATTTTAAATAATTTAATTATGAAGAACTATCATAAAGTTATTAATTATAAATTATTTGGCGAATGATTTTACTTAGAAATAACAAAAAATAACTCAATTTTAGGAGAATTATTGTTAGTACAAAAATTAGTAGAGTTACAATTTTTATAAATAATCGAAAGGTTTCTAATTGAAGTTTTATAAAATTTAGATTTAAATTTAAAAATTTTAACAATTTTATTGAAATATTTAAAATTTTTTCTTAAAAATTCAAAAATAATCCAATTTTAGTTGAATCGCATTTACAATTTCTACAAATAATTAAAGTTCAAAGGGTTTCAAAATAAATTTTTTGAAAATTTGTATTTATATTTACCTAATAATTTTACTTTAAAAATTCGAAAATAATTTCATTATAGTGAAATCGCGTTTACAATTTTTATAAATAATTTAATTTCAAAAAGGATTCAAATTTAAGTTTTAGAAAATTTGAATTTGAAATTAATAATTTCAATAATTTTACTTAAAAATTCAAAAATTAATTTAATTTTAGTAGAATCGCGTTTACAATTTTTATAAGTAATTGAATTTCAAAAGGTTTTAAATTGAAGTTTTAGAAATTTGAATTTACCTAATAATTTTACTTAAAAATTTCAAAATTAATTTAATTTTAGTAGAATCGCGTTTACAATTTTTATAAATAATTGAATTTCAAAAGGTTTTAAATTGAAGTTTTAGAAATTTGAATTTACCTAATAATTTTACTTAAAAATTTCAAAATTAATTTAATTTTAGTAGAATCGCGTTTACAATTTTTATAAATAATTGAATTTCAAAAGGTTCGAAAGTGAAGTTTTAGAAAATTTGAATTTGAAATTAAAAATTTTACTTAACACTTCCAATAATAATTGAATTTCTAAAGAACTACAATTTTTATAAATAATTGAATTACAAATGTTTGTAATTGAAGTTTTAGAAAATTTTAATCTAAATTCAATAATTTTAATAATTTTACTTAAAAATTTTTAAATTAATTTAATTTTAGTAGAGTTGCGTTTAAAATTTTTCAAAAAATTGAATTTTTATAAAATTTGAATTTCAAATTAATAATTTTAATAATTTTACTTAAATATTTAATAACTAATTTTTCTCAAAAATTCCAAAAATAATTTAATTTTAGTAGAATTACAATTTTTATAAATGATTCAATTTCAAAATTGAACTTGTAAAAAATTTAATTATTTTACTTAAATATTTAATAATATTACTTAAAAATTCCAAAAAGAATTTAATTTTAGTAGTTTCGTTTAAAATTTTTATAAGTAATTGAATTTCAAAAAGTTTTAAATAAAATTTGAATTTTATAAAATTTTAATTAAAAATTCTGAAGAAGTTTTTTTAAAAACTTTGTATTCACATTTCTTTTTAAATATTCAAATCTTTGGGTTCAACTTTAATTAACAATTTTTCGAATAATTGAAATTATTATAATTGATTATTATTGTTGAGCTTTCTTTTTTTCCTTTAAATAATTTGAATTCTCTAAAATTTCTTAATAATTATTAAAAACAACTAATTCAGAGAGGAATGTCAGTTAAAAATTAATCTAAATAATTATATTGAAATGTTGAAGTTACGGTATCAATTTTTCTAAAATGTTCGAATAATTTTACAAATTAAGATTTTCAAGGTTATATGTATTAGAAATATTTTCTTGTGTATCTGATCATTTTTAGAGTGAATTAAAATATTCTCCAGGGTAAGAGAAAAGTCAAAATTCTTTCTGGATGTCAGAGAAAAACAAAATCAAATTTTTGTGCCAACCCTGAAACGTTCAAATGAACGAAATATTTTTCTTCTACAAATATTTTCAAAAATTATTGACTTCAATAAAAAAGAAAATTACAGTAAATTATTTTCAAAGATTGTAAATTGTCATCTTCTCGTTACCTATTACATTCTCACAAAAAATTAGAAGGTCTTGGATTTTTGTTAGAAAACAATTCACCGTTTTATCTGTTTAAAAAAAAAAGTTCTGTGATTCCTGAAATTCTAAATTAAAAGAAAGTCAAAAATTTGTTAGACTAAAATAATTTAATTTTATTTGTTTCAAAGAGGAAAAAGATTCCTGAAATTCTAAATTAAAAGAAAGAAGAAAAATTTGTTAGAAAATAATTTAGTTTTACCTGCTAAAAAAAAAGAAAAATGGTTCCTGAAATTCTAAACTAAAAGAAAGAAGAAAAAAAATGTAAATTGGAGGGAATTGTGAATATTTTTAATCCCGTAGCAACTCTGTATATGAATTATAATATTTAGAAATTAATTTGTATTTTTTGATATTGTTTTTCAGCTGCGAAAGCACAACAGCTCCTCGCGGGATTACAAGCCGTTGACGATGAGGGCGAACAACTTCAGGCTGTAATTGGAATGGGAGAAATTCTCGTGATGGGCAATGAAGATACACTACCTGGTTTCCCAGTGAAACAAGTTGTTGCCGCACTGATAAATCTCCTCGGTATTGAGCACAATTTTGTGATAATGACACACGCGTGCCGTGCATTGACATACATGATGGAGGCATTGCCACGTTCATCAACAGTTGTCGTTGATGCGGTACCAGTTTTCCTTCAAAAACTCGAATCAATCGAATGTATGGACGTTGCCGAACAATGTCTCACTGCACTCGCAATGTTATCACGTCGACATAGCAAAACAATTCTTCACGCTGGCGGTGTATCGGCATGTTTAAAATTTGTCGATTTCTTTAATATCACCGCTCAACGTGCGGCATTAACAATAACAGCAAATTGCTGTCAAAATTTACATCCCGATGATTTTCATCTTGTTGCCGAAAGTCTACCTTTGTTGACAAGTAGACTCGCGAATCAAGATAAAAAAAGTGTCGAATGCGTTTGTCAAGCTTTCAGTAGATTGGTGGATAGTTTTCAGCATGATCAAACGATGCTTCATAAAATTGTCAACGCTGAGTTATTACAGAATTTACAACAATTGCTCATGATAACACCACCTGTTAATAGTATTGGAAATTTCATAACTGTTTTAAGAATGCTTTCGGCAATATCAAATCGTTGTCCCGATTTGGCGCAATTACTTCTTCAGCAAAATATTGCTTTCACCCTCAGCTATCTTCTCACTGGCTCTTTGGAAGTGAAGACAGAGGATGTGGAACTTGTTTCACGCTCGCCGCAGGAATGGTTTGAGATTACTTGTCTCATTGAGGAATTAATGCCACCATTACCCACTGACGGAATATTTAGTGTTAATAGTTTATTAGAACGGACAAATAATCAACAGGAGACTGTCCATTGGGAATGGCGAGATGAACGTCATTGCTTTCATCCGTTTAGCACAATTGATTCGCGCATCATCGAGGTAAATTTTTAGAGAAACAAAAATCTTTCTATATTAATAATCGTTGTATTCCGATAATCTATTCGAAGTTTGAAGTCAGTTCTTGTTTGCTTCTTTGTTTCCTAACTTTTTAAATATTTTTTCCTTTCAAATATTTTCAATTTTAAAATTAATGTATTAAAACTCATTTAATTCTTGCAACGAATTTTATCAAAAAATTTGAGAATAATTGAATTCCTTAGCAGAATTTTATTATTTATGAAAATAATCAAATTCTCGCGAAAAATTTTAAAACATCTTAATTAAATTCTTTTAAAGAATTTAATTTTTGAATTTTTCTAAAATTTTTCTAAAATCTTTGAATTTTTTTAAAATAATGGAGTTTCTTTAATAATTTTAATTGTAAATTTTTAAAGTACTTGAATTTTATGAACAATTTTTTTTAAGCTTTTAAAATAATCGTGTTTCTTTATAATTGAATTTTAACATTTAATTATTGAATTTTTATAAAATTTTAAGAAAATAATTAAATTCTTCTCAGAATTTTATTACAATTTTCTAAAATAATTTAATTCATTCAAGGAATTTTATTCAAAAATAGAAAATAATTAAATTCTTTCAAAGTATAATAGATTCTACAAAAGAATTTGACAATAATTGAATTCTTTCAAAAAATTTCTTTAATTTATTGAATATAATCGGTTTTCTAAATAATTGTAATTAATAATTTTACTTGTATTAAAATCTTATTAAAATTATTTATAGAAAATTTAACTACTTAAAATAATTTTATTAGAGTTTTTGTAAATAATTAAATCCTTTTGATGAATTTATTTGTGTTTTTTTAAATAATAGTTTTTTGAATAATTTTAATGAAAGATTTTTAAAAATAATTGAATTAAACAAAGAATTTTTTTTAACTTTTTAAAATAATCGTGTCTGTTAATAATTATAATGAAATATTTTATTTTTGAAACTTAATAAAATTGTTTAAAAAATAATTGAAATCCTCCGAAAAATTTTATTATTATTAATGAAAATAATTTAAATTTTCGAAAGAATTTTTTTTAATGAAGATAATTGATTCTTGCGAAGAATTGTATTAAAATTTTTAAAATAATTTAAATTCTTTGAAAAATTTTAGTATATATAGAAATACTCGAAATCTTGCAAAGATTTTTATTGAAATTTTTGAAAAATAATATAATTTTTGCTATAAATTTTACTTTGGAAGGATTTCTTGACAAGAATTTGTTTCAAATTTTTAAAAATAATCGAAATTCTGTAAAAAATTCAATTATTTATGAAAAAAATGGAAGAATAATTTAAATCCTAAGAAGAATTTTATTATTTAATTAAAATAATTTAAATTTTCCAAAGGATTTTTTTATGAAGATAATTGATTCTTGCGAAGATTTTTATTATAATTTTTGAAAATAATTGAAATTCTTTGAAAAATTTTAGTATTTATGAAAATATTTGAAATCCTGCAAAGATTTTTATTAAAATTTTTGAAAAATAATATAATTCTTTCAATGAAAATTTAAATTTTTTGGAGAAATTCAATTAAGATTGTATTAAAAGTAATTGAATTTTTAGGAAGAATTTTATTAAAATTTTAGAAAATATTATTGATAGTAATTGAATTTTTGCAAAGATTTTACTATTTTAAAAAATAATTGAATTGTTTCAAAGGATTTATTACAATTTTGTTGAAAATAATTGTATTTTTACAAAAAAAATTTATTATTTTTAAAAATAACTGAATTTTTCCGAAGAATATTATTATTTATGAAAATAATTGAAATCTTCCGAAGAATTATATTAAAATTTGCGAAAATATAAACAATAATAATTAATTATGCACTTAATAAGTGAATTTTTTCAATTTTGGTTATGAAATTATTCAAAAATTTATATTTGAAATTAAAGAATTTGGTAATTTGCATAATAATAAATATATGTAAATTTTGTTTATTATATATTACAGAAAGTTTTCAAAAATTCTCTTTGTTTATAGATGGCCTTCCAGAATGGAGAAGATGAAATTTGTTTGTCGACCTTAGGACGAACCTATACGATAGACTTGACTGTGATGAAACAAATAAATGAAGATATGGGAATGGCTAGAAGCATATTCCGTAGAGTTAACACTAATCCCACCGAGGGAAAAAGTCCAACCTGTTCATCGAGGTTTGTTTAATCTTTTCTTTTCTATTTTTCCTACATTAAAAAATTTAATCGTGTTTATCACAATTTTTGCAAGTCACGAAGAACTTTAAAAATTATGGAATTTCACTTTAGTTCATGAAATTATGGAAATTTTGAACTGCAGCAAAATTGTATAAAAATTACAAATTCGAATTTCTAGTAGGAACTGATTTTAAAATGAAATGAAATTAAAAATTTACTTCAAAATTAGTTTCAAGTCTGTGCGAAACTCAATTTAAAATTTACTTTACATTTAGTTTCGAGTCAGCGTGAAACTAAATTAAAAATTTACTTTACATTTAGTTTCGTGTCAGCGCGAAACTAAATTATAAATTTACTTTAAATTTAGTTTCGTGACAACTCGAAACTAAATTAACACACCGACTTTAGTTTCGCGCGAAACTTAAATATTTAATGTCAGTCACAAAATTCACACTAAACTTTCTAATCGCCACGAATTTTAATGCAAAACATTCTTTTATTTTTACTACTTTTGACAGTAATTAATTTTAAATAATTTAATTCTTGGAGAACTCTCATAAAATTACTACTTTTAAATTATTTAAAGAATAATTTTACTTAAATATTTCAAAATTTTATCAATTATTATTTGAAATAGAAATTTATTTTGATTTTAAACGTTCTTTAATTTTCTTTTTTACAGTATGGACGTGGTACCACCGGTGATTGAAACGAATGAATGGTTAGTGTCCTTCATTCGTACACTTTTTTCCGTTTTGTATGAAGTTTATAGTAGTTCGGCAGGACCTGCTGTTAAACATAAATGTTTAAGAGCTTTATTGCGTATGGTTTATTACGCGTCAACGGATCTTCTTAAAGAAGTATTAAAAAATCAAGTTGTCTCGTCACATATCGCTGGAATGTTGGCGTCACAAGATTTACGAATTGTCATTGGCGCATTACAAATGGCGAGTATTCTCATGAAAAGATTGCCACAAGTTTTTGGCGTGCATTTTCATCGCGAGGGAGTATTACATCAAGTGAGACAATTGGCCGATCCTGAAATTCCACTCGGCGTGTCGCCGCCTAAGTGCTCTTCTAGTGAGTTTATTATTTATTTATTTATTCAAATTTATAGAATAAAATTTATTTTTTTAGAATAGTTCCGTAAATTTGGTTCAAGTCCGTAAAAGTCAGTTTTTTTGAAAAAACGTCCGTAAAGTCCGTAATTTGATTGAAAAAGGACGAAAAGTACGTAAATTGTACGATATAATTTGGAGAATTTTAAAGAAATTCAATTATTTTCAAAAGTAATAAAATTTTATTCAAATTCGTCCAAAGAATTCAATTATTTAAAAATTTGTCGGTATAAATTATATAAATTCAATTATTTTCAACAGTTTCGATTAAATTCTTTTTAAAAAATTATTATTTTCCAATTTTTTTATAAAATTCCTTCAAAAAATCCAATAATTTTCAAAAATTCAGATAAAATTCTACGAAACAATTCAATTATTTTTGTAAATTAAAAAATTCTTCGCAAGAATTCAATTATTTTTATAAATAAGAAAATTCTTCGCAAGAATTAAAATAGTTTGATAAATAATAAAAAGTTTCGAAGGGATTCAATTAATTACAATATAATTTTAATAAAATTTCTCGAAAGAATACAATTATTTTTAAAAATATTATTTAAATTCAATTATTTTCAAGAGTTTTAATAAAAATTAAATTATTTTCAACAATTCTGATATAAAATGCTTCGAAACAATTCAATTATTTTTTTTAAATTGTCAAATTCTTGGCAAGAATTCAATTATTTTTGCAAATTATAAAATTCTTTTGAGAAATTAAAATTATTTTCAATACCATTTTGATTACATTTTCTCGAAAGAATTTTCAAGCATTGAAAAAAATGTTGATAAAATTCTTGAAATGAATTCAATTATTTTCAATTTTTTTTTATAAATACTTTACAAGAATTCAATGATTTTCAGTATATCGACAATTTAATTGTTTTTGAATAGAATTTTATTAAAACTTTTTTAAATAGGTAATTAATTCTCTGCGAAAAAATTTATTATTTCTACAAATAAATGAATTTTTGCAAAATTTTAAAAAATAAGTGAATTTTTGAGAAAAATTTTATAAAAAGTTAAATTGTATTTAAAATAACTGAATTTTTGAGAAAAATTTTATAAAAATTTAAATTGTATTTAAAATAACAATTTCAGTGAAAAATGTACTATTTATTGATATTATTGAATTCTTTCGAAGAATTTTAAAAAAATGTTTAAAAATAATTTAATTTCCCTGGAATTCAATTTAAAATTGTTTTTTTTAAATAATTAAATCCCAGCGAAAATTTCATAATTTTTAAAAATAATTGAATTTTTTCGGAGAATTTTTACAAAATTTTTAAAAATAATTGAAATTTTCGAGGATATCAATTAAAATTCTATTGAAAATAAGTGAAATCCTGATAAGAATTTTATTATATTTATATAAAAATAACTGAATTTTTTAAGAAGATTTTTATTATTTATAAATTGACTAAAGAATTTTATTACAATTATTGAAAATAATTGAATTCTTCATAAAATCCAATTATTTTCATAAATAATGAAACTCATCGCAGAATTTCAATTATTTTTAATACGATTTTAATTGAATTTTTCGGAAATTGTAATTATTCTTAAAAATTTTATTAAAATTTGTCAAAAGATTTCAATTATTTAAAAATTCGTTGATGAAATTCTTTATGAGAATGGAATTTTAAGAAACATTGAATTATTCAATAAATTATTTATTTTTGTAGTTAAATAATTGAATTCTAGTAGAATTTTCTAATAAAAATTGATTTAAAAATGAATTTTTTCGAAAATTAATTAATTTAAAGAAGAATTTTAGTTAAAAATTCTTGAAAATAATATTTGAATTGAAATGATGAAAATAATTTTAAAGAAGTACAATATTCTTAGAATATAAAATAATGATTTTATCAATTTGCCATCTTTTGTTTATTATAAATCATGAAGAAAGTCGATCACTCCGAGTCGAAACACTCCGAACTCGGAGTTATCGATATCTTCATGTTTTATAGTTATGGAAAAATTTAATTTATAGTTTTATATTTTTATTTAGTTTCATTTTCTTTATTAGAATCTTCTTATGATTTAAAAAGTACTTTATAAAGTTTTATTTACTTTTATTCATTGGAATTTTCTTGTTATTTAAAAGGTGCTTTATAAAGTTTTTAAAAAAAATTAAATTTTTTTGATGCAGGTACATCTTTGCCGAGTCCACAACCAGGACCGTCGAACACTCCTCTCTCGACAACTCCCCTTTCGTCAAGTAGCGCTACGTCCCCCATTGCTTCTCCCATTACAAATGGCAATATTCTATTTGGAACAATAGCTTCGAGCCAACTGAAACCAAATCTTACTGCCACTATGGAAACTCGTAGTCGAAGTGACTTAACAGTTAGCATCGATGATTCCAACACACCACCAAACGCTCATTTGTAAGTTTGTCTCTTTTTGTCTTGAAAACATTAATATTTTTAAATACAATTATTTTAAGAAATTTGAATTTTTAAAATTACAAATTTTAAATACAGGATTTAATTTTTAAAATTGAAAATTTTAAATTAAAGATTTAATTTTTAAAATTTTTAAATTTAAATAAAATATTAAATTCTGAAAATTGAAAATTAAAAAAAACAAAGATGATAGAATGGCAAAGAAAAAAAATGTCGGAAAATTAATACTTTGACGGAATTCTTTCAGAAGAATTGGAGACGTTTTGAAGAGGAAACGACAGAATAAGAAGAGTCGTTTCTCGCGATTGGGAAGTGGAACACCGCAACAGCCACAGCAACCTGAATCATTGTTCACTGGTTTTGCGCCAAAGAACAGTCGCTTTTTAGGCAATTTAAATCCAGCGCGATGGGGTAAAAAATCATCGTCATCAAGTTCGAGTAGTGATAAAAGAGACTCGAGTTCGTCCACTAATTTAGTGAAACCCCCAAGTAATCCCAGTTTAACAGGTGGAAATCGCGATAAAGCGAAGGCATGGGTTCGCGAGCAGGCCTCACAATTTTTAGCGAGATATCAAGACGATGCGCCATGTACTCATCCCGCTTTAACCGTTCTTGCCCGTCTCACATCCGCCATTCAACGTTTGCAATCGAGTGTAAGTCTCAAAAATTCATTTATTTACAAAGATAGAGTTCAATTTTTTTTAACTATTTATAATCTAGTGTTAGATCAAAATTTTTTTTAATTTATGAAGATTTTTTTGCAACTGTTTACAATCGAGTACAATATTATTTTCGACATTTCAATTTAATTATTTAGATGAATTTTTAATCAATTATTTATTTATTAGCAAATAATACGCGGGCGAAACGTGATATTCAATTTATTATTGTTATGCAACTTACAAAATTTTTTATTTTCAAATATAAATTTTTAAATACTTTCATAATCAAAATTTTTAAAATCCACTAATTAAGTACAAAATTAATTATTCTTGTTTATATTTTCGAAAATTTTAATAAAATTCTTCATAAGAATTCAATTATTTTTATAAATAGTACAATTTTTTTGCAAAAATTCAATTATTTTTAACATTTTCATAAAATTTTACACATCAAAAGAATTAAATTATTTTCTAAAATTTCAATAAATCCTTCTAAACAATTCAATTATTTTTTTAAATTGTAAAATCTTTGCAAAAATTCAATTATTTTCAATAAAATTTCGCGAAAGAATTTAATTTTTTTCTTAATTCGTAAAAAATTTTTTTAAAAGAATACAATTATTTTCTAAAATTTTAATAAATCCTTCGAAACAGTTCAATTATTTTTATAAATAGTAAAATTCTTCGTAATAGTTCAATTATTTTTATAAATTGTAAAATTCTTTGCAGAAATTCAATTCTTTTCAAAACAATTTTAATAGAATTCCTTGAAAGAATTTAATTATTTTTAAATACGTACAGAAAATTCATTTATTTCCTAAAATTTTAATAAATCCTTCGGAAAAATTCAGTTATTTTTATAAATAGTACAAATCTTCACGAGAATTTAATTATTTTCATCATAAATAAAAAACTTTCAAAAAATTTTTAAAAATAAATGAATCCTTTCGTGAATTTTTATTAAAATGGTTTTGAAAATAACTGAACTCTTGAGAAGAATTTTACTATTTATACAAATAATTGAATTTTTCACAAAAAAAAAAGTTTTTATTTATTAGAAAAATTTAATTTTTCCAAAAATTTTATTATAATTTTTTAAAAATAGATGAATTCTTCATAAAAATTTTTAGAAATAATTGAATTCTTGTGAAGAATTTTACTATTTATAAAAATGAATGAATTCTTATGAAGAATTTTACTATTTATAAAAATAATTTAATTCTTCCAAAGAATGTTTTTATTTATGTTAAAAATTGAATTCTTGCAAAAATTTTATTAAAATTTTTTGAAAATAATTGAATTCTTTAGAAATTTTTTAAAAATTATTGAATTTATGGAAAAAATTGGATTATTTATAAAAATAATGGAATTCTTCCAAAGAATATTATTTATGAGAATAATTAAATTCTTGCGAAGAATTTCATTAAAATTTTTGAAAGTAAGGAAAAAATTATTTTAGTAAAATAATTCTCTTGCTTTTTAACAGGCGAAGGAAGAAATGTTTTCAGCGTTGACGGAACTTCGAGACATTGTTTTAGAGAATGATATTTCCCCGTTCGAAATGAATTTCAGTGGCCTCATTAAAGCTTTGTTGAACTACCTCACAACAAACGACGCTCCTGGAAATAGATACGATCGACTTCGCATGTTCTGGAAACTTTTTGCTGAGTCGACTGTAAGATTTAGTTATTACTTTTTTTTCTCATTTTTAAAAATATTTTTCTCGCTATTTTTAATTTTGCTATTGCATAATAATTGAATTAGAACCTGCCATTTTTTTTTAAATAAAATAAATTTTATTGAATATGTAAATATTTAATGAAATTTATTAAAATCATATATTAATCAAATACGTACAATGAAATTATTAATTTCTTTAAAATTAATTTATTATGAATAATTATAATTTTGTAATGAAATTTAATGCGGAGAATTAAAATTTAATGTTTAATGCATTTAATAATTTTAAAAAAATTTTTATATTGACTAAAATTGTAAAATATCAATTGTTTAAAAAAATGAAACATAATTTCACAGGTTCAGCAGGAAAACAATTTGATGGATTTAAATCCCGGAGCATTCGGTGCTTTAGTCATGAAACTGAATAGCTGTGTTGCGCAATTGGAACAATTTCCAGTTAAAGTCCACGACTTACCAGCTGGTTCTGGAGCTGGAAGGGGCAGTGTAAGTGCCCTAAAGTTTTTCAACACGCATCAGCTTAAGGTAATTATTTGTTTCTACAAAACTATTTTTAGAAATCGAAATATTGATATATTTTAATTACAATTTAATTACTGAAATCTTGAAATCTTTTCATCATAATTTATTTATGAAAATATTTAAATATTTCGTTTTAATTTATTTTTTGAAATATTCAAAGATTTTAATTATAATTTATTTATTGAAATATTGTTTTTATAATTTAGTTAAAGGAAATATTGAAATTTAATTATAATGAAATTATTAAAATAGTGAAACAATGTATTTATTTTTAAAAAAAATTCTAGTGCAATCTCGTGCGACATCCGGACTGTAATAGTATGAAACAGTGCAAAGGAGGTCCAGTTAAAGTAGATCCTCTTGCTCTTGTACAAACAATAGAACACTATCTTATGTTGCCAAAGTGTGAAAAAATAAGAGACGCTGAGTCAATGGCGAGCGAGGAAGAAAATAGCGAAGAAGATGCAGACGATCGTTTGGTAATTTAGAATTTAAAAAAAGAAATAGTAGTAGTAGTAGAGTAGGTTTGAAAAATTAAATTTTGAATTTTCCTTTTTAGCCTAATCAAAATTCGGGTAAACACAAAATCGAATTACTCATTGGAAATGAAGTTTTACCATTCGATATGACTGTTTATCAAGCTGTTAGACAATTTGGTTGTGCCGGAAATGATCATTCCGAAGCTGACGCCGACAGTGAACCGCCTCTAGGTCAAGACGCTGTTTGGATGCAAACGCACACAATTTATTACAGGTAAAAAAGCAATTCTCTTCTTTTGTAATTAACTTTTTTTAATTTTAATCGATTAACGAATGCGAAGCCTGAAATTTTAATACTAATTACTAATTAGTAGAATCAATTATAAATAATTAAATTTCAGTCAAATCTCTTTATTTAAATAACTAACATTTTAACACTTAATTGTCTTTACATATTATTTTTATTGTCAAGACAATTAGTCTTAATTATAAAAATATTCTTTTAGCATTATACTACAAAATAATTAAAAAAGAAAACGGTTTTAACAAAAAGTAAATATTATTTCAGACGCATTAATAAAGATGAAAATTCAACATCACCAAAACCGGGTTCGAGCTCTCAATTGAGCAGTCGAAAGGGAAAAGGTAAAAGTACAAAAATCAGCTCAAAGAGAAAAGAGGACAGCCTCTGGCAAGATGGAACTATACCGACGCAAGTTTGTCCTCTAGCTCCATATCTTTCTCCAACTTTACCCCCACTCGTGACGATCTCAGACGCATCATTAGATGGACTTTGCCTACTGAGACTCCTTCATGCTCTCAATAGACATTGGGGTGTTCTCTTTCCACATTTAAAGAGTACAAGCCTCTTATCATCGCAAGACTTTATCAATAATAAAATTGCCGCTAAAGCAAGTCGTCAACTTCAAGATCCCCTCGTCATTGTCACTGGAAGTCTACCCTCTTGGCTACAGCAAATCGCTACCGTTTGGTGAGTGTCAACTTTGATAATTGAATTCAAATTTTATTTAGAACAAAAAAACAATGGTTTCTTGAATAATTGCATTGCATAAATAGTCAAATTTTCACCAAAATGCTAATTTAATTAACAACTTTTTGGGATTTTTGTTTTTAATTAATTAACAACTGTTTATTTATTTGATTAATTTAGTTAATAACTATTCATTAATTTGGTCAATTTGATTAGTTAATAATTAGTTAATTAGTTAATAATTTGACAAGTTAATTTGTTTACTTTAACTAATAACTTAAATAATTTGGTTACTTTAATTAAAAACTTTTAATTAATACGAATTATTTTATTAATAGCTGTTCATTAATTTGGTTAATTTAAATAACTGTAAGTTAATTTGGTTGATTTAATTTACAACTATGAATCAATTCGGTTATTTTGATTAATAAATGGTAATCGATTTGGTTAATTTAATCGATAACTATTACAGGGTTGCCACAGATCAGGTAATTCAGAGAAAAACTATTAAATTACCACGAATCTTAATACAAAACCTTCAATTTTTTCTATTTCTGACAATAATATCTTTTTAAATAACTTAATTCTTGAAGAACTATATCATAATATTTTTATTTATAAATTATTTAATGAATAATTTTACTTAAATATTTCAAAATTAGTTGAATCTTAAAATGATTGCGTTTACAATTTTCATAAATAAAATAATTTTAAAAGGTTTTAATATGTAATTTTAGAAAATTTCAATTTTTAATAAATTTAATTAGAAATTTTAAAGAACTGATTTTTTTGAAAAATTTTAATAATTCAATATCTTTTCAAAATTAGTTGAATTTTTTAATATATAATTGTGACGCTCCACGAGAAAAGGGACCTTATGACAAGAGTAAATAAGGTCCCTTTTCTTGTGGAGCGTCACAATTAACTAATTATAAACATTTTTAAAAATCGAAATTTGGATAAGTTACAAATTATTGTAGAAATTAAATTATTTTCAAAAGTGATAAACTACCTACTTCACATAAATTCAATTATGTTAACAAATTTTTAAAAATTCTCAATTATCTTTAAAAAATAATAAAATTCTTCTCCGAAATTCAATTATTTTCAAAAATTTGAATAAAATTGTAGGCAAAATTCACAGGGATTCAAGTATTTTAATTTTTATAAATAATAAAATTCTTTTTAGGAATTAAATTATTTTCATAAATATAATAATAAATAGATGAATTTCAAAAGGTTTAAATTTAAAATTTTATAAAACTTTAATTTTAAATAAAATAAAATAGAAATTTTAAAGAACTTAGATTATTAAAAAATTTTAATACGTACAATTCAAATTCTTCGGAAACTAGTTACAATTTTCTAATATATATTTAATTAATTATTTAAAAAAATTAAATTGAAGGAGACGTTAGAATTGAATGCAGAAATTCAATTAATTTCAAAAATAATAAAATTTTTCACAAAAATTCAATTACGTTCAAAAATTTTAATAAAATTCTTGGCAAAATTTCAATTATTTTCAAAAATTTTCCTGAATTCAATGATTTTTAATATTTACTATTTTATTAATGTTTTTCAAAAGAATTCAATTATTTAAAGAAAATTTTAATAAAATTCTGTGCAATAATTAAATTATTTTCATAAATATAATAAAACTCATCGCAGAATTTGAATTATTTTTATTATAATTTTTAATCAAATTCATCGAAAAATGTAATTATTCTTAAAAATTTTATTAAAATTCGTCATAAGAATTCAATATTTAAAAAAAAACACTAAAAAATTAAATTTTTAAGAAGTTACAAATGATTACAGAAATTCATTTATTTTCCAAAATAATAAAATTATTCGCAAAAACTCAATTATGCTGAATTTTTTTTTTTAATTCTTGACAAAATTTCAATTATCTTTATAAATAATAAAATTCTTTTCCGAAATTCAATTATTTTCATAAATTTTACTAAAATTATTTGCTAAATTTCAATTATTTTCAAAAATTTTCCTCAATTCGCAATGATTCTCAAATTTCTTCGCAGTAATTGAAATATTTTTATAAATAATAACATTTTTTACAGAGATTCATTCATTTATTTATTTTCATAAAAATAAAATTCTTCTTAGAAATTCAATTATTTTCATAAATTCCAAAACTCATCGCAGAATTTAAATTATTTTGAATATTTAAATAATTAAATTCTTGTAGAATTTTCTAATAAAAATTGATTTTAAAATGAATTTCAGTTAAAATTTTAGATAATAATTGAATATTAGAAGCTTTAGCATGAATTTTTAGTACCTTATAATTGAATTTTGAAAAAGTTGGTGTAACAATATTCTTATAATGTAAAATAATCATTTTCTCACTCAGTTATCTTTAATTATAATAAAACATGAAAAAATTGTTTACTCCGAGTCTTCGATCATTTTCTTCATGTTTTATTATATTATTCTTCTAAGTTGTTGGATATCAAAAAGGTTTGAATTAGAAATTTTGTGAATCTTATTTTGTATGGAAAAATAGTATAATGATTAAATATTTATTTAAAAAAGAAATTATTGTTTTCGAATAATTTTGCAATTAAGAAACTTCGTAAATAAATATAATAGAATAGTTTTTTGTGTATCTAATAATTTTGAGAGTGAATCAAGATATTCTTTACGGTCAAAGGAAAAAGTCAAAAATTTTGTCTGGAAATCGGAAAAATAAATTAAAATTTTTTTGGCAACCCTGTTATTAATTAGCAGTGAAAATTTTGTCAATTGTTGTTTGAACTAATCGAAAGAAAATGTCTTTAATTAAATGACTTTGATTTTTCAGTCCATTCCTGTTTCCGTTTGATACGAGGCAACTTTTACTGTACGTAACGTCCTTTGATCGCGATCGAGCGCTTCAACGTCTTCTAGACTCCGCCCCTGAAATTACAGGACCTGATAGTCAAGAACGCGTTACTCCACGCTTACAAAGAAACAAAAAACGAATATCGAGAACTGATATCTTAAAAGAAGCTGAACGAATCGTTCAAGAGGTTGGATCAAGCAAAGCACTTCTTGAAGTTGAATACGAAAATGAGGTACAGTGATTATTTGAAAAAAAAATTTAATTTAATTTAATTAAGAAACAAAAAATTATAATAATTAGAAGAATTAGAATAAATTTTTATAATTTGATTATAGTAATAATTAGAAAAAATTAACTATTTAATGAATGATTTAATTGATAAGAATGAATTATTTTCTAATTAGAATAATATAGTTGATAAACATCAATCGTTTATTAATTTCGTTATTCATTAATTAACAATAAAATTGATTAATCGAGAACTATAAGTAATTTGGTAATTTATTTTTAATTGTAGGTTGGATCTGGCTTAGGGCCTACATTAGAGTTTTACGCACTCGTTTCTAAGGAACTACAACGCGGCGAACTTGAATTATGGCATGGAACTTCAAGTCACGATGGTTATATTAATAATCCTCAAGGTCTTTTCCCCTCACCGATACCATGGAACACGAGGGTTTCACAACTTGCAAAATTAAAAAGCAAATTCAAATTTCTTGGAAAATTCACTGCGAAAGCTATTTACGATTCGAGAATGGTGAGTTTTTCTTTTAATTTCTTTAGAGATGATAATTATATCAGGACTCGAACTAGGTCCGTAAATTTGGTTCAAGTCCGTAAAAGTCAGTTTTTTTGAAAAAAGGTCCGTAAAGTCCGTAATTTGATTCAGAAAAGACAAAAAGTTGGTAAATTGTACGATATAATTTGGAGAATTTTAAAGAAATTATAAGTGATTGCAGAAATTCAATTATGTTCAAAAATTTTTTTAAATTTTTGTCAAAATTTCAATTATCTTTAAAAATAATTAAATTCTTCTCCGAAATTTAATTATTTTCAAAAATGTTAATAAAATTCTCAGCAAAATTTCGATTATTTTCAAAAATTTTACTCAATTCAATGATTTTTAATATCTACTATTTTAATAAAATTTTCCAAAAAAATTCAATTCATTAAAAAAAAATGTAATAAAACTATTCGCAAACATTTAATTATTTTCATTAAATAATAAAAATTTCACTGTAATTCAATTATTTACAAATTTTTTATAAATTTCTTTGAAATAATTCAATTAATTTCATAAATAATAAAATTTTTATAGAGATTCAATTATTTTCGTACATAATAAAATTCTTTTTAGGAACTCAATTATTTTCATAAATAATAAAACTCATTGCAGAATTTCAATTATTTTTAATACAATTTTAATCGAATTCCTCGAAAAATGTAATTATTCTTAATAATTTTATTCAAATTCGTCAAAAGAATTCAATTATTTAAAAATTTGTCGGTATAAACTATATAAATTCAATTATTTTCAACAATTTTGATAAAATTCTTTTTAAAAAATCATTATTTTCCAAATTTTTTATAAAATTCCTTCAAAAAATCCAAATATTTTCAAAAATTCAGATAAAATTCTTCGAAACAATTCAATTATTTTTATAAATTAAAAAATTCTTCGCAAGAATTCATTTATTTTTATAAATAAGAAAATTCTTCGCAAGAATTAAAATATTTTGATAAATAATAAAAAGTTTCGAAGGAATTCAATTAATTACAATATAATTTTTATAAAATTTCTCTAAAGAATAGAATTATTTTTAAAAACATTATTTAAATTCAATTATTTTCAAGAGTTTTAATAAAAATTCAATTATTTTCAACAATTCTGATATAAAATGCTTCGAAACAATTCAATTATTTTTTTTAAATTGTCAAATTTTTGGCAATAATTCAATTATTTTTGCAAATTATAAAATTATTTTGAGAAATTAAATTATTTTCAATACCATTTTGATTACATTTTCTCGAAAGAATTTTTAAGCATTGAAAAAAATGCTGATGAAATTCTTAAAATGAATTCAATTATTTTAAAATTTTTTTCATAAATGCTTTACAAGAATTCAATGATTTTCAGTATATCGACAATTTAATTATTTCTGAAAATAATTAAATTTTTTAATAGAATTTTATTAAAACTTTTTAAAATAATTAATTCTCTGCGAAAAAATTTATTATTTATAAAAATAATTGAATTTTGCAATTTTATAAAAATTTAAATTGTATTTAAAATAACTGAATTTCAGTGAAAAATTTACAATTTATTGATATTATTGAATTCTTTCGAAGAATTTAAAAAAATTTTTTAAAATAATTTAATTTCTTCCGAAATTTAATTTAAAATTGTTTTTTAAAATAATTGAATTTTTTTCGGAGAATTTTTACAAGATTTTTAAAAATAATTTAAATTTTCGAAGATATCAATTAAAATTGTATTGAAAATAAGTGAAATCCTGATAAGAATTTTATTATTTATATAAAAATAATTGAATTTTTTACGAAGATTTTTATTATTTATATATTGATTAAAGAATTTTATTACAATTATTGAAAATAATTGAATTCTTCATAAAATTCAATTATTTTCATAAAAAATAAAAGTCATCGCAGAATTTCAATTATTTTTAATACAATTTTAATCGAATTTTTCGGAAATTGTAATTATTCTTAAAAATTTTATTAAAATTTGTCAAAAGATTTCAATTATTTAAAAATTCGTTGATGAAATTCTTTATGAGAATGGAATTTTAAGAAACATTTAATTATTCAATAAATTATTTTTTTTTGTATTTAAATAATTAAATTCTATTAGAATTTTCTAATAAAAATTGATTTAAAAATGAATTTCAGTAAAAATTTTAGATAATAACTGAATATTAAAAGAAATATAGCTTGAAGTTTTAGAAATAATTGACAGGGTGTCTACTAACCGGGAATTCCGGGAAAACCGGGAAATAACCGGGAATTTTATTTGACCGGGAAAAACCGGGAATTAGCCGGGAATTTTATACCGAACCGGGAATTTTTTCACAAAAATTAAAAAAGTTTTATTATTTTAATTTGTTTTTAAAAAATCAATTTTTATTTCAATTTTTATAGATATATTTATACTGTTCTCTAAATTTAAGTTACTTAAAAATAATTAATTTGATGATAAAAAATCAGTTACCAATTCAAATATATTATGTAAATAAATTTTAAAAAAATTATGGAGTTAATAGAAATATTGTGAAATTCGACTGAAAATATGTAATTAAATTTGTTAAAGAAATTCATTAGAAACTTTTTAACAAATAGAATTTTCAAAGTATTTTAATTTAATAATTTATTAATAATTGAATATTATAAAGAGTAAAATTCTAATGTATTCATGTTTCTTACTGCGAAGATTAATAATTAAAATTTTTATTAGTTAATTTAAAAAAATATACATACTTAAAATTGTTTAATGAAATTGAACTTTCGCAAAATTTTTTTTAAATCTAAAAAATAAAATTGTTGTAATTTTTCAATTCTATTGTTTCAAGATAATTGAATTTTTCTAAACAAATCATTGAAATTTTTTTACTTTTTTTGAAAAATAATTGAATTTTTTGAAAGAATTTTATTTAAATTTTTCGAAAATAATCAAGGGAAGTTAGTGACCATAATTATAATTTTATTTTTAAAATTGTAAGTCCCTCTTACAGTTTTAAATCAATTTTTTGCTTCTAAAAATTATACTATTCTATTATTATTTAATAATTATAATTATTGAACTTCTCTTAAATTTTTATCATTTTAAATTTCTGAATGTTCAAATAAATGATATTTATTTATTTCTTGAGCAAATTAAATGTTTATTACATATTAAGTAAATAATTAATTATTGCTGCTTATTATTTTCAAAAATTTTAATAAAATTCTTCACAAAAATTAAATTATTTTCATAAATAATAGCATTTTTTGGAAGGATTCAATTATTTTTATAAATAGTAAAATTCTTTGCAGAAGTTCAATTATTATCAATGTAATTTTAATAAAATTGAAAAATCCAATTTTCAATTATAATTATAAAGAGACAAGATTATTTTTAAAAACTTGAAAAAATTCTTTGTTTAATTCAAGTATTTTCCAAGTTTTTAATTAAAATTATTGAAAAAAACATTATTTTCAGAAAATTTAATGATTTATTTATGTTTAAAATCAAATTTAAATTTACATTTGATAAGAAAAAAAAACCGGGAAAAAATTAGGATATAGCCGGGAAAAACCGGGAAATAACCGGGAATTTTGTTAAACGAAAATAGTAGACACCCTGAATTGAATTTTGAAATGAATTATTTTATCAAAGGGGACCGTTCAAAAAATACGTAACGCTATTTTTCGGAAATTTGGACCCCCCCCCCCCTCCCCCCATGTAACACAATATTGTATACATTAGCGCCATTTTTTCTGCTGACCGTAACAAACAGCTTGACCCCCCCCCTCCCCCAAAAAGCGTTACGTATTTTTTGAACGGCCCCAAGTGTATTTGAATCATTTTTTATATTATTTACAGTTTTTATTTACTAATATTTATTTAATTGAAGAATTTACGAATAATTGAAATTCGAAAAATTGAATACTGTAAACAAATGAATTTGAAAATTGTCAGGGAACTTTTTCGAAAATTAATTGATTTAAAGAAGAATTTTAGTTAAAAATTTTTGAAAATAATAATTGAATTGAAATAATGAAAATAATTTTGAAGAAGTACAATATTCTTATAATATAAAATAATGATTTTATCACTCGATCATCTTTAATTATTATAAAACATGAAGAAATCGATCACTCCGAGTCGAAGACTCGGAGTTATCGATATCTTCATGTTTTATAATTATGAAAATATTTAATTTATAGTTTTAAGTAAAATATTGTCTTATTTGACTCGGACTATTTATATTTTTGTCAGTAACTCGTCCGTGAATGGTCCCTAATTTTTCATTTTTTGTCCGTAAAGTCTTTATTTTTAAATACTTTCCCTTGTTCGAGCCCTATTATATTATAATTTTATTTATTTATTATAATTATACATTCTCCTGTCGCGTAAGTTTAGAAAGTATTCTATTTAGAATTTACAATAAATAATTTATTGAATGAATAAAATGTGAATTTAATTAATAATGAAAATTTGTTCTCTAGTTGGATTTACCGTTTAGCAAGAGTTTCTATCGCTGGCTCTTGTCTGAGGAACAATCATTGGGTCTACCGGATTTAGTTCATTTAGATGCAGATGTTTATCGTTCTCTAAGCAAGCTTCAAGAGGTTGTGAGACGAAGAGAAGCAATTGAACGGGATCCAAGTTTACGATCCAGCGAGAAAGCACAATTGATTGAAGCCCTAAGTTTAGACGGGTGTCGTATCTGTGATCTTGGTCTTGTTTGCGAATTGCCCGGTTATGAAAATATTGAACTCAGAAAAGGAGGAAGTGAAATTGCAGTCACTATTCACAATTTGGAGCAGTATATCAAGGTAATTGAGGGAATATTATTAATTATTTTATTAAAAGCACTTTCATATTTATTTTACTTAGAATTCTGTTCATTCTATTCATAAATAAATGAATTAATTATTGAAACTTAAATTCGAATCCTACGAAAATAAGTTAAATAGAAGAAAGTAAATTTAATTTAAATTCTAATCATCATAATTCTAAAAAATATTATATTAAAAAATTTTTTAGGTATTTTAATCACTGATTGTTTTAATTCTAAAGGAAAATTAATTTAGCATAAAATAATAACGAAACTATTTCTTTTTCCAGTTGGTAGTGCACTGGTTCTTATACGAAGGAGTCTTTAAACAAATGGAAGCATTCCGTGAAGGTTTTGAATCTGTCTTTCCTATTGGACATTTAAAACTTTTCTTCTCAGAAGAATTCGAGGCCGTCTTCTGCGGTCATGTGCAAAATGGAGGACGATGGGATGTGAGAACTTTACACGATTGTTGTCGGACCGATCATGGATATACACCCGATTCAAGAGCCATACAATTTTTGTTTGAGGTCATGTCTGAATATAACAGTGAAGAACAAAGACAATTTATTCAATTTGTCACTGGATCACCGAGATTGCCCGTTGGTGGTAAGTTGCAAATTTAATATTTATTTTTATTTATAATTAAAAGAAGAAAAATTTCATTATTAATTTTTTGTTCTATATCTTATTAAAAATTAAAATTCCTTTTTTTTACCTAATATTTAATGAGAAAATAATTTCTGCAATTGGATTAACAATGAATTAGCAATGAATTAACAAGATTATTTTTTTTCAGGTTTCAAAAGTTTAACTCCACCGTTAACGATAGTGAGAAAGACACTCGATCCTTCAATGAGAGCAGATGATTTCCTGCCATCAGTAATGACTTGCGTGAATTATTTAAAACTGCCAGATTACACGTCTCTTCGGATAATGCGCGACAAATTAAGGATAGCATCACACGAAGGACAGCATTCGTTCCATCTTTCATAGAAATTTTCATCATCAACAATAACAACAACAACAAGAAAATTTGTGACACGCCGAAGAATTCATCACTTTTTCGCGCGCCCTCCCCCCATTTTTCCGGTTCCGAAAATAACCAATAACACACACTCACAAACATATTGAATTCGATCTGACAATGATTAGAAGATTTATTATTATCATCATTTTTTTCATAAATTTTCCGATTTTTTTGCGATTCAATTTATTTTTCGTTTTGCTCTTCTTCAACATTTCAGTCGAATAAAATAAAAAAATAGTTTTTTTGATGTCGATTTCTCACGTCTAACTACTACTACAACCCCATTTCGATTTGGGCCAAGCTTTTCGAAAATAAATAAGGGTTTTTTCTTTTGTTCGTGATAATCTCAAAACTCTGAATTGTGCTTGTCGTTGTGGTCTGGTATTTGTCTTCGGTGTTTTTTTTTTTAGAAATTAATCGCAATTGAGAGACAGAATTTTGAAGACAATTGTAAATACCTAGAATTACGTCGAAGCAGTTTGATATACGCAAGTCTATATATAAATACTTTATATTACGATATAGTATGAATAAAAAGAAACAAAAATCAGTACTGCTTTAGAGATCGAGTTAAAAAAAGAGGAAAACAAAAAAAAACAGAAAAGGAAAAAAAACCCGAGGGCGTTTACCGTAAATATTAAGAGTAAATTTTATATCAGCGATGCTTTTGTCGCGTCGCCACGTGTCGCTTGATTTCTTGACTCATTAATCAAAGGTGGTCACATTTCAAGAAAATAGGACATGTACGGTCGACATGACCAAACTTCTATATATATATATATATACATATATACATATTAACGATAAACGGTAATAGATACGCGTCTCGTATTCATTTTTTTTTTCTTTCCCTAATTTTTTTTCGTTTTTTGTAATCGATCTCTTTGTGTTTCGTTGCTTCGCGTCATCGACGCACTTTAAAAAGTCGTGTGTACGACACTGTTCTCGTTTTCTTTTTTTTTCTTTTTTTTTTTTATTTTTAATCGATGTACCACGTTCAATTTATTATTTGATATTTCTATTCGTAGGTAAGATAGTCCAATTATCTCTAAGTTTAAGGGTACGGCCAATGCATCATTAGACTAAATTACAATCGAAAAATGATTGTCTCTTTATTTTAGATTTAAGACCATAAATTATTTTTATTTTTGAAACATTTTTTTTTTTGCATTTCGTTCAATGTATATTTTTTTAAAAGAGGAAAAAAAAGTCTCATACTTTATTTTTTCTTAAAAAATAATAATTCTAGAATTCATTTTTTGCTTCATTATTTTAAAATAGGAAAAAAGATTGTGGTGGTTTTAATCTTTTCGGTGAGTTTTGTTGAGTATTTAGTCTAATGATGAGCAAGGGTGTTTATTAAATTTGGCAATGTTAATATAATGAAAAACATGATATGTTATCCTTGTAGTCTTTTTAAAAAAAAGTGAATATATGATTGTTTTCTTTTTTTGTTTTTTTTTTAATTCATATTCGAAAAATTCGTGTTGAATCCAAGTTATTGTAAGGGATAATTAAAAAAAATTATTAAAAGCGGAAATTGGTGCAAGAGTCAAGTTGGAAGTTTTTGAGAGCTTGAGATTCGATCTGGAACCGCGTCATATTCGTATTATAAACAAGAGTTATATTTATATCGATCTTATTAGCATAAATTAATGAAGTTTATTTCAATTCGAAAAAAACACTGTTTCTTTGAAGTCCTTCAATAAACGCAGTCGTAACAAAATTTTTTGGATTTCATCTGGACCCAATCGAAAAATTGAAATATTTATTTATAATTTAAAAATGAGGTATAAATTATGATTTTTATTAAATTATTTTTTAAGTTCATTAAATTGCAGTTCAATTTTATTAAATTAGTTTTATTTTATTAAATAAGTTTTATTTTATCAAATAAGTTTTTTGTTAGTAAATAAGTTTTATTTTATTAATTAAGTTTTATTTTAAGTAGAATTATTAAAAAACTACATTTTTGTTGAAGTATAAAAAGTCATATACATGAAAAGTTTTCTTAAATTTCTTAAGAAAATAACGTAACATTTAAACAAATTTCTTTTCAGGTGGAAGAAATTTAAATTATTCATGATAGTTAAGAATAAATTTGAAGAATGTCCTTTTTTTCTAAAGGCACATTGACAACCATCCTAGAATGAAGCACATTCCACCTACAGGTGTTAATCTGGAGTATGATTTGTCGCCGGTAAATGATGAATAATAACATGGACCACAAAATAATGTAATGCCCGACAGAAGTAAAGTCCCAGACTGTAAGAAAAATTTCATTTAGACATTTTGTAATTTTTTTTTATTGACTTAAATTTTACTAGTTTATTCTATTATTTTATTTATTAACTCTTTTTTTTATTTTAAATAACAGGGATCACAGTTATTTTTTCTTCATATAACATTAGGTAAAAAAGGGGATTTTAATTTTTAAATGGAGGTTTTAGATTAGAAAAAAGAGAATTTTTGAAAAGGAAAAAATTATTGTATTATAGGATTAATTGCAACTTCATGAAATTATGAATTAAAATTTGTATTATAATGCTACTTTTTTTAAACTCCATAAATTTTATTGTATCCAAATTTATTTATAATAAAATTCAGCAAAAAAGGTAAAATTTACTTTTCTGAAAAGGTAGAACTTTCTTCAAAAATAGTAAAACTTATTATTAAAAATTCTTATTTGCAAAATCATTTTTACTATTTACGAAAGCAAATTTATTGATAAAAATTAGTCGAATTTACTTTAAAAGCAATGAAATTAACTGCAGAAATAGTAAAATTTGCTAAAAAATAAATAAATAAATCGTCAGAAATCTAACGATTTCTTATTATCAGAGTAAATTTTATAATATCCGAAGCAAATTTCAGTAAAAATTACTTCGGACGAGGTAAAATTTACTCGAAAGTTAGTTAAATTTACTATTATATTATAAATTACTATTTCCAGAATTACTTTTACTATTTCCAAAAATAAATTTCTTTATAAAAATTAATAAACTTAACTTCAGAAGTCGTAACATTTACCCTAGAATTAACAACTTTCAATAAAAAATGTTACTACATTCAAAAAAACTTTTAAAAATTTCGACAAAATGAAAGTTGAAATGAAATGAAATTTTGGAAATATTAGTTTTTACATAATTGTTACCTTATATAAAAAAAAATTTTCCAAGTTTAAAAATTCTGATAAAATAATATACATATAAACAGAATTTAAGTTGCAAAAAGCCAAACTTGTTGCAAGAAGGAAACTTTTTGTTCAACGTAACAAAATTTTTTTTTTTTACTTACATGACATTTTATTAATCTTATTATTTTATTAATTTAAGAGGAAAAGAGAAAAAAGAAACTAACTGAGATCCCTGTTAAAATTTTTTTAAATTAATTAAATTAATTATTAATTATTATTAAATAAGTAAATTAATTAAACTGAATTTCATTTTACTTGAACGTAAAAAGTAATTAATTTTAATTACTACCACTTACTAAAAATGGAAATCTGCAGAGTGGCAATGATATTAGCGTCAATGTATGAAGGAAATGAAATTTCGAAGCCGTTTCAAATACTCTTCTTTCTTCAATACCTTTTTCATCAGGTGAAAACCTCCCTGAAAATCATAAAATGTTAATTAAAAGTCTAAACCAATTTGAAAGTTAAAACTATTTAAAAGATTTTCAATAAAAAATTATGTACTGTGGGAGCCATAAGCAGCCAAAATAACAGCAATTGCACCGCTGATACCGGCTAATCTGATAAATGGTCCTTTCGATGATGCCAATTGATATAAATCGGGTGGAGTCATTGCTATCAATTTTCCAGGTTTTCCTTTCAAGCCGAGCTGTAAAAGATTTTAATTTCTAAATTTTATTTATCATTAAACTTGCAAATGTATTTTAATTTCAGGAGCATTAATATTGAATATATTATCTTTAAATAATTATATTGCTTACTCATTCATTGAGGAAGTATTTTTGACTTTTGTATTATGATTTTTTATTCATGATAATTATACATGTAATTAATTTTTTATAATAATGATAATGTAGAATTTATTCAATAAATATTAAATTAAATTAAATATATAGAATTATAAACAAATTAGAATAAAAGAAATAAAAAAAATACAGAGAAATCTGAATGTTATTAAAAAAATTTGTAGGAAAGTTAGGTTATAATGCACACTTTACTTACAGAACTAGCCGCATTTTTTGCAACATAAATTGTTCCCGATGAAATCGGATTATTAAACATTATATAATTCATTGCTTCTTTCACTCCCATTTTAATTGTTTATATTAAAATTTATAATGAAAATATCTTTTTTTGATTAATAAATCTGTATCATCCTTATACCAGTGAGAATATTAAAAGCAAATGACAATCAATAATATTTCATTTAACTCACCTATAAAGGTGTTTTTATTCTAATAACAAAAATCTTCAAATATTACTTTTTTGTAAAATTTACAAATTACAATTGTTGAATTTGTTTTTTTTTCATAAATTTTAATACTATTTAAATCGAAAACAATAAATATCGATTTCAATTCGATTTCGTCGCTTTCGATTGGTCAGTAAATTTCGGACAAGTAACTGAACCAATCAGGAAGCGTTCTTTCTACCTAGGGAAATGTTTTTTAAATTTCGATATCCCTAGTATCTAGTAACTTCGATTGTTTACGTTTGCAGAGTTCAATTTTTTAGCCTTGTTTATTTATTGTTTGCCTTTTAAAAACTTTTATAAAACAATTAATATTTCAAGTGATTTCAAGAAACAATTTAAAAATAAAAAACGCTACTTATCTATATAATAGAAAATATAACAAGTAAGTAGTTTCAAAATGACCAAGAGGTTAAAAAATTCGTTTTTCGTTGATTGATAAAAACAATTGTTTATAGAATTGTTTGTAATTTTTCTAATTTATATATTTCAGTGAGTAATGAAAAAGTTATGATGGATATTTACAATGCTCTAGTACTCTTGCAATATCCAAGGATAACCTTAATAAATTCAAAGGACATTGAAACACAAATTCTCGGTGGTGACAATCGAATTTGTTTATTGTCGTGGCTCCTTCAACAAAATCCCAAATATTCTTTTCCACTTTTAAATAAATTAAAAGGAGAAGCACTAGAAGGTAGTATATTTAAAATTTTTTAAATTAACGATTAGTGTACATTTTTTTTTAAAATTGATATTAATTTTCAGAAGAGTTATTCAAATATTATTCACAAATTGGTATTTGCCGAGACAAAGAACAATTATTAGTAAGTTGAAAATTTTGTTGTATTTTCAATTCTATTTTCATGTTTTAATATTTTTTAGAGTATTTTATTTATTTAGTTTATTTTCATTTAGCGTTATTTCGTTTTTTTCGTATTCGTTCGTATAAACAAAACTTTAGGGATTCATTTTTAGTTTATTTTGTTATTTAGTTTCTTTTATTTTTTTTTAATTAATTTTTATTTATTTTTATTTTATTTAAATTTTTCATTATTTTACAGGGTAAATGTTCATTGAGAAATCAACAGAGTACACTTAAATTATTACTGTTGTTTATAAAAAATATCAATAAAGGCGAAAGACAAGAGGATGAAACGAACGATGTATCTGTCAACGATACGTTGCAGGTAATTATTACAAATTATAAATTTATATTTTCTTTCCCTTTATTTTCCAAATTTAAAATTTGATAATTTTTTCAGAACTATTTTGAGAAGAATGTGAATATTTTACCCGAGGATTTTAGTCTTATTACAAAATTAAGTCAATCTGAGACGAGTAAATATATCGAGGAGACTAGAAGAAACGTTGAAGAAATTCAAAAACAAAATTCTGCTTCGAAAAATAAATCTTTTCAAAATACGGCAGAAATATTACACGAGGTATTTTTCCTTCTTAATAACGAACTTTATAAATAAATTATGAATTTATTTAATTTTTAAATAAATAAATACTTTAAATAATTTTCAGGAAAAACTAAACTTCGTTCCAGACATAAAAAATGATGTAATGAAAATAAATTTGGAAGAATTTGCCAAATCGTTCAAAGACCTCGAAACTGTTTCGAAGGATTCGCACACTGCTCGGCCTGAAATATCCAATATGAATAAAATAATTGATGGGATGAATTTCAATTTTTCTACAATTGAACAGGTATTTGGCAAACTCTTTATATTTGGAAAAATCTTTTCACTAATTGGTTTACTTTCTAATTTATTTCATTCTGATAATGATATAAATGTCTTATTAAAAATACAAAAAATAGAATCTAATGAATTATATTTTCTCAATTAGGCAATAAATTGCAAAGAGAAAATTGCACAATTAACTGTTCCAACTGGAGTACGAACGTTAAATACACCTCTCACTGAAACCGTAGATGAAAGTGTATTTTGGCTTCAACGAGTTTCTAATGCTCAGACAAAAGTCGAAAATTTTTGACAGAGAAGCATGTTATTTAAAATACAATAAACCTATATTTATTTTTAAATTAAAATTCTATATTTTCAAATGTTTTTAAAGCAATAACTTATCAAATTGAATTTAAATTATTTTTTGATTTTTTTAAAATGAAAAATTAACTATTGAAAAAAGTTTTATTAATAAAAAAATTTTTCAGCGCATTACAAACTTATTTTATTATTTTATTCATTATCAATAATAAATTGCGTTTTTTAAAACACATTTTTCTTTATAATAAATAAATTTCATTATTTAAAAATTTAAAAATTTCAATAAAAATTAGTAAACTTTACTTCAGAAGTAATAAAATTGACTCCGGAAGTAATAATTTTTAATAACAAATCAAACGAAGAATATTCAAAGAAAATTTAAAAATACAGAAATACTTTTGTACAAAAATTAACTGTGGGAATAGTAAAATTTACAATAAAAAATTGTTATTTACCTACAAAATAATTCTTACTATCTCCGAAGACAAATTTCTTTACAAAAATATTAATTAAATTTACTTCAAAAGTACTGGAAATTGTAAATTTTTATTTATTGTAAACAATAAATTGATTTTTTTAAACACATTTTTCTTTATAATAAATAAATTTCATCAAATTTCAAATAAATTTCAATTGAAAAATTCATAAAAATGTTTTAAAAAGAAAAATTATAATTTTAATAAATTAAAGTTTATTTAAATTAAATAAAAATAATTAATTAAATTAATTTATTTAAATTAAAATTTATTTGATATGTTATACCATTGTAAGTATATCTATATATATCACGTTTGACTTTTCCTTTTTGGTTATGTTCGTTGTTTTCAATTTCGAATGAAACGTCACATTTTCATGCACCAGATCAATCACGAGAGAAATTCTTGTTTTCCACTTTGTTTATCATTACAACGAATAAAATTTTATCTCAGTTTTACGTGAAACTATGATGTGTGTATTATTAAATACAAACAAATGTCACAATTCCAAGGACTTGAGTTAGCAGGAGGAAAATTTAGGTTATAAAACAATGTTGACTAAAATTAATAGAGTAAATTTACAAAGTAAGTGTAATTTTCATTATTTTCATCCAAATAAATAAGATAAAATTCTATACGAATTATAATTATATTTACATCTTTTTTCCAAAAATAAAACATAACCAAAAAAAAAAAAAAATTACAGGTTAAAAATAATAATAGTATGAAACCGCATATACTTTTCATACAAGTTTTTCTCCTATTGATGAATTTCATTGTCACTGAAAGTAACGAGAAACTTGACGAACAATTAAAACAAAACGCGTCAACAATATCTGAAGCATTTTACGAATTGAATAATTTAAATTCAATTTCATGTAATACATCGCAAAATACACAGGAGATTAAGGTGGAATTTTCGAGTAGTGTTATTAAAAATGAATATATTGTTGCATTCAATGGATATTATAAGCCGAGGACACGTGAAAATTATATTCGAGCTGCTCTAAATTCATCGGATGTGAAAAATTGGAAAATATTGAATCGCAATAATCCTGCGAGTGGATTTCCAAGTGATTTCGATGTTGTTCTTATTGAGGAGAATGATAAATATTCAGGACTCAGTGCACTCACTGATCATCCACTTGTACGACGTGTTACACCTCAGAGACTCGTGAAAAGAACATTGAAATTCGCCGAAACCAATGAAGATGATGGTTATCCAGAGTATAAGAATTTTAAAAGAAAAATCAATAGTTTTGTGAGTTGGAAAATTTAATTAATTTTTGTTTGCTTCATTATTTTTTTAAACTTCCATACAGGAGGTTTTTAATTTATTTTTTTTTTTAATTTAAATATTTAAACAGAATTACCACAGGGAAAAGTCAGGGATTTCTATTAAAATTTCTGTAAAAAAAGGGAATTTTTAGAATTCATTAGAAAATTCCGAATTTTTGTGTCTTTTTTGCTTGCCACATAAACTATGAAATTACCACGAATTCTAATGAAAAACCTTCAATTTTTTCTATTTCTGACAATAATTTCTCTTTAAAAAAATTAATCCTTGAAGAAATATCATAAAATTATTTCCTGTAAATTATTTAATGAATAATTTTACTTAAATATTTCAAAATTAATTGAATTTTAAAAGAGTTGCGTTTACAATTTTCAAAAATAGATGAACATTAAAAGGTTTTAATTTAAAATTTTATAAAATTTAAATTTTTAATGAATTTTATTAAAAAAAATTTAAATAATTCAAATTCTTCTGAAATAAGTTAAATTTTTTAATAAATATTTAATTAATTATTAAAAATAATGGATTTATAGAAGAATTTTAGTCAACACTAAAAAAGAATTGAAATTTTGAGAAGTTACAAGTGATTGCAGAAATTCAATTATTTTCAAAAGTAACAAAATTCTTCGCAGAAATTTAATTATATTAAAAAACTTTTCAAAAATTCTCGTCAAAATTTCAATTATCTTCATAAATTATTATTAAATTCCTTTCCAAAATTCAATTATTATCAACAGTTTTTAAAAAATTCTTAACGAAATTTCAATTATTTTCAAAAATTACAATAAAACTTTCATAGGTGTTCAATTATTTTTAATAGAATTTTAATTCAATTCCTTGAAAAATTTATCGCAAAATTTCAATTATTTTTATTACAATTTTAATCAAATTCCTCAAAAAATGTAATTATTCTTAAAAATTTTATTAAAATTCTTCAAAAGAATTCAATTATTTTAATTATCAAAGAATTAATTAACCCAAATAAAAATAAAATTTATAATATTTATTATATATTATTTATATTATTATTTATATTATTTATTTTTAAGAATTTAATTATTTTTAATATAATTTTAATTAAATTATTCTTTTAAATTTTCATAAAATGATTCAAATAAATAAATATCTAGTTTCACAGGAATTCAATTATTTAAAAAAAAATTAAGAAAAATTGTTTCAAGAATTCAATTATTTTCATAAATAATGAAATTTTTAAAACAATCAATTATTTTCATAAATAATAATATTTATCGCAGAATTTCAATTATTTTTAATACAATTTTAATCGAATTCCTCGAAAAATGTAATTACATATTCTTAAAAATTTTATTAAAATTCGTCAAAAGAATTCAATTACCTATTTAAAAAATTCGATGACAAAATTTTGGGAATTTTCTAATAAAAATTGATTTAAAAATGAATTTCGGTTAATATTTTAGATTATACATAATTGAATATTAAAAGCATTATAGTTTGAATTTTTAGAAATAATTGAATTTTGAAATAAAATTCTTAGCAGAAATTCCATTATTTTCAAAAATTATCAATTATTTTCATAAATAATAAAAATTTTTTTGTGGCAACTCTGTTAAATGATATTTTAATTTAATGTTAATTTAGTTAATTTAACGTTAATTTAGTGAAGAGAATACACCTTTTTGAAGAAAGAATGTTTTCGAATAGTAATGGAAAATTTTAATTTGCAGAAAACTTCTAATTCGAATGCTGGACAGACACCTTCTAGACATGCATCGAGGAGATTGCTTCGTGCTATTCCACGACAAATTACGAGTATTCTTCAAGCGGACGTTTTATGGGGAATGGGGGTAACAGGACGGGGAATAAAGGTACTTTTTTATTTTAGGAATATAATGGAAACATTAAGAAAAGAGGAAAAATTAATAAATTTTCTCATGGCTTTTTTTAGGTAGCAGTTTTTGACACTGGCCTCGCGGCTAGTCATCCTCATTTTAAAAAGATCGAGGAACGCACTGACTGGACAAATGAAAAAACTGTCGAGGATGGTCTTGGTCATGGAACTTTCGTCGCTGGAGTAATTGCATCGTCATCTAAAGAATGCTTTGGTCTCGCTCCAGATGCGGAACTTCATATTTTTCGCGTCTTCACCAATTCTCAAGTATTTTTTTTTTCTCTTAATTCTTTCTTTAATTTATTTTTAAGTCCTTTTTTATTTTCCTCTTTTGTTTCTTTTTTTCTATTTATTAAATCTTTTTAATTAAATTTCTTGAATAACTATTTTGAATATCTATGTGAATAACTATTTTATAATAACTATTAACAATTAATTTTTATTGTTTTTCTGTAATTTATTTCCTTCTGTTGTAGGTCTCTTATACGTCGTGGTTCCTCGACGCTTTTAATTATGCAATACTGACGAAAGTAACAGTTTTGAATCTTAGTATTGGAGGTCCAGATTTTATGGATCATCCTTTCGTTGATAAGGTTTGGGAACTCACTGCTAATGGCGTTATTATGGTATCGGCGATTGGCAACGATGGTCCTTTATATGGGTGAGAAAATAATTGCAGAGAATATTTAAAATATATTAGATTTATCAAGGAAAATTGTATAGAAATTTTTATACAAATTTACTTATAACGTTTATACAAAAAAGAAAGAAATTTACAATCGAAATAGTAAACTCTTCCTCTCAATACTTTAATTTACAAATTACATGTTTAATAATTATTTTCTAATAAAACTTCTTTATAATTTTGCATTCTTTTAATTTACATTTACATTTTTACGTTTACGTCTATATTTAATTTTCCTTATTTTAATTTACAAAAATGATAATATAATATTATTAATATAATAATTGTATTATAATTTATATATTATTTCAGTACATTGAATAATCCAGCTGATCAAATGGACGTGATTGGCGTCGGTGGAATTAATTGGGACGATCAAATTGCTGGTTTTTCTTCACGTGGAATGACAACGTGGGAATTGCCTTTTGGCTACGGCCGAGTGAAACCCGATTTGGTAATGTACGGCTCAGGAGTGCAAGGTTCAGCACTAGAGAGTGGTTGCAGAAAACTTTCAGGTACTTCCGTCGCTAGTCCCGTTGTCGCTGGAGCTGTTGCACTTCTAGCCAGTGGTTTTCTTAGCTCCGATGGCACACTGGACGAAAAGGTATAATAATTCCCAAAAACAAAGAAGAAACCAATAGTTATTTTATAAATTCTAGTTTTCTTTAGAAACATTGGAAAACAAATTTTATTTTTTTTCTTCTTTATAAAATTCTAAATTCATCAAAAACTAAATTAAAGTTATTTCATTATTTTGATTTTTTATTTGTGTAATCTACGGTTTTTAATATTTTATTTTAATTTTTAATTTTATTTACCCTATAATTTGACTTAATTTATTTTATTTAATTCAGATAACACCAGCCAGTATGAAGCAGGCGTTATTAGAATCAGCGAGAAGATTACCAGGAGTTGGAATGTTTGAACAAGGTGCAGGAAGATTAGATTTATTGAGTGCTTTTCTCTATTTACGTTCATACACACCTACGGTTACATTAAGTCCAAAGTACGTTAATATTATTTACAAAATAGTAATAATAAATAAATAAAAATAAAATTAATTTTTTAGTTTATAAAATAGTGTAAAAATCAAGTTCATCTAAAACTTTTAGTTCTTTTTATAATAACTTTAAAATAAAATATATAATTTGTTTTATACGATAAATCAACAATATTTCGAAAGGAATTTACTGAAATAATAAAATTTTATTTGTTTCTTTAAATAGTTACGTGGACTTGACGGAGTGTCAGTATATGTGGCCTTATTGCACTCAAGCAATTTATCACACTGGAATGCCAACAATTGTCAATGTCACTATTTTAAATGGTCTCGGTGTATCCGGTTATGTGGCGGATTTAAAATGGCATCCTTACACCCTCGATGGAAATGGAGAAAAACTCGACGTTTCATTGAGTCATTGCGATGTTCTTTGGCCCTGGTCCGGATGGCTTGCCGTTTCAATTACAGTTCCAGAGTCGGCAAGCGACTGGCGTGGAATCGCTCGTGGTAATTTTAATTTCAAATAATTTTTGATAAATTAACAATAATAATCGAAAATATATTATTAAATACATTGTTAGTTTAATAAAAATTAATTCGTATTGAAAATTAACTTAAATTAATTTTTCAGGTCACATTTCTCTGACGATCGAATCGCCGCCGAATGCTGGCGAAACGGAACCAAGACGATCGACTGTTGAATTATCCTTGACAGCAAAAATTATTCCGACCCCACCGCGACAGTACGTAGAGTATTTTTTATAGTTGATAATTTTCTTTGCTGCTTCTTAACGAGTTTAATTTTTTCTTTTTAGTAAACGAATTTTGTGGGATCAATATCACAATTTACGTTATCCACCAGGCTATTTTCCGAGGGATGATTTGAGAGCTAAAAACGATCCTCTCGATTGGAATGGAGATCATATTCACACTAATTTTAAAGAAATGTACCAACATTTACGTAATGTGGGTTATTATCTCGAAGTATTGGGATCGCCGTTTATTTGCTTCAATGCAAAAAATTATGGTACTCTACTTATTGTTGACAGTGAGGAAGAATTCTTTCCCGAAGAGGTTTGAAATAATTTCTCAATTTTTTTCTAATCTATTTATTTTAATTTCCAAACGCTTATTTATTTACTTCTTTAATTGTTTACTTACTTTACTTACTTCGTTAATTACTTATTTTTTACTTCTTTAATTATTTATTTTTTTACTTCTTCAATTATTTATTTATTTACTTATTTTTTTTACTTCTTTCAATTACTTATTTAGTTACTTCTGTAATTATTTCTTTATTTACTTCTGTATTGCTTATTTACATATTTGCATATTTAATTAATTATTTATTTACCTACTTATTTAGTTATTCATTCGGTTATTTATTTATTTAATAGATAGTGAAATTGAAGGAAGACGTGGAAGAAAAGGGCCTGTCGGTCGTAGTATTTGCCGATTGGTACAATGTCACCGTAATGGAGAAAGTGAAATTTTATGATGAAAATACGCGTCAATGGTGGATACCAGACACTGGTGGTGCAAATGTTCCGGCTTTGAATGACTTACTCTATCCTAATTGGGGCATAGCTTTTAGCAGCAGTGTTCGAGATGGTCAATTTGTCCTGGGACAACATCCACCAGTGACATACGCTTCCGGAACTACCATTGCTCGGTAAATTTAAAACTTTATTTGTTCAAAATAAATCCACCAGTTATTATGATAGTAAAATTGTAATTAAAATTCAAACTTGACCGAAACGATAGTAAACAGATAAATTAGTAAATAAATTAATAATTAAATTAATAAATTAATTAACTTATAATTGAACTAATAAACAAATTAATTTATAATAGAATTAATAAATAAATTAATTTATAATTAAATTAATAGATTAATAAATTAATTACTAGTAGAGAAGAAATATTAAATTAGTAGAGAAAAAAATTTAATGGAAATAATTTTCAGTTTTCCAAAAGAGGGTTTTCTTCTACATGCTTCGCTTCACGATCAGGGCGAGGAATTGCTCACCGAAACCGAAGTAAAAACATCCTCGTTGACTCCGGTTTTAGGTTTATTTCAAACAAAAAGTCAGGAATTGAGTAAAAAAAGTGAAGATACTATTAAAGAAGCGGAGAATAATGAAAATGAAAAATCATCAACTGTTCCTGGTAGACTTGTAGTTTATGGTGATTCCAATTGCATCGACGACATTCATTCACAAAAACGTAAGACAATTTGCAAATTTTATTTTTTGTCTTCACAGGGTTACCACAAAAATTTTATTTCGCTTTTTCCTGATTTACAAATAGAATTTTTATTTTTTCTCTGATTACTATAATAAAAATCAAAGGGTTTTGAATTTTCAATTCAAAAAATTAAATTCAAACAATTTATTTAATTTAAATTTTAAAAAAATTGAATTCAAATAATTAATTCAATTTAATTAAACAAAATTTGAATTTAAAGAATTTATTCAATTGAAATTCAAATAAATTGAATTCAGATAATTCATTTAAATCAAATTAAAAAAAATTGATTTGAATTTTAATTTTAAAAAATTTGAATTTAAATAATTTATTCAATTCAAATTGAAATAAATTGAATTCATATTTCAATTAAATAAAACTCAAAAAAATTGAATTCAAATTCAAAATAATTTTAATTCAAAAAATGTATTCAATTCAAATTTATAAATTTTATTCAATTCAAATTAAAAAAAATTGAATTCAAAATTCATTGAATTCAAATTCAATTATCAAAAAAATAAAAATGAATATTTTTAAAAGCAAAAATTAAAGGGCATAGCCGGATAAGTATGCAAAAAGTGCCCCCGCATGTATTTAATTCATAATTTATCCATACATTCCTACCCACTTAAAGATAACATTCTGAAATTTTGAACTCAAAATTCGCTTTTTTAGGGGAGTTATGGAGGGGGAAAGAAAAATCAAAAAATGCGTTTTTCTCGAAAACTACTGAACCGATTTTAATGAAATTTAAATATGTTATAAATGTCAACAAAACGGTTTAAAAAAAATTTTTTGAAATTTTTTTTTCAAAAAAATCCAAAAAAATTTTTTTTTTGAATTTTTCAAAAATTTTTTTTTTTTATTTTTTTAAGAGCGACACCCGCCATTTTTTTACTATTTACTCGTTAAAGTGTCTATTTTAAGAAAAAAATTTTTCTCAATTTTTTTTTGAGGTGCGTGATGGTGAAAAAAAATAAAAACCGCAAGTGGGTACAATGTACAGCTTAAATTTTGAAAAATCTATCATATTCTTTAAAAATTTGTTATTTCGAGTCATTTTTAGGTTTCTAATTATAAAATTACTATAGAATTTAAAAAATTCAAAATGGCGCATCCAAGATGGCGGAAAATTTTCCTAAACGTGAATCATATTTTGAAGTTTCATAACAAAAATTTCAGATACAATTAACTGGGGCTTAGGGGGTTAAGTGTGCAAAAACTGCCCCCGCATCTATTTTTCTTAAATTTGGCCCATATATTACTATCTATTTGACTATATTTTTCTGCAATTTTGAACTCAAAATTCGCTTTTTTGGGGGAGTTATGGAGGGGGAACGAGAAATCAAAAAACTTATTTTTCTCGAAAACTACTAAACCGATTTTAATGAAATTTTAAGAGGTTGTAAATATAGATAAAACGATTTTAGTAAAAAAAAATCAAAATTTTTTTGTCAAAAAAAAATCAAAATTATTTTGTAAAAAAAATCAAAAAATTTTTTTTTGAAATTTTCAAAAATTTTTTCAGGGTTATTTTTTTAAGTGACCACTTTCTCTTTTGTTGTAAAAAGTACTTTATAATGTCCCTTTTAACATATATTTTTTCCAAATTTTTAAAAAATATAGTTTTTGAGCAAAATGTCAAAAACCATGGTCATGCTATTTGTCACGTACGGGAATGCACATATATACATATGGGCAATTTCATGTGATAGGGTATAGCCGGATAAGTATGGAAAAAGTGACCCAAATATATTTTTCCTATTCATTCCTACCCACAAAATAACTTTTTGAAATGTTTAACTCAAACTTTTAATTTTTGTGAGCTTATGGAGGGAAAAAAATCGAAAAAACGCATTTTTCTCTAAAACTATTGTATGCATTTTAATGAGCTTTGGATATGTTGAAAAGACAATTAAAGAGATAAAAAAACAAATTTCAAATTCTTTTTTCAAAAAATTCCAAAAATCTGTTTTTTAAAAAATTTTATTTTGAAATTTTCAGAATTTACTGTGACACACACTGAAATCATGTCAGGCAAAATTTTTTAATTAAGTAGATCACATAAGAGACTGAAATGATAAAATACATAAAAATGTCACATTAAAAGAACCAAAAAAATTTTTTTCTGAAAATTTCAAAATAAAATTTTTTAAAAAACAGATTTTTGGAATTTTTTGAAAAAAGAATTTGAAATTTGTTTTTTTATCTCTTTAATTGTCTTTTCAACATATCCAAAGCTCATTAAAATGCATACAATAGTTTTAGAGAAAAATGCGTTTTTCGATTTTTTTCCCTCCATAAGCTCACAAAAATTAAAAGTTTGAGTTAAACATTTCAAAAAGTTATTTTGTGGGTAGGAATGAATAGGAAAAATATATTTGGGTCACTTTTTCCATACTTATCCGGCTATACCCTATCACATGAAATTGCCCATATGTATATATGTGCATTCCCGTACGTGACAAATAGCATGACCATGGTTTTTGACATTTTGCTCAAAAACTATATTTTTTAAAAATTTGGAAAAAATATATGTTAAAAGGGACATTATAAAGTACTTTTTACAACAAAAGAGAAAGTGGTCACTTAAAAAAATAACCCTGAAAAAATTTTTGAAAATTTCAAAAAAAAATTTTTTGATTTTTTTTACAAAATAATTTTGATTTTTTTTTACTAAAATCGTTTTATCTATATTTACAACCTCTTAAAATTTCATTAAAATCGGTTTAGTAGTTTTCGAGAAAAATAAGTTTTTTGATTTCTCGTTCCCCCTCCATAACTCCCCCAAAAAAGCGAATTTTGAGTTCAAAATTGCAGAAAAATATAGTCAAATAGATAGTAATATATGAGCCAAATTTAAGAAAAATAGATGCGGGGGCAGTTTTTGCACACTTAACCCCCTAAGCCCCAGTTAATTGTATCTGAAATTTTTGTTATGAAACTTCAAAATATGATTCACGTTTAGGAAAATTTTCCGCCATCTTGGATGCGCCATTTCGAATTTTTTAAATTCTATAGTAATTTTATAATTAGAAACCTAAAAATGACTCGAAATAACAAATTTTTAAAGAATATGATAGATTTTTCAAAATTTAAGCTGTACATTGTACCCACTTGCGGTTTTTATTTTTTTTCACCATCACGCACCTCAAAAAAAAATTGAGAAAAATTTTTTTCTTAAAATAGACACTTTAACGAGTAAATAGTAAAAAAATGGCGGGTGTCGCTCTTAAAAAAATATAAAAAAAAAATTTTTGAAAAATTCAAAAAAAAAATTTTTTTGGATTTTTTTGAAAAAAAAATTTCAAAAAATTTTTTTTAAACCGTTTTGTTGACATTTATAACATATTTAAATTTCATTAAAATCGGTTCAGTAGTTTTCGAGAAAAACGCATTTTTTGATTTTTCTTTCCCCCTCCATAACTCCCCTAAAAAAGCGAATTTTGAGTTCAAAATTTCAGAATGTTATCTTTAAGTGGGTAGGAATGTATGGATAAATTATGAAATAAATACATGCGGGGGCACTTTTTGCATACTTATCCGGCTATGCCCTTTACAAGTTTAAGAGTGTTTACCTATTTTTAAAATAAAATTAGTCGCACTTTGCTAACTTTTCTCGATTATTTTCAAAAAATTTCAAATCTTTTAAAAATTAACTAATTAACAAAAATTAATTAATTTCGTAGAAAAAATTAATATATTTATTTAAAACAAAAAAAAATTACATAGGTATATATTTTTATGAATGGAAATTATGGAAAGAGAAATTTTTTATTTCAGCGTGCTTCTGGATGTTGGACGCTCTATTAGAATATGCAAATACAGGACATATTCCATTAATTTTTGAAGAAGAGGAGGGTCGCCATAAAACAATTAATGACGATCAGGCGAAATTAGACGAATTGCCAAAGCGAATTGAAAGTAGTCACTTGAGTCGTCACAGCAAAGTTGTGAATAATGACACACTGGGAAAAGACAGATTTCGTCCTCTAACGCCTTGTCCGGTTCTACTTCCTGCTACACCTTATCCACTCAATGAATCAATTCCAATGTACGAATTATTTTTTTAAAAAATCTTCTATTTCAATTTTTAATTATAGCAAATATTGAAACAAGTTTCAATTTTTATTTGTAATAATTATTGAAAGCCATTTCAATTTTTAATTACAATAAATATTCAAACCTATTTCAATTTTTAATTACAATAAAATTGAAGTAAATATTTTTAATTATTTCAAATTAATATTGGAAATAATTGAACAATCTTTGTTTCAAATTAATATTTGAAATAATTAAAAATCTACAAATTTCAAAAATTACTTAAATGTTATGCATATAAAATTAAAATTATATCTTCTTTTTCATTTCAGAAATTCTCACAAATCACAGACATTAAAGTCGTTAAAGGAATCAGTGGTGGCCATGGTGCCATTGCCACAAAATTCAAAATCATGGATAAGAAGACGCGGTGGTGGAGTGATAAGCGACACATTGAATCAAATTGATTCCTACAGTAGTATAATTGAAGAATCGACCACTAATGATCAAACGAAAAAATGGTTAAATATAAAATTACCAAGTTACGCCGCTCTAACGATGATAATTTGTGGAATTTTAATCTATGCATTAAATCGCTGGGGTTTATGTGGAGTTAAAAGATCTCGTAGAAAGAGAACAATTGGTAGATTGCGTAGAATTATTCAAGTGATAACTGTTCGTAAAGTGCCTCAAATGTAGGTTTATATTATTATATATATTATATTTGACATAGACTGATATAGATAATTAATCTTTTAAAAATGACGGTAACACTTTTATACTCTATCTTTTCTCTTGGTGCACAAGAACAAATTTTTATTCCATTTTATTTTTTAAAGGGAAAAAAAATTTTTTACTCTTCTTTTATTTTTTATTTTTTTTTAGTCAACTTGGGAATATTAAATATAAAAAATTATATCGTTAATTAATGAAATATTTTTATGCATTAATGTGTAAAAAAATAGATTAATATATAAAAATGATTTATTATCTATAAATTAACATATAGAGAATTATTATTCTGACGGGTACTTTTTTTGAATTTTATTCTAACGCCACTGTCACAAAATTTTAATAGAAAAATAAAAATAAGGAAACAGTTTCAGATATTTCAAACTATTTTGTGTTCATCTATCACTAGTAATAATAATAATAATAATAATAATAATAATTGTGCGAAAACTTTTATTTTTAGGCGCTACTAAATACTAATAATTCATAAGGGATTTTAAATATAAATATTTATAGAATTTTTGAATAAAGTTTACTATTTTTATTTAAATAAATATTGTATTATTGCAAACTATTGTCTATTATAGCTGTGAAATTTGTAATATTATAAATAAACATGAATGTATTTTATTAAATTTATTTGTCTAATTAATTTGACTAATTGTAGTTAGTTGTTGTTCGCTTTTTTGTTTTCTAACATTATACTTAAATTATTCTTATTTATTTATATTTTATTCATATTTACTTAAATATTTTCAACTTTAAAATTATAATTTATTAAATATCATTGAATTCTTGCAAAGAATTTTATCAAAAAATTTGTGAATAATTAAATTCCTTCGAACAATTTTATTATATTTATGAAAATAATTGAATTCTTGTGAAGAAAAGTTTATTAAAATTTTTGATAATCTTACATTCTTTCGAAGAATTTCTATGAATTTTTTTTAATAATGAAATTTCGTTAATTTTAATCAAAAATTTTGAAAATAATTGAATTTTATGAAAAATTTCTTTCAAGTTTTTAAAATAATCGTAATTTGTTAATAATTGTAATTAAACACATTTACTTATTGAATTTTATTAAAATTTTTAAAAATAATTAAATTTCTCAGAATTTTAACACAATTTTCTAAAATAATTTAATTCATTCAAGAAATTTTATTAAAATATAGAAAATAAATAAATACTATTTAAGGTTTTGACAAAATAAAAATTTCTTTAATTTATTGAATATACTCGATTTTATTGATAAGTGTAATTAATAATTTTACTACTAAAATTCTGTATAAATTTTAAAACGAATTAAGAACAAATGTATATCTGAAAATAAAAAATTTTGTAATTTGCATAATGATAATAATAAATTGAATATCACGTTGCAAGTTCAATTAATATTATTAACTCAATTAACGAAACAAACAAACAATGAATTTTACATTTTAAATTTCACGTTTTAAAATATAATGTAAAATGTAAAATAAAAGTACATGAATAAATCCTACTATTTAAATTCGTAATTTACAAATTTGTAAATCAGTATTTCAATTTAATATTTTAAGTTAATTAGTAAAATTGCTTTTTTAATTGTAGAATGGATTGTAGGTGACCCAATGAGCTCGTGTTTGATCAGACGCCGATTTATGAGATGTGAAAATACTTTTAAACACTTCAGACGCTTTGGGATCTTTTGCAACGCTATAATCCTCTTTTGTTTTATTATATGCGGAATCGTGCACTTGATTCGGAAGTTTTGAACAAGATGCTTGTTCTTCTTTCTTTATTTTCTTCTTTGGTGCTTCAACCTCTTCGGTTGCTTCTTCTTTCTTAATTTTCTTTTTTGACGCTTTCCTCTCGGCTTTTCGAATTACTAGTCGTTCCTCCATTTTTCTGAGATCATCATCTTCGGCATTCATGATAACGACATCGTTTTCCGTAAATGGTTGTTGACACTTGTGACAAATCTGTATCATTCAATTAAAATTGTTAATTAAATTAATTAAACTAATAAAACAATCAAACAATGCATTTTATATTTTATTTTGATTTGTTTATTTCATTTTTTATTTTAGTTTGATTTGCTTATTTTATGCTTTCTTTTATTCTCAAATACTTTCTTTTTTCTAATTGTTTATGAAAAGTAGATAAATACTTACGTTCGTTTTAATTTCCTTGATGGCTCTTTCGCTCATTACACAGCCGCAGGACCAAAGGAAGCAAAATTTAAATTTTCCACTCATTTCCAAACCAATAATGGGACAAATGTAAGGATTGTGTACGCCATCGACGCAGCCATCGCCTTGGTCTACTTTTTTACTGGAGGATGCTGTGTTCGATGTTAGATTCAATGTTTTAACATCTTTTAAATTTTTAATGTGAGTCGCAGTTTCTGGAAGTAAAGAACGATCGAGCAATCCTTCCAAAACTGATTCCTTCGAGTAAAGACGTCCTAATCCACAGGAGACAATTGGAGTTTGAAGTGGTGATTGTCTAATTGAACAATGTTTCCATCTAAACGCTAATTCTGCCTCCTTATCTTTCTGTAAGTAAAAAAAAGATTAAAAATCTTTTTCATATATTTTTTTACATTCGTAAAGAGTAAATAATGGTTATTAGAAAATAAAAAATTTCAAATAATTGTATAAAAACAATTCAATTAAACTTTTTCAAAAAAATTAATTTCAAAATTTAACTATTTATTTTTTAGTTTTTTTAAACTAGAATTCCTCTCTAAATCCATTATTTATAATAATTTTTGAAAAAGTTCTTTGAGAATTTTCATATTCATTTGTTAACAATTCAGTTTTACAAAATTTGAATTATTAGCAAATTCTTTAATTAAACACATACATATTAGAAAATAAAAACTTAAAATAAAATTAAAATAATTCAATTAAACTTCTTCAAAAAAATTAATTCCACAGAATTGTTAGTTAAAAATATGAAAAATTTATAAAAATAATTGAATTCAAGTAAAATTTTTATTATTTATGCAGATAATTAAATTTCAAAGAAGAATTTTTCATTTATGAGAATAATTGAATTCTTACAAAAAATTTTCTGCGAATTTAATAAAAATTTTATTAAATAATTGAATTTCTAAAAGGAATTTAATTATTTATGAAAATAATTGAATTTCTGCGAAGATTTTATTATACTTTTGAAAATAATTGAATCCATGTAAAAAATTTTATTTGTTATGATAATAATTGAATTATTGCGAAAAAATTTATAAAAAATTTGCAAATAATTGAATTTCTGTCAGATTTTTATTATTAATTATGAAAATAATTAAATTTTTGAGTACAATTTTATTAAAAAATTTTCGAAATAATTGAATTCTTTTGGATAATTTTATTAAAATAATACACATATATTAAAAATCATTGAATTGAAGAAAATTTTTAAATATAATTAAAATTTTGCCAATAATTTTTATTAAAATTTTTTAAAATAATTGAATTTTGGAGAAGAATTTTATTTGTAATTTTTCTAAAATTTTCCAAATTATATTGTACAATATACGAAAATCTAAAACGTCTTTATTATTTTTAACAACATTTAAATCTTAAATAAATATAATAAAAACAAAAAACTTATAAACAGAAAACAATATGAAAATCTTTTTTTCTAACCTGTTCTGGCTTCTTTTTCACTCGTACTAGTTCATCTCGACGTGGAATAGTACCACCATCACAACCCATTTTAAAGAAATTAATAAATATTAATATTTATTAATAATTAATATTTATTTAAGTTCTATTTGTTTATCAACAACAGAGATGCGTAAATACAAATATTTTTGACAGCTGACAATGACGTCTACAGACCAAATTCGGCCATCTTGTTTTTAAATGGCCAACAGGCCAACAAGGGCATTTTGTTTTCTTATGTTGGTATTTCCGAGATTTTTAGTATTTTCTTTATCTACTGTTGGCATTCTTGATAGTTACTAGTGCAAATAAAGTCGTTGAAAGATGAAAGTAGAAGAAAACATTATTTCATTATTTTAATTATAAATGTTTAATTCATACGTTTGTTAAGTAAAATAAGTTCTAAATAAACGATAAATTACACCACCTTTTTGGCAATAATAAAAATAAAGCCGTTTATTCAGGTAAAATGACGAATCTAAAATTACGCATCATTTTGAGGTTAGGATGCTCAATATTTTTATTTATTTATTTGTTTTTTTCATATTCATTTTAATATTTACTTATTATTTCTATAAAAATAGTTCTAAAATTTGTTTTTTTTTCACTGTTTATTAAAATTTATAAGTCTTATGTTAAAATATTTTTACAAAATCCAAATATAGCTCAATTGTTTCTTCGGTTATTCTTCATTGTTAGTTTTTTTCTCCTTAACAATAGTTTAAAATTGTAAACATTGTTTAAAAATAGTTGTTGTTTAAAGTTAAAAAATATTATAAATTTTAATGTATTGTTTAATATTTTTAATTCATTGATTGTGCAAATTGTTAAATAAAAAATATTCCATGTCTTGTTGATTCGATGAGATATTGATTTTTTTAAAAAGAATAATAATATAAGAATAATTTTTAATCTTATGTGTTGAATTGCTGAAGATAAATAGTTCAAGTTTCATAGTCAAATTAAAATTAAATAAAATTAAGTGGAAGTTTTTTGACAGTAAATTATACAAGTTTGCGAGAACTCGAAAGTGTCAAGGTTAAGATAGAAATCTGTCCTTCTCGTTATTTTTTTGATAATAATGCAAATTAGTAAATTTAATTCGATGCGAAAAAAGCAGAACATAAATATCAAGTTCTTTAATAAATCCCAAACGTTCTTTTTTTAATTATAATGAAATTTTCTAAATTTAAATTTATCAACTAAGTCATTGTACTCATTATGTATAAAATTTGTCCTTATCTAGTAATAAACAATTTTTATTGCGAGTACGTGAGATACATATTATGCATACTAATTTTCTTTCTTTGTACAGAAAAAATAGTATTCAATATTATCTAAAGTTATGTAATTATTTTACAATGATAGAGTATTGAATATAATTTGCAGAAGGATAAACTATTTTTTTGCAACAATGTAATATAATTAACAAAAAAAATATAATACAATAATGATAATAATTAAATTTTTAAATATAATAAAGTAATAAATATATAAAATAAAATGATAGAAATAGAAATATTATAAAATAATAAATATATAAAATAAAATGATAGAAATAAAAATATAATAAAATAATAAATGAAGAAATAAATAAAATAAAAAATAAAATAAAAAATAAAATAAATGTAATAATAATTTAACAATAATATTCGAATTGATGATTTTTAGGGAACAATTCAATTGCCTCAAAGAAGATGAGGTTTCGCATTGAGGTTTGGAAAAAGTGTTGTGAGGACAGGGGAAAAAATCTAATTAAAAAAATATTGGATACAGAAGAGTGTGAGTAGAGAAGCTGCGGGGAAAAAAATATTTAATGAACAGAGCGTCGGAAAAAAACTACAAACAGTGTAAAAAGGTTCAGAGAACAAAAAAAAGTGAAATAAAAATAAGAGTAAACATGGTAAAAGAAAGTAAAGGATAAAAAATTACATGGAGAATAAACAAGTACAAAGTGAATAAGAAAAAAGTCAAAAGGAAAAAAAATAAACGTCGATTGCTTCTGATGAGACAAAAAAAATGATTTCTTGAGGTATTTAATTAGTTAAAGTTGTAGATGCTGGGTATATTGTAAGTATTCTCTCTTTACATTATTTTTTCCACTATTTACTTTTTTTACGATTTCCTACTATTTGGATGCTTTTTTTATTTCTTTTTCTTTTCTCGTGCCACTAGAATCTACAATTTTTTCTTTTTTTGAGAATTTGCGCACAACTTTAAACCTTCAGTGGTTGAAATTAAAAAAAAAAAATATTTATTTTCTTGAAAATATTCAGAAATTCAGGAATCGACTATTCACTTTGTTTCATTAATAATGTAAGAATTTTATTACTGAATTCAACTTTATTAATCCAAATTTATTAATCTTATCTAATCTTCATCGATTTAAAATTCCCTTGATTCAAATTTTAAACTTTAAAAATTTTAAGTGGTAAAAATGATAAAATAATTAATTAATTTACAAGTCAATTTTTTTTATTTAACAATTTTTAGCACATTTTTGAAAAATAATTCCTCTTTTTATTTTACTAGAATAAAAAACTGATGCGATTCCTAAAAAATTATTTTTGAGCTCGACTTTTTATTTACATTATTTGATTTTAAGAAATAATCAATTGTTTTATCAATAATTTATTTTTGTAATTAAATAATTGAATTCTCGTAAAAAATTTTGATAAGAATTGATTTGAAAAAGAATTTTAGTAAATATTTTAAACATTAGAAGCGTTTTACAAGGAATATTTAGAAACAATTAAAATTCCAAACGTTTTTGAATTTAAATCTTTGAGAATTTCAATTTTTTTGAAAGTGTAATAATATTTAAATACCTATTTATTTAAAAAAAATGATTAATTTATTATTTTTCTACAAAAATACTTTAGTTTTGAATAATTTTATTTAAAGATTCTAAAAAATAATTGAATTTTGAAAAAATCGCAGTTGTAATTTTTAGAAATAATTTAATTTCAAACGGTTTTTAAATTGAAATCTTCGAAAATTTAATTTTAAACGATTTTGAAATTGAAATCTTCAAAAATCTAATTTAATTAAAACAATTTCGTTAAATTCAATTTTTCAATTCTATTCAATTGTGTTCAAAGATTATGAAAAATTCTCGTCAAAATTTTAATTATCTTTATATAAATAATAAAAATCTGCTCTGAAATTCAATTATTTTCAAACATTTTAATAAATTTCTTTGCAAAATTTCAATTACTTTAAAAAATTTTACTCATTTCAATGACTTTTCAAAATCTACTATTTTAATAAACTTTTTCAAAACAATTCAGTTATTAAAAAAAATTTTAATAAATTTCTATACGCAAACATTTAATTATTTTCATAAATAATGAAAATTTCCCAGGAATTCAATTATTTATAAATTTTTTATAAATTTCTTTCCAATAATTAAATTCATCGGTAAATTAATTATACTTAAAAATTATTAATTTTATTCGATACAATTACATTATTTTCATAAATAATAAAATAATATTTCACAGGAATTCAGTTATTTTCAGATCAATTTCAATCAAATTTCTTGATGAAATTCAATTATTTTTACAAACTTTAATAAAATTCCTTGAATTGAATTATTAATAAATTTTTTTTGACAATAATTAAATGATTTTCATAAATAATGAAATGCTTTATAGAAGTTCAATTATTTTTAATACATTTTTAATTGAATTCCTCCATTAATGTAATTGTTCTTCAAAATTTTATTAAAATTCGTCAAAAGAATTCAATTATTAAAAAATTGCTGATAAAATTCTCTATGAGAATTCAATTTTAAGAAAACATTCAAAATTGAATTTTCGTAGAATTTTTTTAGTATGAAAATTGATTTAAAAATTAATTTCAGTTAAAATTTTAGATTGTAAACGCAATATAGCGTGAATTTTGGAAATAATTGAATTTTAAAAAGGTTTCAAATTAAAATCTTTGAAAATTTTAATTTTTCGTACCCTTTTAACTAACAATTGTATAGAATTAATTTTTTTAAAAAAGTTTAATTGAATTTTTTGAAGTTTTTATTTTCTAATAAATATTTAATTGAAATATTTCTGAATAATTGAAATTTCTTAAAAATTGAATTTGTAAAGAAATAGATTTGAAAATTCTCAAAAGAGTACTTTTTCAAAAATTATTATTAAAAATAATTGATTTAATGATCAGATTATGGGAAAAAATTCTAGAAAATAATAATTAAATTGAAATGATGAAAATAACTATGAAGAAGTTACAGTAGCAATATTCTTATAATATAAAATAATGATTTTATCACTAGGGTCATCTTTATTCAATTATAAAACGTGAAGAAATCGATCACATCATGTTCGGTATCTTCATGTTTTATATTTTTTTTTTAATAAAAATATAATATTCTTACAAGTTTGTTGAATCTTAAAAAGTTTTGTCTTTGAAATTTTTAAAAATCTAAATTCCTACAAGAAAAGTAATAATGATTAAATATTTATTTTAAATAGAAGTTATTGATGTTTATTGAAATTTTAAATTATTTAAATTAAATTTTTATGGTAATTCTGATATTCTTTCTCAAAATCAGGGAAATTCATTTAATCAAAATTAATGACAACACTGAATAGAGTAATTTTCTTTATTTATACATTGAATCGAGGAGTAAAACCAGTTTTTTTAGTCGTCAAATTCAATTTTTTGAGAGCAACTTCTTCATCACTTCTTTTCAGTATTTGCGACTTTTGAAACTTTTTGCAACTTTTTTTTTATTAATTAACGAGTGTAAAGTCTATATTAAAATATTTTCATTTTGTTCAGTTTATTTCATTATTATTTTTTTCTAGGTGACGAGAAAGAAGAAGAAGAAGAGGAGAAGGAGAATCTCAGACGCAAAAAGACTTCCTTTTGTGTTCATCTTTAAAAAAAGAAATCAAGGGTAAAAGGAAAAATCTATACTCTTTTTCTTTTTGTTAAAGAATATCGGAAATTTCAGGGTCACTAGGAAATCCTCGTGTGTCATTCTCGCAAAAATCGTTTAGAATACACCCGCAGAAATGGAAAAACGAATTTTCTTTTATTAGGGGAATTTTTCACCCTCATTCTCAGGGGGATAATCCTCCCCCCATTTTTTTACGGTCAGGAATACTGTTCTTTTTTTATCTCTCTCTCTCCTCCTTTGTTTTGTGGCTATAGTTTCGCAACACATTGTGGAAGCGCAAGAGAGTCTTGAAAACGAGAAAGGTCGGAGACTAGCTCGGCAAAATCCGTGGAGTAGGCGAAGTGGCGCGAACATGCCGCGCGGTCGTTCCTCGGCTCCTTTTGCCTCCAACTGAAATATTGCGGCTCAACAATAGACATATAACGACATTGCGCGAAAGCGTCACTTGGCGGCGAAATCATTTTTTTACTCTTTGGGGGAAAAAAGAGAAAAATATTTATTTTTTTTTGGTAAATTTTGCTTTTTTGCCAAGAGGTAAAAAAAGAGAAGAGGGAAAACATGAAAGAGTCGGTAAATTCGTGGATGTATTTTGTGTTTACGTCATAATTTTTGTGTGTGGGACGTGTGTGTCCCTGCACGTTTGGCGTTCTTTTTTTGATTGTAAGCGCGTCGTCATTCGCGAGTCATGAGTTTTTTGTGCGCGATCGGCCAAGTGCCAGCAAAAGTGCGAGAGCTATTGATTTAAGAATGATTCGCGGTTCCCTTACGCACTGGAACGCACGTTGACCGGCTCTTTTTTTTATCGAAGAGATACCGTGAGTGTTGTTCTATATCGTCGTCGAGTGTCGTCGTCGAGTGTCGACCACCACAACCGTGAATAACGGTGCTGTCTCTCTACCCCTTCCCCCAAAAGAACACCAGCAATCGCTATCAATGGTGAGTCTTATAATCAGTGCGTCGTATGTCTACGACGTCATTGCTTGCGTCACCACAAAACACCTCACAAATTTACACACATCATTCATCATTATTTTTTTCCTCGTGAAAATCGTTAATTTTTTTTAAATTCTAGGTTTTTCTTTAATTTTTGCAAAGTAGACTTTTTTCTTTGGAGTCTTTGGACAATTTCATTATTAGATGTAAGATGTTTTTGGTTTGGCGATATTTTAATGTCATTGACATTTTTTGGAGCACGAAAAATTGTCCTGTCCAGTGGAGTCAATGAACGCTCTTGAGGTTGAAATGTTTATCGTCATGGTTACGGAATTGTTATTTCATCAATTAAACGCATTGTTGTTACGTCATATGACATCACACATCTTCTGGAATGATATAATTCATTCCCATTAGTAATTTAGTATTCAGGATTCCTCACAATTTTCTGTCTATGTAGTTGAAAATTGAAAATTTTTATTCAACCACATGTTTTGGTAGTCAAAAAGAAAATTGCACAAAAAAACCCAAATAAATGGAAAGAAGGAAAAAGAATGCAAAAAGTATTTTAAGAAAGTCTATTTCAGAATATTGGAAAAATACTTTCGATTCTAAAAAAAAATTGAGAAATATTTTATCTTTACTATTTATCATTAATATCTACGATTTTTTTTCAAATCTTTTTATTACTTTTCACTTTTTTGATTGATTGGAACTTTGCCGAATATTCAAAAGCATTAGAATTTAGAAGTTTTGTAAATTTTCTAAATTGGAATTTTTTTGAGCATTTTTATTACTTTTTTCTTTTTTGAAACATTGACGAATATTTAAAAGAATTAAAAGTCTAAGAAATATTTTAAATTAAAATTTTTTAAATTATTTTTATTCGTTTTTTTTTTCTTTGAAACATTGCGTAATATTTAAAAGCCTTACAGTTCTTAGAAATTTTCTAAATTAGCATTTGTCAATTATTTTTATTACTTTTTTGAAACATTGCAGAATATTTAAAAGCATTAGAATTCTCACAAATTTTCTAAATTAAAATTTTTTCAATTATTTTTATTCCTTTTTTCTTTCTTGAAAGGTTAAAATATTGATAAATATTTTAAAGCATTAAAAGTCTCAGAAATTTTCTAAATATAAATTTTTTACCTACATTTTTATTAAAAAAAAAAAAATTTTTAATTTAAATTCTTAGAAATTTTTGAAACTTTTTTATTACATTTTTCTTTTTTGAAAAAATTGACGAATATTTAAAAGAATTAAAAGTATAAGAAATTTTCTAAATTAGCATTTTTTAATTATTATTATTATTACTTTTTTGCAACATTGCAGAATAAAGCATTAAAAGTCTCGGAAATTTTCTAAATTAGAATTTAAAAAAGTTTTTTTATTCGCTTTTTATTTTTTAAAACATTGTGGAATATTTAAAAGCATTAAAGGCCTTGGGAATTTTTTAATTAAAATTTTTTCAAATATTTTTGTTAAATTCTTTTTTTTTTGATAGATTGAAATATTGACAAATATTTAAAAGCATTCAAAGTTTCGGAAATTTTCTAAATTCGAATTTTTTAAATTATTTTTATTATACTTTTCTTTGTTTTGAAACATTGCGGAATATTTAGATGTTTTAAAAATTTTCTAAATTAGAATTTTGTTCAAATATTTTTATTACTTATTCTTTTTGATAGAATGAAAAATTGATGAATATTTAAAAACATTAGAAGTCTTGTTAATTTTCTAAATTAGAATTTTTTCGAGCATTTTTATTACATTTTTCTTTTTTGAAACATTGACGAATATTTAAAAGAATTAAAAGTTTAAGAAATTTTCTAAATTAGTATTTTTCAATTATTTCTATTAATTTTTTCATTTTTAAAACATTGCAGATTATTTAAAAGCATTAAAAGTCTTAAAAATTTTGTACTTTAGAATTTTGTTCAAATATTTTTATTACTTCTTTCTTTTTTGAAATGTTGCAAATTATTGAAAAGCATTAAATGGAAATTCTCTAAATTTATATATTTTTTCTAGGAGAATTGGAGGATTTTGCAGAATAAATATTATATAAAAGTGAAGAATATAAAAAGGAGAAAAAAAATTGAATTGCAGGGAAAATATTAAAGTAGTCGATCTTTGCCTTTGACCAGACAGAAATTCTTTTTTTTCTAATTTAAAAAGTTATTTTAAATTTTATACAACTTTTTACAAACAAAAAAAAAATTAGAAACGCAGGAAATAAAAAAATATGACTTTGAACAAAGAAACCGAGTTAAAATTTATGTTTCATTTTTTTCTTCTCATTGCTCTTTGTTAGGAATCGTATTTCATTTTACTTCATTTTGCAATCGAGAATGCAATTAAATTTATTTTTTTTTTGCCTTTTTTATTTTCATTTTACATTTTTTCATATTTACATTTTTCTCTCTATTAATAAACATCATGAGCGAGACTGATAAATTCATCATATTATTAATGACTGAGCATTTCTCTTTCACTGAAAGTTCTCTATTTATAAAGTTCACTTTTTAAATTTAAATTTCAAAAAGAGAATGTAGTTTTTAAAAAATTGATATTCACTAAAGTGCATCCATTAAATTTAAAATTGCACAACCGTGCATTCAATTTGCAAATTTAATCTATTTAAAAAAAAGGAGTAGTAGTATAATTAATCAGTGTACAAAAGACGTCATCAACACGGTAGAACAATTATTTAATCCTTACGCTAATTTGAAGCGGAAAATATTTTCTACGTAAGGTCGTTGTGTAATTTCGAGCAATTATCGTATAATTAAAAATTGGTGCTCATATAAAGAACAAGGAATAATTACAGTAACAATGAAATAAATAATAAAAAACATGTCATAGTATAATAGAACTATATTTAGTGTTTCTTTTTTTTCTTTTCTTAGAGACTAATTATTATTCTTGAATTAATTGATTATCGTTGTGCACAATCGATGAGGCACTTTATACAAGTTGATAAATATTAATGACTAGATGAGAATTTATTTTCTTCTTGATTTTTTACGGGGGGGGGGGGGTAAGAATAAGACTCACTATTTTTGTTTTAATGGAATCTCTTATTCATTTCCTTAATATTTTGAAAATCAATCATGGCGATGCGATAATTTATTTATTTCATTTAAAACTGACGGTACTATTGACTTTTGACATTTAGAAGATATTTTCAGCACTAGTAGTTGTATTTATCTTTACAATTTGTAATATTGATTGTATTTCTATTTTATCTGAGAATGCAGGAAATAATCTAATAGGTATTTACTGTTCAAGCCACGAATTGTTCGACTTTTTTCCTCTATTTTCGGAAAATGCGACTTTTTTCATCGACTTATTTTTAAAAAATGCAACTTTTTAAACTTCTCTACCCAAATATTGTATAACAAAATACTACAGTCGACTCTCGATAAATTTATTTTTAAGGAACAGAAAATGAATTAAAATTATCAAATGTTTTTGAGAATTAAAATTTTTTCAAACGACTAGTCAAATAAAAAATTCATTTTTTGATTAATTTTTGTAATAGATAATTAAACTTTCGAAATATTTAATTAAAGTTTTTAAATAATTGAAATTTTGTAAAATTTTATAGAAAGTAATTAATTTTTTTCAAGTATTTCATTAATATTTTCTGGCCAAAAGATAAATCTTTCAAAAATTATTTTTGTATAATTTTTGTTATTAAATTTTCGAAATATACATTAAACAAATTTTGAATAATAGAAATTTTGTAAAATTTAATTAAAAAGAATTGATTTTTTTTCAACTATTATTATTAAAATTTTTTAAAATCAACTTTTGAAGAATTTTAATTGCAAATTTTGTGAAAATAATTGAATTCTCAAAAAAAATTTAATGAAAAATCTTCAAGTATTCATTTATGAAAATGAAAATTAATAAAAACTAGCTTCTAGAAAATAATATTAAAATTTTTTTACAAAAAAGTAATTTTTAGAATTTTTTTCATTATAAACTTTTAAAATTCAATTTTTTTCAATATTTTCAAAAATATAAATTCAAAAATTCAAATACGTATAGGTACAAAAAATAATACAACTAATAATAATACTTTTTAAAGCAATTTAATTATTTACAAAACAATTTTAATAAAACTGCTCGAAAGAATACAATTATTTTTAAAAATATTAATTAAACTCAATTATTTTCGACAATTTTGATGAAATTCTTTTAAAAAAAGCATTATTTTCAAAATTTTTAATAAAATTCCATAAAAAAATTCAATTACTTTAAATATGCAGATAGAATTCTTCGAAGCAATTCAATTATTTTTATGAACTGTAAAATCCTCCGCAAGAATTCAATTATTTTCATAAATAAGAAAATATTTTGCAAGATTAATAAAATAATAAAATTCTTCAAAAGAATTCAATTATTTTTATAAATAATAAAATGTTTCGGAGGAATTAAATTATTTTCTATACAATTTTAATCAAATTTCTCCAAAGAATACAATTATATTTAAAAATACTATTTTAATTCAATTATTTTCAAGAGTTTTAATAAAAATTCAATTATTTTCAACAATTCAATTATTTTGTAAATAATAAAATTCTTCTGAGAAATTCAATTATTTTCAATACAATTTTAATAAAATTTCTCTAATAGGTTCAATTATTTTTAAAAATTCTAATAAAATTTTTCTAAACAATTCAATTCTTCTCAGAAGTTTTTAATAAAATTCTTTGTAAATTTCAATTATTTTCAAAGTTTTTAATTAAAATTATTTTTAAATATTCCATAATTTTTACGAAATTTAATTAAATTCTTAGAAAAATGTATTTATTTACAAAAACTCTAATAAAATTGTTTAAAAGAATTTAATTTTCTATGAATAATTTAAATATGACTTAATAGGAAAATTATTAATTACAATTAATAAGAAACACGATTATTTTAAAAACTTAAAAGAAAATCTTCATAAACTTCAATTACATTCAAAATTTTCAATAGAAATTATTAAAAAAATCTCCATTATTTTCAATAAAATTGAAATAAATTCTTCTAAACAATTGAATTATTTTAAAAGAATTTCAATTAAAATCTTTCCAAGAATTAAATTATTTTCAATAGAATTTTAATTACATTTTTTCGAAATAATTCAATTATTAAAAAAAAATGTTGATAAAATTCTTGAAATGAATTCAATTATTGTCAAATTTTTTGATAAATACTTTTTGCACGAATTCAATGATTTTCAATCATTGTGGAAATTTTTAATTAAAATTCTTCAAAAAATTACTTAGTTTTTTTTTAATTATACAAAAATTCTTTTAAGAAATTCAATTATTTTCGAAAAAATACATTGGAATATTTTTAAAAATCTAATTCTTAGAATTGTTTTATCATAATTTCTTAAGATTTACTTATCTTCGAACGAAGTAAATTAAATTTTTTTGATTCTTATTAAAATTTTTAATTAATTTTACATTTTACCAAAATTCAATTGTTTGGAAATTTTTTAATTTTATTAATAATTGAAAAACTATTATCATTAAAAAATTATTTACAAATATTTTTCAATGATTAATTTTAAGAGTTTCTTTATTATAATTTTTTAAAAATATTATTAACTTTAAAAAAACATGGGCAATAATTACAGTTACAAGATAAAATTTTAGTTTGCAACACTAAATTAAATAAGTCGACTTTGTCGACTTTTTTCTCTATCTTAAAGTTAATCCAACGCCCAACTGTTTAAAAAGAAATTCTTTTATTTTTTTTATTCAATTTTCATAATATTCTTAAAAATTGTTTATAAAAATGTATTTTACTTCTACTATAAAATAAGAATATAGCGTGTGAATTTTATCGAAGTAAAAATAAATTGGATTTCGTAATTTTCATTTTATTTTGAAAATTATATTTTCAATCTATTAATTGAAGAATTTTCTTTTGTACACTGATCAGATTTTTAATACAGATTGCTTTCACAATATTCTCGGTTGTAAAAGCAATGCCTTTGTATCATTAGAGTATTTTCTTTATGGTCAGACAAAGAGCGAAAATAAATCGATTTTCCTTTCTGTAACACGACTTCCATGTTAGTAGTCTTCTTTTGATCATGGAAAAGTGAAACAAAAAATTATTTATTCTTACCCAGAGAATAAATTACTTCAACATGTATTTTAAATTTCTAAATTTATTTCTGAATTCAAAAAAGTGTTTGTACCTATAAAATAGAAAAGACGGTTTTTTAATTATTTTTTTCGATTTTTATTTATGTAGCTAATTTTTAACAAATACATTTTTTTAATTAAGTAATTTTCTTTTAAATTCACTGTTTAATTAAATTATGATAATATTTTCTAAAAAGAGAACAGAAATTGATTTTTTTTCTGCTTGCTTCTCGACTAAAATTAAAGGATAATTATTTTTAATTATCCAGATCAGATTAAAGGGTTGTTTAACTTGTATCTTTAATATAGTGTGCTAAAAATAAAAATAAAGTGGTTCAAGTGAATGACTACCTGACCTCCTAAGAATAGCTTACCCGAAGTAAAGAACAATCCATCCCTTATAAATCTGCACTACGTGCACAGAATTCGCTTTGAGAGTTTTCTAAATTGGCTTGTGGGGTGGAATTAAGAAATCGATGGAACCACGATATTACTTTTTCTCTGATTAAACTCGAAAGTTAGTGACCCGTTCTTCAAGTTTCGAAACTTTTTTTTTCCACTCTCCGATCCATTCTCTGACGATAGAAAGAGATGTTATTCAATTATTTTTTTGCCATCGCGAGAATTATGAACGTTACCTCAAGCTTCACTTTTTTTATTCTCGTATTTTTCACTTTTATCTTCTTTTTATCTAAAAATATGAAGGTGAAAAGAATATTTATTCTGCAATATTTTCCAAGATATTCTTTAGAGATATTTTTGCAATATTTTTTCGGAAATAAATAATGGAGAAAAATACTTAAAATTAGAAGAGTATTTTTCATTATATATTTTTTTTTGTCTGAAAATATTATATTATTTAATAATTTATTTATATATGTTTAGGGGGATTTAATAATAATCGAGAAATTCTGTTCTCACGAAAAGTTAGAGTTTTTTTTATTCCAAATTGTTCTACAACTCAAATTGTCGTGTCAAAAGTTTGGCAATTAATTTGTAAATAGAGAGATTAGTCTTTTCCTGAAATTAATTCCCCTGGAATTTTTACAATAACAGCAAAATTAGAAATTTTATTTAAAAAAATATCAAATTATTAAAAATCTTAAATAGTACCTATATAAATTTTCTTTTTCAATTTAAAAAAATTCATATAATTAAAGTTACAGTTGCATTTTTTTGGAAATAAGTCCAACTTTTTGATAAGAATTAAAATTTGAGAAAAAATTTCAATAAAATAAATTTTATTTTCACACTTTAAAAAATTATTTTTAAATATTATTGTATTTTTAGAGAAATCAGAACTAAACATTTGGTAAATAATAATTAAATTTTAGAAAAAATTTTATATTTAAATAATTAAATAGATCGTAGATCTTTGTGATAAGAATTGATTTGAAAAAGAATTTCAGTTAAAATTTCAGAAAATATTTCCAGAATTGAAAGAATTGCAGTTCTAAATTTTAGAAACAAATTTCAAAAGGTTTTACATTGAAAGAATTTTGAATTTTGAATTCTTGGTGCCGATAAATAAATAACAATAAGTATTCAAATATTTATTAAACAAAAATTAAGGAAATTTAAAAAATTTTATTTAGAAATTCGAAAAAATAAAGTTTTTAAAAAATCGTAATTAAAATGCTTTAAGAATAGTTGAATTTCCGAGAATAATTTTCAAAAGAAATTAAAAAATAGGAAATTTTCTGAAATTTCATTAAAATAAATTTTATATTTCAAAGAATTTTATTTTCTCATTTTAAAAAAATATTTTTAAAATATTATTGTATTTTTTGAAGAATTGTATCTGAGAATTTGAATTTTACAAAATATTTTCTATTTAAATAATTCAATTATCTTTGAATTCTAGTGAAAATTGATTTAAAATACAATTTCAATTAAAATTTTTGAAAAATAATTGAATATTAGAAATGTTAAAACAGGAATTTCCTTTAAAAGTTATTAAAGTTTCTATTAATTTTATTCAAAAATTCTAAAAAATAATTGACTTTTGGAATTTACAATTTTTACAAAGTTTTTACAAATTTTTTTAAAAATAATCAATTATTTATCACTTACCTATTTTTGTATTTAAATAATTAAATTCTCACAGAAATTTTTATTAAGAATTAATTTGAAAAAAAGGATTTCAGTTAAAATTTTAGAAAATAGGCAAGAATTGAACGAATTGCAGTTCTAAATTTCAAAAATAATTAAATTTCAAAAAGTTTTACATTAAAAATATTTTGAAATTTTAATTTATAGTGGACAAATAAATAACAGTAATTACTCAAATTTCAAATATTTATACCTAAAACAAAAATTATTGAAATTTCAAAGATTTTATTTAGAAATTCTGAAAAAATGAGGTTTTTAAAAAAACGTAATTAGAATATTTTAAAAATAGTTAAATTCCCCAGAAAAATTTTAAAAAGTTGAAGAAATTAGGAAATTTTCTTAAATTTTATATTTCAAAGAATTTTATTGTAGAGACTCACTTTAAAAAATTGGAAAAATAGAAAAGTTTCTCAAACTTCATTAAAATAAATTTTATATTTTAAAGAATTTTATTGTCTCACTTTAAGAAATTAAAAAAATAGGAAATTTCTATTTAAATAATTCAGTGCAAATTTTAGAAAATATTTCAAGAATTGAAGTTCTAATTTTCAGAAATAATTAAATTTCAAAAAGTTCTACATTGAAAGTATTTTCCAATTTTAATTCCTGCAGTGGAAAAATAAATAACAATAAATATTCAAATATTTATTAAACAAAAATTAATGAAATTTGAAAAATTTTATTTAGAAATTTTGGAAAAATGAGGTTTTTAAAAAATTGCAATTAAAATTGTTTAAAAATAATTGAATTACAGAGAATAATTTAAAACAATTGAATAGATATGAAATTTTCTTAAATTTCATTAAAATAAATTTTATTTTTCAAAGAATTTTATTTTCTCACTTTAAAAAATTATTTTTAAATATTTGTTTACCAAAATATTGAATTTTCGAATAATTTAGTGTAGAAATTCTAAAAAAAAATTAGGTTTTTGTAAAATTTGAAATAGAATTACTTCGAAAATTAATTAAATTTAATTCTCGAAAACAATTTAAAAAATTGAAACAAATTATAAATTTTGTCTTTTATTGAAGTAAATTTTATATTTGAAAGAATTTAATATTTTAAATTTGGTTTCTTAAGCTTTTAAAAATTATTTTGAAATACTTTTTGAAGAATTATGTTTCAAAAAATTATATTTTTCAGAAAATAATAAATTTTCGAAATTTTAAAAAAAATGTTTTGTAACTAAATAGGGTAATAAAATTTCTCGCGATAGTTATGCTTTTTTAATGTAATTAAAAGAAAATATTCCGCAATATTTCTAAATATATTCTTTCTAGATATTTTTGCAATATTTTTTTTCGAAATGAATGAAGAAAATATGAAAAATCAAATATATAAGGAAATATTTTTTCGTTTTTTCTCTTCTCTTGAAAATTGAAAAATATGTTACAAAGGTTGTTTGAAAATTAATAAACCAGGTGAAGCAGCCAAAACTGATACGTGATGGCGGAGGTCCTTCAATGGTCCAGACAGTTTCCATTTCCGTTTCCGACAGATCGAGGAAGCGTGGGCGAAGAAAGCGCCTTTTTCGTGCCCAAGGTACATTTACTCATCGTGCTCTTGATAAATTTACGACCTTGCCTCCCTTCTGCACAACAAATGAATGATAAATTTTTCGCTTTTCTCATTTAGCTTTCTCTTTTCTCCTTGATTTAATATAACATTTATATACTATATATATTTTACTCTACAAATACAAAAAAAGCAGATATTTCGCAATAAAAACGAAATCGTTGACAAAAACATTTCCTGGTTTTATAGCTTCGATAATTTTCTCTAACAAAAATTTGTTTAATTTCTTCTTTTCGAACAATTACTGATTTACTGGTACTTTTGTGGGACTAATTTTTAAATATTTGAATTACTTTTTTAATTACAATATTTTCTTGAATAAATTTTAGATTAACACACGTAGTCAATTACTTTCAAGTGCATGCGAATGTTTTTCTAATAATCTTTTTTTCAATCAATAAAAAATTATTTTTTTTCTCTGTAATAAAAAAAAATCAACTAACATTCGAATGAAACTTGATCTAATGAATTTATTTTTTTTTCGATATATTATTATTATTATATTCATTTATATTCATTTATATTCATAAGGGGAAAAGAAATACCTGTTTTTATTGAATTATTGTTGATTTTTATAGGAGGGGTTAAATTTTATTAAGTTGAGCGACTTGAGCGCAGAAATAAATCGCAGAAAGGGGAATAAATTCTCCAAGGAAAAAGAAGAAGAAAAAGAAAGAAAAAAAAGAAGTTGCGAGACTTTTTTCAAAGTCCTGTGAAAAGAGTTCCCGGGTTTGAGGGATGAAAAAAATATGACCTGCATCCCCCATGGACCGGAATCTTGTTAAATCTGTCGAATTGCTTTTCTACTCTACACTGGAGGGATTATAATCATATTGCTAAATATAGGGCGCGATCAAGGCGATAGACAAACAAAAAATTGTCCTTGATAAATAAATTGCATTTCCTTTCTTACCTGATTATTATTTATATTGTTTGGATTACTATTCAGATTGATATAATATTTAATTAAATCTTTTCATCAGATATTTTACTATTATTATATTTTATTCTTATTATATTATCATTGATATTTTTATTAATAATAATAATAATAATAATAATAATAATATTAAAAATAAATAATATTTTTGCCTTAGTAAGTGGATTTTTTTTATTTTATAAATATTTTTGCTAAAAATTTGTTTTACTAATTTTCTTAATCTTTATAAAAATTTCGAATCTGGAAAAACTTAATTCTTGCATAGAATTTTAATAAAATTCTTTAAAAATAATTGAATTTATACAAAGAATTTAATTAAAATTTATAAAAATACAAATTCAAATGATTCAAAAACCAAAAATTCTTTTAAGGAATGTAATTAAAATTGAACTGAAAATAATACAATATCGATAGACTTTTATTATTTATGAAAATAATTGAATTATTGTTCAAAAAATTTATTAATTCGTTTCAAGACATTCTATTAAAATTTGTAAAAATAATTGAATTTTATTAAGAAATTTTATTGAAATTCTATTGAAAATAATTGAATTTTTATGAAGAATTATTTCATTATTTATGAAAATAATTTAATTGTATTGAAGAAAATAATAATTTTTTTTGAGGGATTTTTAAAATAAATATTACATTCTATCATAGAAATTTAATTAAAATTTGTAAAAATACAAATTCAATTGATTCAAAAAATTTAAATTCTTTTAAGGAATTTAATTAAAATTTCTCAAAATAAATTAATTCTTTCAAAAAATCTTGTTTTGAAAATAATTGAATTCTTTCAAATCAATTTTATGTAAATATTGTAAAAAAGTTGAATTTCATCAAAAAATTTTATTAAAATTGTATTAAAAATAATTGAATTCTTCCAAAGAATTTTAATATTTATGAAAATAATAAAATAATAAAATTAGTGAAAATACAAAATCAACTGATTTAAAAAATTTTAATTCTTTTAAAAAAAATTCTGAAAATAAATAAATTCTTCCAAAAAATCTTATTTTCGAAAATAATTGAATTCTATTAAAGCAATTTTATGTAAATTGTAAAAATAATTGAATCTCATCAAGAAATTTCATTGAAAATAATTATTGAATTCATCCGAAGACTTTGATTATTTATGAAAATAAATTTACAAGTTTGGAAGAAAATTAAAATTCTTTCGAGGAATTTAGTAAAAATTGTATTGAAATTAACTGCCCTCACATAAAGAATTAAATTAAAATTTTTGAAAAGAATTGAATTCCTGTGAAGAATATAATTATTTATAAAAAATAATTTAATTGTATCGAAGAAAATTATAATTTTTTTTAGGAATTTTTTTATAATAAATATAATCTATCATATAAATGTAATTGAAATTTGTAAAAATACAAATTCTTTTAAAGAATTTAATTAATATATTGAACTAAAAATAATTGAATTTCAAAAGAATTTTAACAAAATTTCTGAAAATAAATTAATTCTTTTAAAGGAATTTTATGTGAATTGTAAAAATAGTTGAATTTCATCAAGCAATTTATTATTATAAAAAAATAATTCAAAAGTGCAGTAGAAAATTAATTATTTAAATAAAATTAAATTGTATCGAAGAATTTCTTTAAAATTTTTAAAAATAATTGAATTCTTTCATGAAATTTTATTGAAATTCTGTCGAAAATAATTGAATTCCTCCAAAAAATTTTATTATTTATGAAAATGATTAAAATAAAAAAATATGAAAATTAGTATAAAAACAATTTTATTTAAAATTTTAAATCGTAAAAAATAATTGAATTTCACCAAGAAATTTTATTGAAAATAATTGAATTGCATCAAAAAATTTTATTGAAAATAATTGAATTCATCCGAAGGATTTTATTATTTATGAAAATAATTGAATTATTGTCAAAAAAATCAAAATCAATTCAAGACATTTTATTAAAATTTTTAAAAATAATTGAATTTCATTAAGAAATTTTATTGAAATTGTATTGAAAATAACAGAATTTTTACTTAGAATTATTTTATTATTTATGAAAATAATTTACTTGTATATTGAAGATTAATGAATTTAATTAAAATTGAACTGAAAATTATTGAATTTTGAAAATTTTTTAAAAATTTCTAAAAATGGATTAATTCTTTCAAAAAATTTTATTTTCAAAAATAATTGAATTTTTTCCAATCAATTTTTATGCAAATTGTAAGAATAATTGAATTTCATCAAGAAATTTTTTTGAAATCGTAAAAATAATTGAATTTCGTCAGGAAATTTGATTGAAAATAATTTAATTCACCCGAAAAGTTTTATTATTTATGGAAATAATTTATTTGTTTCGAAAATATAATTAAAAATATTTCAAGCAACGTTAGTTAAAATTGTATTGAAAGTAATTGAATTCTCTTATAAGGAATTGAATCAAATTTTTTCGAAGAATTTTATTTAAATTGTATTATAAAAATAATTGAATTCTCGCGAAGAATTTTTTTACAATAATTTTTAAATAATTGAATTGCTTCAAAAATCAGTTTATTATTATTTTAGAAAATAATAAATAGTTAATAATAATCAATTAGTTACTGATTTTTTAAAAATTTTAAATCTACAATTATTCAAAAATTAAAGTTGATGTTTGAAAAAAATGTAATTCGCATAATAATAATAAATTAAATATCGCGTTTCGTGCCCAAGCGCACGTAGCATTTCATAGTTATAATAATAATGATAATAACAATTTTGAATAATAATATTAATGATATTGATAGTAGTAATATTAATAACAATAATAATTAATATTAAATTTATTATTTATTATTAATAATATAAATAATAAAATATCTGAAGAAAAAATTGAATTAACTTTTTTATGTAAATAGTAATTGGTTTCGAGAAATGTTATTTTTCTTCTATTTACAAGAGCATGCTGCGTAAACCTATAGGGCAAGGGTATAACTAATAATTTCCTTTTAATCAAATATAATCTGAGATTGGCTCTAATATTTAACAAACAATAAAGAAATACTAATCACGAAATTTTCCTATTGACCTTGATTTGTTCCTAGAATAGTGGCTAATATTCGTGGCAAACGAACAATCGATCGCTTTTGTAATGTAGAACAATTGTGGCGCTTCTTGTAATTTTAGTGTAAATTATTCTTGAATTTCCACATATTTACTGTATGAAATCTTCCTTTTGATAGAAATCATCCTTCTTGAAATTGTTCTAAAACACTTTCGATTTGCAATTCGAAAAAAAATTATCAAAGCGAAAAGATAATCTTTTATTAAAAATATATATTTTTAAAAATAAATTTTTTTTATTATAATATTTCTTAAGCCTCAGTGGCCATGCGATTTATAAAGAATTTTATTATATTTAAATAAATAATAAATTTATCAATTATTCACGATATAATTATCAAATGCATCTTTTTATTCAATTAAGAAAACTATTTCCTAAATATACAATTTTAATGTGTTCACTTAGTTTTCTATAGTCTCAAGAGAACTGTTGAGTAAATAAATAATAAACAAGGCTTACTTATTTTGATGAATTAATTGAACGATTTAGAATTATTGTTGTCATCATTTAAATAGGGAAAATATTCTCCTAGAATCAATAGTATTTTAATCTGTTAGTTACAATTTATTTAACTAAAAGTCGAAATATTTTTGATTTTGCGAAATTCATACTTATATTGTGAAATGGAGGTGAATAAAATTGATTAAAAAAGAAATAATTTTTCAGTCTTGAGAATGCTGTCACAAAAGCAGGCAGGAAGTAGTTCAGAAGGTGAAACTGGCAGCAGTGGAAGTGGAGCCGTGACTCCAGGAAGTTTTTCAAATGGCGAAGGTTCAAAGGAATTTCTTTCGACTGGAAGAACTGGGAGACGAAATGCAATGCCCGATATTCTTGGGCAACACGCGGAAACTGGCACCGCCGATTTGCCAGCACGACTTGAAGCGCTTACGACAGACGTCAATCATGGTATTGTTTTCATTATTATAATTAAATACTGTCAATAAATTCCTTTTGACAAGATTTCGAATTTTTTTATGAATATTTTTTACTTTTTAATAATAAAAATAATAATAATAATCGAAAAATTCTGTTCTCACGTGAAGTTAGGGTTTTTTTATTCAAAATTATTTATTAAATTATTTATTCTAAATTTCAAAATTTATAACTTAAATTGTCATGTCAAAAGTTTGAATTATTGAAAATCTTAAGTAGTTAATAAATTTTCTATCTCAAGTTAAAAAAATCCATAAGTAGAGTAACGACTGAAATTTTTCGAAATAATCAATATTATTTCATACTCAACTTGTTTTTGTATTTAAATAATTGAATTCTCAGTCAGCTGTTTGTAAAATATAATACGTCAATAGTTTTTTTTGTAAAATTCTTAATTAAAATTTTTGTATTATTTTCTCTAAATTAATACTACTACGATTCGAAAAAGAATTTCAGTTCAAATTTTAGAAATGATTTCAATAATTAGAAGAATTTCAATTCTAATTTTTAGAAACAATTAAATTTCAAAAGGTTTTACATGGAAAGAATTTTGAATTTTGAATTCTTTGTGACAAAATGAGGTTTCTAAAAAATCATAATTAAAATTTTTTACAAATAGTTGAATTCTCGAGAATAATTTTAAATTTTCTCAAATTTCATTAAAATAATTTAACATTCAATTTTGCATTTCAAAGAATTTCATTTCCTTACTCTAAAAACTTATTTTTAAATATTAATGTACAGGCAAATATTATTATAAAATTATTATAAAAAATAAACATGAAAAATAATAAAATAAATAGAATAACAAATCAAAGTAATTTTTAAAAAAATAATTATATTTAAAATTCATCGCAAAAATTAAATTATTTTTTATAAATAATAAAATTCTCCTGAGGAATTCAATTATTTTCAATACAATTTTAATAAACTTAAAAAATCAAATATTTAAAATTACCTATTAACAGACACGATTATTTTAAAAAGTTAAAAAAATTCTTTGTATAGGTAATCCAATTACTTTCAAAATTTTCAATTATAACTATTAAAGAAACTCCATTATTTTAAAAAAGTTTAAAGATATTCTTCAAAAGAATTTAATTAAGGTTTTTATAAATTTTAATTAAATTTTTCGCGAGAATTCGATTATTTTCATAAATAATAAAATTCTGCGAAGGAATTCAATTATTCTCAAATTTTTTGACAAAATTCTTTGCTAGAATTCAATGATTTTTAATACATATTTTTAAATAAGGTTATTAATAAATTATCATAACTTCTATTTCATATTTAAAGATCATATGATTTAAAATGGTTGATACATCCCTGAACGTTCACTCAACTAATAGCATTTTAACGAACCTCTCTACGGCGGAATCGTCTAATTGCTTTTCGCCGTAGCAAGGTTTGCCTGTATTTTGTGAAGAATTGTAAATCTAAAAATCTTGAATATGATTAAATTTTACACAAAATTTTTTTTACGTATTTAAAAAATTCATTGAATTCTCTTAAGAATTGATTTAAAAAAGAATTTCAAGAATTGCAATTATAAATTTATAATTATTAGAAACAATTAAATATCAAAAGATTTTACATTGAAAGAATTTTAAATTTTGAATTCTTGGTGATCAAATAAATAGCAAATAAGTATTCAAATATGGATTAAACGAAAAATTTTATTTAGAAATTCTGAAAAAATAAGGTTTTTAAAAAATCGTAATTAAAATTTTTCAAAAATAGTTGAATTCCCGAAGAATAATTTTAAAAAATTGAAAAAGTAGGAAATTGTCGGAATTCACAATTCGCGCTTTATTAAATCTCGACTCTTACGTCGATCTCACTTACACGACATACACACACACATTCACTACACAAATTACTCTAACGTTTACAGTCAAAAAGGACGCTTGTCGATTCATCAATCTAACCTTTTGTATTTTGGATATTAATAAAAGTTCAGTGTTCATAGTATTCCCGTTTAATGTTCGTCATTCCTGTAACGTAAACTCTGACAGGTTATGGGCCCAGAGCCCATAACGACGAATAAAAATTGAAATGGATATTTCCGTTGTCAAAGTGATCGAAACGAACGCGAAAGAAATCGGTGGCACGCGTGTGAATCATTCTCTTCAGCAATAACGTGAATGTTCGCGATCAGTTCTTTCGATCTTATTCAAACATACTTTTTATTTCGTTCTATTTTTCTATCGACAATTTTCGAGCGTGTGGTGATTTTCAGTAATTAATCGTGATTCGAATTTTCTCGGAAATTACGCATCCTTTGTTCTCAAACGATCCGCCATTTGCATTTTCTGAAAAATCACGTACTCGAACAGAAGCATGGCTCAAGTAACGTGAAACTTGTTGCAAAACACGAAGGTGATTTGTTTATTGTACATTCCAACAGAAATTCTCTCAAATTTCATTAAAATAAACTTTTATTTCAAAGAATTTTATTTTCTCACTTTAAAAACTTATTTTTAAATATTATTGTAATTTTTGAAGAATTTTGACTAAAAATTTGGAATATAATTAAATTTTTTGGAAAATTTTCTACTCAGTAAAAAAAACTAATTCAAACGGATTGAAATGAATTAAGTTTTTTGGTAGAAAGCGGGATTCATTCAAGCTCTTTGCATATTCGATTGAATTCGATTCAATTTGCCTCAATTTGTGCAAACGAATTCGCATTTGAAAGAAATGACCAAGGCATCCATTGAATTTGTGCTGACGAATTAAAAAAAATTAATGGCCCCAAAACTTGTCCACTGAATTAGTAAGAATAGAAGGTTTGGAAGTTCAATACAGTTTGACGAATTCAGGAAAATTGCAACATAGCTCCAATTCGTCTTTGTCGTATTTGTCACAAAGCGGGATTCACTAAAGCTCTTTGTGAATTCTTTTTAATTTATTTCAATTAGTTTTTGCTTACTGGGTATTTAAATAATTCAATTGTCGTTGAATTCTAATATAAATTGATTTAAAAAATAATTTCAGTGCAAGATTTAGAAAATATTTCAAGAATTAAAGTTCTAATTTTCAGAAATAATTAAATTTCAAAAAGTTTTATATTAACAATTACGTTGAAATTGTTGAAAATTTCAATTAAAATATAAAACAATAAGTTTTTAAATATTTGTTTAGCAAAAAATATTGGATTTTTGATTAATTTAATGTAGAAATTCTAAAAAAATTAGGTTTGTAATAAATTGTAATTAAAATTTTTTTGAAGAGAATTAAATTCCCAAAAACAATTTAAAAAAATTTTTAAATTAGGAATTTTTCTCAAATTTCATTGAAACAAATTTTATATTTCAAAGAATTTTATTTTCTCACTGAAAAATTATTTTAAAATCTTATTGTATTTTTGAAGAATTATATTTTCTAGAAAATAATAAATTATTAGAGATCTCAATTATTATTAAATTTCAAAAAGAAAGTTTTTGTAACTCACAATGTTATTATTTTTATTATTATTTTCATTAAGTAATTGTATTAATAAAAAGGAAAGCTGTTTAGAAAAATGTTTCTACGTTTTTAATTTGAAATCGTCCAATAATTGAATGTGATTTTATATCCATGAGATGTTTACTTTCTGGGACGATAAAAATATTTTCAAAAAGTTCGTCAATAGAATTTTCAATCTCAGAGCAATTGAATTGAAATGTTATTTTGTTTGTTTTCTTTTTCGTTCTTTTCGTTCTTTTTGTTTTTTTAAATTAGGACACATTAAAGTAGAGAATTCTTGGTTTGAATTGCTCTCAAAAAATTTCACACTCCATATTACACATTAAAGGATAAGACTTCTAATGGATTCTCAGCAAGTTTTATGGAAAATCTTCTACGTACTTGATATGCAAATATAAAGGATGAATTTTTCAAAACTTTCTGAGCTGCGGTTAAACTTTTCCTAAATGTGATCTGTCCTGATAATAAATAATTTTTCTATCCTCGGAAAAGAGTTTTGAAAATTATAATTTATAATTTTATGGAAAAGAATCAAACATTATTTTTTTATTTTACTTTTTTTTTGTAATATTATTTTAATAGTTTATTTCTTTTTTTTAACAGAGTTGTCACAGGTCGGGGAAAAGTCAATAAAAATGAAATTGGTCAGGGAAATCAAGGAAACGTCGGGGAATTTTATCGACAATACTGGAAAAATAACGAATTATAAAATTACTAGAAAAATTCTTCTTGAGTTTTTTTCACTTTAAAAACTTTTCAATCACAATAAATTTAATAAATTGATTTTTCCTTATTTCTGTAAATAATTAATTTTTGAAACAAATTATCTCAATAAGTTATTATTCATAATTAAATTAGAAAAGATTTTAGTTAAAAACAATTGCAATTTTCATAATTAATTGAATTTCAGAAGATTTAAAGTAAAACCTTTGAAACTTTCAATTGCTGTGAAGAAATTAGTAATAATTAATTATTTTTTTCAAATTTTTCTGATAAATATTAATTCAATTTCTTAAGGTGCTTTAATTTAAAAAAAAAACTTTTTATCAAGTTTCTCTTATCAAATTAATACAAATTTTACCATTTTATTTATTTTATTAGCAACTCTTCCAAAACTTAATTATTTTTTTAATTTTTAAGTAAAATTATTCCCTAAATAATTTATTCTTCAAAAATGTTATTATTTATTTTATATTTTTCAAAAATTCATTTATTTTTAAAATGATTTTGTCAAATTTCAATTATTTTTAAACAATTTTACCGAAATTCAATTGTTTTAAAAAGATTTTATCAAATTTCAATTATTTTTAAAAGATTTTACCAAAATTCAATTATTTAGAAATGTTTTAATTTTATATTATAATTTCAAGACTTTGTAAAAAATTATTTACAAATATTTTTAAAAGATTAATATTAAGAGTTTCTTTATTATAATTTTTTAAAAAATTTTATAAATAATAGCTTTAAAAAAGCATGGACAAGATAAAGTTACAAGTTAAAATTTTTGTTGCAACACTGAATTAAATAAATGACTTTTTCGACTTTTTTTGTGTTTTTAATCGACTAATGAGACTTTTCTGTGTTTTGTGTTAAAAATAAATTAAATTTCATATTTTGCAAAATTCAATTATTGTCATAAATAGGAATAATTTCGTTATCGATTCTAGAAATTTAATACTTTTTCCAAAACTTTTGATAAAGTTTCCTGACTTTTATCTAAATTCCCTGACCTGTGACAACCTTGTAATCGAAATTTTGTGAAATTGAATTGAAAATAATTAAATTTGTCAAAGAATTTCATTAGACATTTGAAGATTGTATTTAGAATTTCTAATTTAGATTGCAAAAATACTTAATTAATTTTAATTAATATTAAAAAAAAATTATAAAAATTATAATTAAGTTTATTTGAATTTGATTTCGATTTAATTTGAATTTTAATGAATTTTCAGATAAACCGGGCACCAGCGGAATAAGCAAAACTGAAGCACAATCTTCCCAGTAGCATAAAAAAAAGACTTTTCCGGTTTTGTAATAAATTTTGTTAAGAATCTTTGAATGAGCCCTTGGGAGAGTTTCTTGTTACATCAGAAAAAAACATGACCAACTTATCTAACCAGCCTACTTTTTCTTATGGAGGAAATTACTTCTCGGCAAAGAGCAGCGAGAGGAAGAGAGAGAAAGAGAGAGAAAAAGAGAGAAGAAGAGAGTCAATAACAAATAGATTGAAGGACTTTTATTCAAAGTTAAGACCCAATTCCGTCATTGGAAATTGGTAAACCATGAGGAGGAAACAACAGAGATTGATAAAAAAAGTTCATACATTCATATAACATTTTGCATAAGCGAATTTACTTGTAAATAGATCATTTTCATTCTTAAAGAAAAGGAAAACGGGACTGGATCAGTTTTTGTTTTTGTTTTGAAGACTTCCAAAATCTGTGGTGAGTTATTTTTTGAAAATTCTTAAAATATTGTGTTTATTATTTAATTAATATTTCTTAATAGTTATAAATAATTCAAAGTTGCTACGGTTTCAATTTTTCAAAATTCCACTACTTTTCCAGGTTTTTCAGAAAATTTTTTTTTCATGAACAAATATAAAATTATTTCAATAAATATTTATCTTATTACGTTAATGAATTAAATTATTAATCAATTTAATTAATAACGATCAAATTAATAATTAATTAATAATCATAAAGATCCAATTAATTTTTAGAAATTTTTAATAAAAGAGAAAAATAATTAAATGCAAAGTTTTTATTTAGTTTACACGATAAAAATTTTACTGAAAGTCTAGTAAAATCAACTTTCTTTTTGAAATATAATAAAAATTTATTATTTTTTACACAATATTAATTTTTTACTTTAATTATTATTATTTCTATTTTAATTTTTCGAAATATAATTTTTTAAAAATATGATTATATTTCAGGACAACTTTTAAAAGTTATAAAACTAAATTCTTTCAAATATAAAATTTGTTTCAATGAAATTTGACAAAATTTTAATTCTTTCAATTTTTTTACTTTGGGAATTCAATTATCTTCAACAAAATTTTATTTCCAAATTTTTCAAAAACCTATTTTTTTAGAATTTCTGCATTAAATTATTCTAAAATTTAATATTTTTTATTAAACAAATATTTAAAAACTTATTGTTATTTATTTTTATAGAAATTTTAAACAATTTCAATGTAAAACTTTCTGAAATTTAATTATTTCTAAAAATTACAAATTAAATTTATCCAAAAGTAAATTATTTTTTCGAATTTTTGAATAAAATTGTTTAATTTTTTTATAATTATTAAAGGAAAATAATAAATTAATATTTAATTATTTCTTAAAATTCTTATTATAACACTTCTAATATTAAAATCTTTTTCGAAATTATAAAGGAAATTATTTTCTAAATCAATTCTTATTAGAATTCAATGAATTTTTCAAATACAATAATTTTTGTAAAATTTAATTATTATTCAAAGTTATAGTTAAAATTCCTCAAAAAATACAGTATTTAAAAATATGTTTTTAAAGTGGGAAAATAAAATTCTTTGAAATATAAAATTTCAGAAAATTTTCTATTTTTAAAATGTTTTCTCTGGAATTCAATTATTTAATTACATTTTAAAAAATTGTAATCGAGATTTTTTTAAAACCGCATTTTTTCAGAAGTTTGGAATAAAATATTTCAAATTTCAATAATTTTTGTTTAATAAATATTTAAGTACTTATTGTTATTTATTTGTCCATCAGGAATTAAAATTTGAAAATACTTTGAATGTAAAACCTTTTAAAATTTAATTATTTCTAAAAATTAGAACTTTCATTATTATTTCCATTCAATGATAATTGAATTAATTAAATTGAAATTTTTTTTGTAAAATTTAATTATATTCCAAATTTTTAGTCACAATTCTTCAAAAAATACAATAATATGTAAAAATAATTTTTTACATAGTGAGAAAATAAAATTCTTTGAAATGTAAAATTATTTTAATGAAATTTGAGCTAGTTTCCTAGTTTTTTTTAATTTTTTAAAATTAATCTCCGGAATTTAACTATTTTTAAACAAATTTTAATTAGGTACAATTTTTTAGAAACCTCATTTTTTAGAATTTCTCAATTAGATTTTTCAAATTTAATTAATTTTAATTAATTATTAAATTTTCTAAAATTTTAACTGAAATTCTGTTTTAAATTAATTCTTTTAAAAAAGTTGGACGAGACTTTGTTTAGGAATTAAGTATTTTATTCTAAAAAAAAATTCCATGACTATTTCAGGTTTTTTTTTAGGTTTTTCAAAACCGTAGCAATTCTGAAATAAATTTCTCAGAGTTTTGATATTTGATATTAAAATAATTTCTCTTTGAGATACCTAATTTAAAAAATTACTTTAATACTTAATACTCAAATTTCCATTTAATTACAGATTTGACTTGGATTTTAATTTAATGGCTCTTCTTCAATTATTGACTTATTCTATTTATATTAGAGAATATGAATTCAAAGGCTAGTTTTTGATAGCTGAGGAAAAATGGTTTTTTATACATTATCGACGTGAAGCGGCACACGTACGTGAAAAAAAGCGATTTAGAATAATAAGTTTCTTTGTAAATAGTTGATGAATACTTCTCATAAAGCAGGATTTTGCTAAAGTATAACATAAAAAAAATGCAACTCGAAACATTTTTACTCTTTTAGGAAACATTTTTATTTATTCTTTTCTTTTTTTGTATCTAGAACTTTGTAATTACGAATCCAATCAGGAGGATTAATAGATTTTTCATAACTACTTTCCTGAATATTGATGCTTTTTTAATTTATTTTTTACTAAATTTATTGTCCAATTTTTTTTTCTCGTTTATTTTTTTAATATTAAACCTTTTGAAATCATTGGAGTTTTATCAGTATTCAATTTTTATTGTGTTCTTGTCCTTATAAAACGTCATTTGTGTTATTTATAAGCCATCCAATAAAAAAAAAATTCTGCATTTTGTAGAATTTTTTTTCTTCTTTTCCATTCTAGATTATTATTTCATTCCGCGATTATTTATTTCATTGTTTTATTTTACGAGCTCTCTCTTGAATGTAATATTGTTTTTTTGAGTCTTTTTTTTTTAAAAGAAAAAATGATTGATTTTGATATTATAACGAGAGTAATAGGAAGTGATAAAAGAGGATTATGAGGATATCTTTGAATTAAACGACCATTATTATGAGTCGATCGATCGACTCTATGCCCGAGTTTTGTCACGACGGCCTCCACGAGTATTTCTATTATTTAAGTTTATACTTTGGCTTGTGTTTGTGATTCATACAATTTCAGATGAATACCGCGTGTGTCTGATTCCGCCTTTTATTTTTTTCTTATTTTTATCTGTATAGGTATTTATTTTTTTAACAATAATTATTTTTCTTAATTTACGAGAATTTTTTTTTGCAATTCACCAGGCCTCGGATATTATGACTTTTTCGACTTTTTTCGACTATTTTCCAAAAATGCAAATTTTTTAGACTTATTTTAAAACTTTTTCGACTTTTCTTCCAAATATTGCAACGAAATACCACATTTTCAGTATAAATTGCCAATTATTTAGATTTTTCTAGTGTGAAAAATAACCATAGACGAATCTTTCAAAAAATTTTTTTTGTAAAATTTTTCTAATTAAATTTTCGAAGTACACAATTAAGAAGATTTGGAATAATTGAAATTTTTGTAAAATTTAATTGAAAATAATTGATTTTATCAAGTATTATTATTACAATTTTTGAAAATTTACTTTTGAAGAAATTTAATTGCAAATTTTGTGAAAATAATTGAATTACCTATCAAGAATTTTAATGAAAAATCTTTAAACGTAGATTTAAAAATAAAAATTAACTTCTAATTTTTTAAAATTAGAATTCAATTTATTATTATTATGCAAATTACAAAATTTTTTATTTTGAAATATGAATTTTTATCAATTTCAAATTAAAATTTTTAAAAAATTTAATTATTAACTAATTTACTAATTAACTATTAACTAGGTTGTCTATACTTGTCTTTTCAATGTATAGCTTCTGGTAAAGGTGAGAAACAAAACAAAGATTAGGATACTGTATCTTGATGTCACGAGGTACATTTGGTTGGATAAATCCTAAATATGTCCAATGGACCCCGTACCTAGCCTTTAACTCAGTGACATGTTTAGAGTAGTTGGCAATTTCTCTAATAATTGTAAAATCTCGATGTGCCACTGTTCTTTTTTGCGCCATCATAAATTCAGCAACCATCTTGTGCATTGTTAGACCTGAGTAATTCAGAAGATTATATGTGGCTTTGATCTCAGGGCAGGAGTCTGATTCTCTTAAAAAGTGATACAAAACAGTAACTAACTTGGGAAATGTATTAAGGATTGATCCTGCTTTTGTGTATAGCTCAACTGGGAAACATAATTTCTTGACATCTGACCCAAGAATAAAATTGAAAACATTGATCCGCTTTTTGCTATATGTGTCAAAATGTAAGTCATCTACAAATGATTTAAACAAACTCAAGAAGATCATCATAATAGAGATCTTAATTTGATGCTCATTAAGAACTGGTTTTTGTTCTCTAGCATAAATGTCCCTCTCATTTTCATCAATATTTTCTCCCATTAATCTAGTCACTTCATGATCTTCAACAATTAAACCATTGATAAATTCATCTCTTACTTTAGAGAAGTCCAGAGTTTGAATGTTCTGGTCAGGATCTCTCAAGTAAAGTTTAAAGTAATAAGGAAAGTTTGGGTACACAAAGAAAAGTGACAACCGAGAAAAATAAATGGAAAAGAGACAATGGGAAAAAACACTCATCAACCTCTAATACAACATTGTCTGTTATAAGGTTTTTCTTTGAATATTTCCTAAATAAAAAAAATTCTTCAAAGGAATGTATAATCTGGTCTCCTTTTTATGTCTACATTATTTATTTTATTTGTTTATTTACATTATTTATTACCCTGCGTTAGCACCCATAAAACTCCATTCAACGTAAAATGGTGGTAAATATACTAAAAGGGGTGGTAATTCCTGGATTCCAGACCTCATTGGGGTCCAATCAGGAGCAACTCCAGATTTGATCTGATCCTTGATTCCTCTCACTCCATGACAACTCAGTCTGTTCTTAAACCTGAGGAATTGAAATGAATGTTCCTCTATGTCTACCTTCACAGGAGTAC